GAATTTTATATTTAAGTAATGGTTAAGAAAAATTTTATTTAAACATTGCTTAACTTATCTATTGTCTTTTTTAGTTGTTTTCACATGATAATTAAAATTAAGTTTAACAAAAATAAAAATTAAACAGTTTAATTGTCGATGTATAAAAATTTAATATAAAAAACTCAATAAATTAGATGCTTAAATTACATATTTTGTTTTTATTTATTAAATTATTAGTTTGATTAGATTATTACCTGAAGTGACTCCCGATAATAATATGAACACAAGACAATTGGACACAAATGTTGACCCAACCCTAGGGCCTAAGGTTGGTTTTCGGACAAGGCATGGATGGATGGACGGTTGCCACAACACAAGAGACAAAGTGGTCCTACAGAATTTTCCACTTTCAAGCTAGAAAGCAAATCCAACAAACTTTACGCAACATTTGATTTTTATTTGAGTTTGAAATTATTGTCAAGGCCAGCTGCTCTTGTCCTAGACAATACTTAATCCTCCTCTTTTAGATAATAATAATAATAATAATAATAATAATAATAATAATAATTTCTCTGATTTTTTATTTATCAATACATAATCATAATTTTGTTTAATTTATGGCATTAATTACTCGATTCTTTAAAAAATAACTATTATACGTGTGGTCTTATGTAAACTTACTCTATAGCAAGATGTGAGCTCTTTTTTTTATTTATTAGATTTTTTCAATAAATATTTTTTTTTCTTATGTATTTTTTAGAAAATAAATTTTGATTCAAAATTATAATCATAACTGCAATATATCATCAAATGTAAAAGACATCAAACATGCTTTAACAACAGTATCTATATCTTCATTCTCAAATATGGATAAAACGGAATGGTTGAATTGACAATTTAATGGCAAACACGTTTTAATCAATGATGATTATTATAAATCATAATTTTTTTTGTCTTTTTTTTATTATAATGCAATATGTATTAGTATCATAATATCATGTCATTGATGCAAAATCAGTTGTAACAAATAACAGTTTTCTTAACCAAAATCCTTTCCATGGAAGGTAATTTTACATGTCAAGCTTGACACACAAATGCCACTTCTTTCAATGATACACTTAACTAGGAGTTATATAGGACCCATCACCCATTATGCAAGCAATTAGAGGATTAAGTATTTTGAACTATAATAATAATAGTGGATTAAGTGTGTAAAGATGATATTACTTGGATTAGAATTGTAATAGAGATAGAATTAATATCTTTTATGAAATTAATAATTAAACAATTTCTACTAACTATTAGTTGGTCCAGTGGAATGAGGCGTTGAATTCCTTAAATAACATCTAGGATTTAAATCCTGACATTATGAATGGAGAAAACTGAATTGAGAAGATCACTATTATAATGGGTCTCTACAGAATTCATTAGTCGGCTTTATTGGATACCGGATGGTTTAAAAAAAAATTCCTGCAAAATAAAGAAGACTCAAATTAATAAATTACAAAGAAATGTGAACACAATCTATGCCAGGAGTATAATTCCTTTGGGAGGGAAAACGACAGATGATGGTAAATTAGTAATGAAGTGAGTGCCGAGTGGGTAGATTGGCATTGTCCGGCGGTAGAGATGGTGGCAGCTGGCGTACCAGTGGGCGCAGAGAAGACTGCTTTTATGGTAATGGGGTTGATGAAAGATTGGCATTTTGGTGATTGAGATGTGGTTTTGATTGATGGAATATCAGCCAAGAAATTTCATTTTTTTTAAGGGTTTGTTAAGAGTTTTTGTTTGATTTAGTAAATTACGGTTTTATTTCAAAAATAACCTTTAAATATGAAGATTTTTAATGACAAAAAAAGTCTGAATTTTGACCATTTTATCAATTTTAGTCAATTCTTTTAATTTTATCAATCAATACCGCGTACTTAATTTTCTATATCAATTATAGCCTCCATTTGTCTTCCTCAATTTTATGCTAATGTGGCAGTTATTTTTACAAGTAAGTCCTACAACATCCAATATCAGTACCAAATCATATATTCACAGATACTCAAAAAAAAAAAAAAAAAAATAACAAGATAACCTTTTACACCCTATGAAGATTTACTTTAATGACAAAAAAAGTCTGGAATTTTGACGATTTTATAATTTAGTCAATTCTGGGTTTAATTTTATCATAATACCCGCGTACTTAATTTTTTCTAATAATCAAATTATAGCCATCCATTTGTCTTTCCTCAATTTATTATCGCTAATCTGTGGAATTCAGTTAAAGTTATTTACAAGTAAGCCCTTCCCTGACAACCAACATCCAATATGCCGTACCCAAAATACATCAAACTATCAATCAGCACTACTCAAAAAAAAAAAAAAAAAAACTAGAAACTCTTAACCATTTCTTATCAAATCTATTCACGTTTTTCTTGGTAATCTTTATCAATAATTACTGCAGTACTTAACTTGAATCTTTTATCGAAAATGATTTTACTCTACTATTCTAATATCCTTAAATCAACTTAAATCAACTTTTATTAATTAACTATATAGTATACTGGTGTATAATGAAGATTAATAAATTAGAATTCCAAATTTACTGACAGAGTTTTTAAAAAATGTTATTTTTTTAAATATATATGATCATACTATACCTCTGCTCTCTCTTAACAATCGAAAAAAAGACGAAAGGGTCACTTATTAGAGGAATAATTTCAATATGATCCAGTAGATATCTTCTTATAGTGATTTTCTACCAAAAACTTCTTTGATTTCCATCCTGGAAATGAACTGAATCAATAATGAAAAGAGGACAAAATAAGAAGTATCTAAGAATTGTAAAATTATAAAGTATTCGAATTACTATACATGTTTTTGAAAAAACTCTTTTCAGTAAAATTGAACTTATAATTTTCTATCAAATCTACCCATTACTACACTTAATATACATAGTTAATTAATAAATTATTTATTCAATAATACCCCTCTAATATACATAAAATCATTTGATAGAGATTATCAAGTAAGAACCGGACCTGGCCCATTGATTTAAATTATAAAAGAACTGACTAACATTTTGATAAAAACGTTAAAGTTTCAAGAGGTTTTTTTTTTAGTATGGTATGAGATATAATGACATTGATATCTTGGAACGTCCAGACCATTGGAAACTGTTTTTATTCGGGACCGCACTTGTGAGAGATAACTTGCCATAATTAATATCGAAATTGACGGAAGACAAATGAATGGTGAATTGAACCTACAGAAAATTAAGTACACGAAATTAATTTGATAAAAAATAAAAAAAAAATCTGACTTACGAATTGATCATAATGCTCCCAAAAGATTCCAAAATTTACTGAAGAGTTTTTTAAAAATGTTATTTTTAAATATATAATCAATATACTTGCTCTCTTAACAATCGAAAAGCGAAGGGCAACTTAAAGAATATCATATGATCCAGTAGATATCTTCTTATAGTGATTTTCTAAAACTTCTTTGATTTCATCCTGGAAATGAACTGATCAATATAGAAAAATAAGTTCTAAGAAGTAAAATTATATATTGATTACTATAACATTTTTGAAAAACTCTTCAGTAAAATTGAATTATAATTTATCAATCCCATTATACACTTAATATACATAGTTAATTAATAAATTATTTAATTCAATAAATATCAATATAATAAAATCATTTGATAGAGATTAATTAGTAAGATTGATAAAATTAAAAGAACTGACTAAATTTGATAAAAACGTTAAAGTTCAGATTTTTTTTTAGTATACGTGGATATATGACATGATACTGACATTGGATGTTGTAGGGATCACTTGTGAGAGATAACTGCCATATTAATATGAAATTGACGGAAGACAAATGATGGTTAGAATTGATACAGAAAATTAAGTACACGATATTAATTGATAAAATAAAAAAAAAACTGATTAGAATTGATAAAATGGTCAAAATTCAAATTTTTTTTTATCATTATGCCTTTTCGAAATAACATGATGGAAATCCATATAATTTCACATTCTATGGATTTTAGATTTTAATTTTAATGTCTTTCGTATATTTATGAAAAAGAAAATTTTATTTGAGATATTAAGTCCAAAAAGTTGTTGTGTTTTTTATATAACTCCAAATTGATTTTGGGAAAATTAGACACTCAAACTTAGTGTGAAATTGATCGAGTTTAAATCTTTCACGTTAGAACTCTTAACCTTTGTTTAAACAGAAATATTTTTTTTAAGATAGAAAAATAACCATGAAAAATATATAGAAAAGGGTGTTTTTCTTTGTTTGTAAAATGGAAGAAAATATTGAAACAATTAACATTTCATTTATTTTCTACCTTAACCTACATTTTTTTTTTTTTAAGGTTGACCCACATGTTTTAAATTTTTTCAATTTGGAGAAAACATGACGGAGGGAAATAGAAGTTTTACTTATCTTTGATAAATTGCATGAGCACCCTAAAATAATTAGAATCATATTTTATTATTTAAAATAATTAAAACATAATTGTTAATTTTCAATAATAATATTTTTTTACTCTAAACTTTCACCTTTTTAAATAAAGAAAAATAAAATTTTTTTATTATATCCAAACACAAAAATAAAAAATAACAATGGAGAGAAAATTGAAAATTTCTCATTATTTTTATCCATTATCTTCCTTCATTATTTTTTCTTCCTTTTCTTTTCTAATGAAGTGTTAATTACATGGAATGATAAAAGCACTTGAATTTAATTCGTTTCAATTTTATTAATTTAATTTAAAATAAATAAATTTATTATTGAAATTAAAATTTGGATTAATTAATAGATTATATTTAAATATAAAAAATAGTTTTAAAACTATATTCAAATCTAGTGATACTTTACTCAACAATTGTACCATATATAACGAAAAGATCTCATAGCTATGGCCCAGATATAGATTTTAAGCCCATTTGATTAAGGAGTACTGATAGAGCCCAATAAATTTGGTACAATTTGCAAGATTTGATAAATCCAGTTCTCTACCCAATCCCAACTGAAGGCCCAGATACAACAATGGCCCACATGTAAAATCTCACACTTCAACTGAACAGAGGAAACCTTGCAACTCTTGAACAATGGCATCCACCAAAAAATCGAAGAACGAAGAGGACAAGAAGAAAAAGAGGATCAAAGTAGTAGCGAGCACAAAATCACCAAAACAAGAGAAAAATAAGGACAAAAAGAAGAAGAAGAAGCAAAATAACACTGCCAATGGCACAACAAGAAGAAGCGAATCTCTCGATGTGATGGTAATATCGTCGTCAAGTTGCGGCTCGCAAGAATCAGAAGAAGAAACTGTTAAGAGAAGCGAAACAAAGAAACGAAGCATTACAAGTACCAATAGGACCAAGAAAAGCAACAGCAAGAGGAAAGAACAGGCAGAAGAGGATAATGAGGAAGGAGAAGCTGAGATTACGTTTAGGTTTCCAATGGCTAGAATTAAGAGGATAATTACGCGTGAAGAATCTGGATTGCAACTTAATCAAGATGTGGTTTTCCTTGTCAATAAAGCCACGGTACATTTTCAATTTCGTTAATTGGGAGTCAATGATGTTGCTGTTTTAGGGTTAGGGTTGTTATTTTCTTGGTTTTTGAATTTGTTCTTTTGATAAAAAGTGGTTAGTGGCAAACATTTTTGAGGTGCAATTAGACTTCCTTTAATTATGAGCCCATGAGGAGATTAGAAACAATATTAGTTATTTTATTGAGTTGTGATATTGACATTGATATGATGACTTTCTTTCCTAATGTTTCATAAATATATTATAGTTAAGTTGTCGGTTGGTTGCAGGAGAAGTTCATTCAACAATTTTGTGAGGAAGGATATGATTGTTCAGTTCGGGATAGAAAGAAATCTCTAGGCTACAAGCACCTATGTAATCTCTCTTTCCTTTATTTTTTTTTAATAAACTGTTAAGCATAAATTGTAAGTTGTTTTTCGTAATTACTTTGCATTGTTATACAGATTATATCTGTGAACCCTAACCAACTTTTACTGGGATGTTTACTATAATTTTTCTGAACTAGTGCATAGTAATGAATTCATTTGGTCTTTTCATCTGTTATTAGAAATATATTCATGACTATCGTGTTTGGCATTTTTTCTGAACTAGTATATAGCAATGAATTCATTGGGTCTTTTCATCTGTTATAAGAAATATATTCATGACTATCGTCCGTTTGAGCGATACTCGTTATTTAGTTCCCTTTCTGAGTTTCCCAAGGTTACGAAAGGGCCTGGAGCCCGAAAAGGAATTCATGCTGATAAGTTTTCTAACGAGGTTCTGAAAAACTTCTCATATTTGGAATCATTATTCTATTATTGTGGTTTTGTTTGCTGAGAGAAATTTAGTTCTACGAGGACTACTGTGACATGAAGCCTTACATATCTTTTCTAGGAGGTTTTGCTCGTCTGCATGTATTAGAATAATTCAACTAAACAATATATCATGTTATATTTTTGATCTTCTACAAAATTTGAACTTGAGCAATTCTGTCCACTTTTAAATGCCAACACCTAGTCACATACTTTATTTAAGTCAAATTTCATAAAATTATCATATTGGACTTCCAAAATGTTATTACCATATTTACTGGATATGGAATGGTACTAATATGATTTCCTTTCGGTTTTTGGTTTCAGCATCAGTTGTTCGTGAACAGAGAAGATTTGACTTTCTTTCAGGTACTTAGTATGAATTTTCTCCATCTCTGTTTCATCTTTCATCATTTGATGCAATGTTGTTAGAATCGTACAATTCACGATACAAATCGTATCTAAGGGAAATCGATACGAATATTAGCGATGAATCAGAGAGCACCCTGAATCGGAATGAATCGCAACAAATTAACGATTCACGTAAAGTATAAAAAAACGAAAACAATAAAAACTAAAATATGGGCCCAACTCATGCAAACCTATTCCTAATAGGAGTAGGAGATTAAACTTCACATATCTTAGGAAAATTAAATGAGGTGAAGTCAGAAAGACAAAAACAATAGTATGTGGTTGGCTTACGATTGATATTTTGAACTTAGGAACAACACAAATTATTAGGTTTATTTATTATATGATTGATATTGGAATTTTCAATTGAATATTTAATATCTTTCGCTAAAATTATTCAGAATTAGAATTTTAATTGATTCTACAAAGGTTATAACGAATCTTATGATACGATTCGATTCGATTCTCGATTCAAAAAATGAGGCTTCCGATTCTCGATTTGACAACACTGATTTGATGCTTAAATGTAAATTCTTTCCAGAATGGGATAAGATATGCCTTGTGTAGTAGATTCTGTTGTTTGGGTGATGCTATTCACTACCCTGGATTTTTTTATTTCTCGTGTTTGTAGATTTCGTTCCTGACAAACTAAATGCTCAGGATGCCTTGGCACAAATGAAGTTGTTGGAGACTAGGCAAGGATAGGACCTTGGTAGCACACTAGCAGAGAATATAATCTGTACACTTACTCAACTTGTTTGGTAAATCATGCTTATTTCATCAGCCTGGTTTTTGTTTTAGTTGGCTGTATGTTGTAGACTTGAAAGGCAATATATCCTTACAACTTAGGTCGGATATTCATGTTCATTTGTTCATTTTAGGCTGTTCATTTTTCAATTGACATATATATTTCGTCAACGAAAACAATTTCTTGCTGTAAACCAGATTCGAAAATCATGCTAGGGTTATCTTTCTTCCAACCAGTAGTGTTTTTTATCTCGAGAAATTGTTCCCTGTGATTTGAATTGGATTCATTTGTAACATCTTTTTGTTCAGACGAGGAACAGTACATCAGTTGATCCTGTAAACTCAATTTTGACTGGAAATGGATTTCTTTTCATGTTGGGTTCATGGATTGATGAAAAAATTGTATAATTCCTTTTGTTTTTTTTATTGCTCATATTGCCCCCTTTCTTCGCCTTCGTTTTCCAAGCATATGCAAATTCAGAGACTTCAGTAAAGACTTCAGTAGAGATCTCAAGGCTTTACTGTAGGGTTGTTATCTCGGAATGATGAGGAAGAAGAAAAGGCGTCTGTACCAACTGCTTGAAGGCATTAAAATGCGGTTGCTGTCATTTCTTGCCACCTAAATGGTTGTAAAGTACACCAAATTCCTTGAAAAATTATGGTTCCCATTGAAGCTTGGATTAAGTATTTCAGTAACTGGCCAACTAATTTTTGGGTCCCTCTGAGGAAGTGAGGGGCAAACATTGGATTATAACTGCTGCAAATGTCAACGTCGGTTGTTTTATTATTCCTGTTTACATTATTGTTAATATCATTCCCAAGTTTGAATCATTATTAACAGTTAATGTCTTTGATAACCTCTTCTATGATGTATTGTTATTATCATCATCATCATCATCATCATCATCTTCATAGTTCATTAGATTCTGTTCTGCTTCACTCCAAATGATGATTTGTTTCAAACTAGAAATCAAAATGAAATTTCGCTCCTTTTGCTTGAAATTTCCCATCGTTCTCTAAGTCGATCAAAACAGAAAGAAAACCCTTAAGGTTAAAAATCGCTACAGCTCCAATCAAACCATGGAGAGGCAGTGAAACATGGGACAGGGGATAGTGTACGTTGTAAAATTGGGTTGTTGTTGGGCCCATGGGCCCAATTGCCATATCACCAAATAAGGTCTTTTTTAAACTACTGTTTCCGTTCTCAACGTGTATGTACACTTTTCCTTTTCGTTTGTTTCAAATTATCTCCCATTTACCATTTTACAAATTAAATAATAAAAAAGAATAATAAAATATAAACATGCCAAAGAACCAAAAAAATTTCAACAAGGAGGAACAACTTCATTGAAGAAGAGAAAATCTGAAGAGATTAAATTCAAAATCTGAATTTATTGTTTTCGAAAAAATAAATAGAGTAAGAAAAGCACGAGAGAGATGATCTTGAAGACATTCTCTTGACAAATCTTAAGAAGACATTCCGTTAGACTTATTGTATAAGCACCTTTTAACTCAGTCTTTCTCCCTTTTGCAAACCAAATGAAGAAAGAGGCAAAAAAGAATAAAATAAACCCATAACAGCTTGTTTCGTAAGATTGTGGCAAACAACAATATCTCTGTTTTTTCACCCAAAATACATTAACAAAGTAAAAGCAAAGCAATCATGCAAGGCTTTTATTTGCCCACACACACCCACTTGATATCTCTTCTTGTTTTTCTGCCTTTTGAAGCAAACTACTTGCTCCAGCAGTATTATTTCACTCTCTCTCCAATAATTCCACTCCATCTTTTCAAGAAAGATAATTCTATTTACAGCTAATGTTATCTAACTAAAAATTGCAACATTATACCTAACTTCATTCTTCATTCTTTCACCCCTCCATAATAAAAACCCTCTCTCCCCTTTCTTCTGGTATCAAACTATCAAGGACCACTCTTGTTAGTGTCTCCACATTTTCTTTGTGCAGTTTCTTTGTATTATAAGCCAATATTACACTATAAAAATAACAATGTTAGCATCGAAATTTCTCTTTTCTGTCTCATTTCTCCTATTCTTTCTTCTCCATCCCACCAAAACCCTAGCTCAAGGTCCAGCAGCCGCTCCGGCACCACCTGGCCCCACCAACGTTACAAAAGTCCTTGAAAAAGCCGGTCAATTCACTGTCTTTATCCGGCTACTTAAAGCCACACAAGAAGATGTTACGTTAAATGGTCAACTAAATAACACAAACAATGGTATAACCATATTTGCACCAAGTGATAGTGCATTTCAAAGCCTAAAATCAGGTACTCTTAATTCCATTAATGATCAAGAAAAGGCAGAGCTTGTTCAATTCCACATTATCCCAACTTATGTATCAAGTTCCCAGTTCCAGACTCTTAGCAACCCTGTGGCTACACAAGCAGGTTCAGGTGACAGGTTTCAGTTGAATGTTACTACAACAGGAAATGCAGTGAATATTTCTACTGGACTCACAAATACAAGTGTATCAGGCTCAATTTACACTGATGGGCAACTTGCAGTTTATCAAGTTGATAAGGTTTTGCTTCCCATAGACATTTTTACTCCTAAACCTCCAACTCCAGCACCGGCACCGGAAATTTCAAAGAAAAAGAAGGCTAAGGCTATTGCAGACAGTCCAGTTTCTACTAAAGATGTTTCTGGTGCAGAAAGCTTTATTATTAGTAACAATGTTGTGTTGTTTGGGGTTGGTATAGTTACTGCAATTCTTTCTTTGTGACATAAAATGTTCTTGATGAGGCATGTTGGGGTCAGATCAGTTTCTCAATGGTGTATGGTTTTGATAAGTTGGGTTGAATATGGTAATGGTGGTGGTGGTGGTGGTCGAGGTATATGGTGAGTGCTTTTGAATAATTTCTGCTTTCTTTTTTTTTTTTTTTTTTTTTTTTTTTTTTTTTTTTTAGGACCTCCAACTCCAGCACCGGCACCGAAAATTTCAATAGAAAAAGAAGGCTAAGGTAATTGCAGACAGTCCTAGCTTCTACTCAGATGCTTTTCTGCGTGCAGAAAGACTATTAATTATTAGTAATCAATGTTGTGTTTGGGTTGGGGTTTTGGTATAAATACACACGTAATACCTAACCATATGATAATAGGGCAATTAACTTTCTTTTGTGAACATAAAATGTCTTGATGAGGCCCATGTTGGGGTCAGAATAAGATTCCTCAATTGGTATTGGCCTCTTTTTGATAAGTTGGGTTGAAATATGGTTTAATGGTGGGTGGTGGTGGTTGGTCCGAGGTAAATATTGGTGAGGTGCTTTTTGGAAATAATTTCTTGCTTTCTTTTTTTTTATTTTTTTTTTGTTCCTTTTTTTTTTTTTTTTTTTTTTTTTTTTTTTTTTTTTTTAAGTCTCTCAATTGTATCATCTTTAAGTTTATGATTATTAAGATTGAATTTTGATGTTTTTATTTTTCTTCCTTGAGATTTGTTCCCAATTTTTCTTTTTTTTTTCCTCAGATTTATTGTACTTTAAGCATTTTGTAACATATATAATTTGAGAATATTGTCAATTTTTTTCTTTTTTTTTCGGAATTAAAAAAGAGGCATACAAGTCATTATTATTAAGTAAACCATAACATTACTAATTAATATTCTCCAATAATTTTAGAATAAAGAAGTCGGTGATTTGGATTAATTGACACTAAGCCTCAATTAAGGACATACAAATGGTGAAAAGCTAATAGGATGATGGTGGTTTTTTCTATCATTGTCGAGGAACGGCATACAAATTAATGATACAACAACCTAATAGCTGTAAACCTGCCTATCAAGATGTGGTTTAGTGATAAATTTATTAATGACCTTACAATAGACGAGGTTCGAACCATCTTTCCTTGAATACTAAAAAAAAAAAAAAAAAAAAAGGTTACGACACGCAATCTTCTCTTGAATACCGTAAAAAAAAAAAAAAAAAAAACTGTAAACTGAAAGTAGATAGTTAAACTAATTTCCAATTCTTTCAAAAAAAAAAAAAAAAAAAAAAACAATCGCAATTTGGCAAGGGTGAAATTATTTCATTATTGATTCAGGTTCTAATTTAAGAATCAAAATGAAAATTATGATTTATTATGTCAGATCTATTTATGCATGTAATATGTTTAATGTTATTTTAATATATTAATATGAACATAGCTAATCCTAAATCATACATTTTTCTTTTTAAAGATACATATTCTACATACTTATCTGATTTATTTTAAGAATTTTTAAGCGGGTTCATACAGTCCACTCAAGATTGTGGATTTACTTTGCTCACACCAAAAAACAAAAAAATAACAGAGAGGAAAGCAAAAAAAAAAAAAAAAAAAAAAAAATCCAATTGGCAAGTGAAATTTATTTCATTATTGATCAGGTTCTAATTTTAAGATCAAATGCATTATTGATTAATGTCTATGACTCTCTTATACATGTAAAATATGTTTATTGTTTTAATTAATTAATATGAACATATATCTACATACTTTTTTTTTAAAGATAACATATCTACATACTTCATCTGATTATTTTAAAATTTTTAAGCGGTTCAGTCCATAAATGGATTTATTCTCCACAAAAAACAAAAAATAAAAAATAAAAAGCTTAAATTTATTGAAGGACAATCATCAATAATCATATAGCATTGTTGGTTTCTTTTTCTGCACACATTATTTGGAATGATCAACGGGATTTCTTGCCCAAGCAGCAATAGGCAATACCTTATCAAATTGTTGCAGGCTTCTAATATTCTAAACATCTCTGAATTCTGATATTTTTTAAAATTTTATATGGGCATTTGTTTGTACAGAAATAATTGCAACTAAATTATTTGAATTTTTGACAAGAAATTTAGAGAAAATGATAAATTTTTATGTAACTCAGGAAAGCATGTCATACATTCAAATTCTCATTCCTTGATCTATGAAGAAAGAAAAAGAAAAAGAAAAAGAAAAAGAAAAACAATTCAATTTATTTTTGTGCAATAACAGTAAACTGGGACTTAATCGTTTTAATGGTAGCATTCTTTACGTGATTCTATCCCCCAACCCGGAAAAAAAAAAAAAAAGTTTGGGTGCAAGCATTGGACCTATTGCTTTTATCCCCTTAGAAATTTGTCACGGTTTGATCATAAACAACTGAACTAAATGCACAGGACACCCCTGCTGATCTGTTGTGTTTTAATTAATCCTAACATGGTTTAATTGAATTTATTTAGTACATTGCTATTTTTTTTCCTGAGCTAATTAAGATGTAGCAAAGTGAAAAAGAAAATTAATTCTTTAATCATAATCAAGCTAGCTTCAAAGCTTCATACTTTCTTGATATGAAAAATCAAAGAATAATTAAGAAATTAACTTACCTTGCTAGGCTGAACCCCGTAAGCCAAACTGCAAACTTACCAAGGGGAGCTCTTTTTGCAGGTACTATGGAGCTAAATATACTTCACCATATAGACCAATAAAAAATAATAGTTACACAACCAACAAGGTATTGGATGAGTGATTAGTAATTTCAATTCCTGTAAAGACAAATTCCAACTCTAGAAAGTGCAATTTGCTGTAAGTTTTCTATTCTTTTTACATATGCAAGAATGGTGCTAGATAGGTTAATTTATTGTGGTTACTTGGACAAAAGGCAGAGCTAACTTGAGAGTTATTACTTGTTTATCCAACTCATCAAATAATATGTGGGCATGGGATTAAGGTTGTCCACTTCCTTTCTCCAGCTAAAATGTCACAAGATACTCTATCTCAGTGATAAGGCTATCATTTCTATTTGATACAGACAACTCTATAGAGCCTGTATCAATATCATTATGCATATGCATGTTAATGGTATAATGCATAAATTTGCCTCTTATTATGCGATTTGTCTTGTGGCATCCTTAAGTTGCAAGTAATCTATCATGAGCCTACATTTTCACATTTCAATAACAACTATACCCCTCGCCAAAATGAAATAACTTTACAAGAGTTTAATTATGATTCTGCACTTTTACATTTTATTTTGGCGAGAGATATAATTATTACTGAAATATAAAAGTGTCGGATCATTATAGGTTCCTGCAAACTTGAGAGTACCACAAAATAAATTGCGTAAATTTTAAGGGCAAATCTATGCATTTGGCCGCTCATTAATTAATCTTAAGTTTGCGGATTTACCCGCTTCATCGTTCTCCTCAATTTTTTTTTTTTTTGCTTAATTTCCAAGCAAAAGTTGCTACAAATTAATATATACCTTTCACCTTTTCAAGTGAGACAGAACATTAGCAACTACTTAATTAGTGTATGCATATTGTAACTAAAATTTAACATTACACCTAATTTGATTCTATGTATAAATCCCTCCCTATCCCCCATTTATATCCGTCATCAAACACTTGCAAACTTAAACACAAACACTAATATTTAGCTACTTTTCTTGCATTTGTTAACTAAATAACACTTGCAATTAAGATGATGATCAATATATTTTCACTTGTTATTTTCATTATTCTTCTTCACACCAAAACTACCCTATCCCAGTCTCCGGCTGCTGCACCGGCCCAGGGACCGGCGATCGCATCCCCTCCACCACCACAACCACCAGTATCATCACCTGCTCAACCATCTTCAGTACCAGCCCCTACCAATGTCACGAAAATCCTGGAAAAAGCTGGTCACTTCACTATCTTTATTCGCCTTTTAAAGTCAACAGAAGAAGAAAACCACTTGCTTACCGTCCTAAATAACTCAAACAATGGTCTAACCATCTTTGCCCCAACCGATGGTGCATTTTCGACACTTAAGTCAGGAACTCTTAACTCGTTGACTGATCAAGAAAAATCAGAGCTGGTTAAGTTTCATGTAATTCCTTCTTTTTTATCAACTTCACAATTTCAAACTGTTAGTAACCCAGTTGGGACTGAGGCTGGAGCTGGTGGCCGAGTAGCTTTAAATTTCACTACTTATCAAAGTTCAGTTAATATCACTACAGGTCTTACTAACACAAGTATTTCCGGTACTGTATACTCTGATAACCAATTAGCTATTTACAGGGTTGATAAAGTTTTGCTTCCTATGGATATTTTTACATCCAAGTCTCCAGCTCCAGCTCCAGAACCAGTAAAAGGGAAGAACCCCAGTAAGAAGAAAGCTCCTGCTTCTACTGATGTCACAAGTCCTGTTGCTTCGGCTACTGCTACTACTACTACTACTACTGATACTCCTACTGTGAATACTTCAGGTGCAGAAAGTTCTGCCTATTATGATTTGGCGGTTATTGGAGTTGGTTTGGTTGCTGCAGTTTTTTGTTTATGATATGGGTATTAAAGGGTTTTGGATTTTCGGGTTTTGGTGTTTTTTTCTTTTCTTGGGAGTTGGATTGAATGGTGGTGATCGGCATTGTTTGTGAGTGCTTTTCAATAACTGCCACTTTTTCTCATTCAGTCCTATATATATTTTGCATCGGTTTAATCTGATTTATTAGAATTCAGTTTGAGTTCTGGTATCTGTAATAAAAATTAATGTCTTGTATTAATCTATAAATGTTTAATTAATTATTCTTTTTTTTTAATTTATTATATTTTATTTTATGATTATGTATCCAAATTCCATCCTGGTTAATTTGAAAGTACTAAATTGTTATCTTGCAGTTCAACCACTTATAATTAAGAGTTATATATAACAAAATCCATTCTAAAAAAAGAAACGAACTAAATGGTCTCTATTAATAATTTAAAAACAAAAACATTATAGCAACAAATAACAAAATGACAAGAATTTAAATTATTATCTTGTAATAGATAAAGATATATAAAAATTGAGTTATTTGTGAGGTAGTGAATATAAATACTCAAAATATATTTGAATTGTGGTTAAGTCGAGCTTGAATGAGAGTAGCTCAAATAGTAATGACTAATTCCAGTACCATAATATTTTGTTTTTTTCATTTGTTCTAAATCATAATCTTTTTTAAAGAATGTATGTAGCGCGAATTTGAGATATAGATATGATAATATATTTTTATCAAAATAATGATAATTTTAACAAAACATGCTAACTCATATATTTCATAAACACGCATATCTTATTAACAATATGAAATCTTGAAAGACCACCAAATTATAAATTTTCATAATATTTTAGGATACTTTATGCGTAGTGGCAGAGTCAGAATTGAAGGCAAAGCGAAAAATTTTTCAAAAATTGAGAGGGAGCAAAATTAATACGATGCACTATTTGAAGGGATTCAATTGAAAAGTTTCATAACAAGGCATTCAATGTGAAGGGAGAAATGAATGATCAACCAATTCTTGGAATATACAATGTTCATATATTTTTTTTTTTTTGTATGTTTAACTATTATTAATTATTATAAAGTTTTTACAAAAAGTGTTGTCGTTAGCTATAATGTTTTGGCAGCATGATATATAGGAGATTTATCAATGTGCAACACCAATATAGGTGCCAAATAAACTAAATAATAATAATAATAATAATAATAATAATAATAATAATAATAATAATAAACTTGGATTAAATAATTAATCCTATAACATTATCTGTAATTATTTACAAGTTCATCAAGTTGAGCTATATCCATTTGGTTTATATGAGTTGGATTATGACAAGTGACACAGAGTTAATTATGTGCAAATCATGTTTCAGCTAAAATGTCCCAATGCAAAAAGCTGTCCTTTCCTTTTGATTAAGACTAATAAAACATCAGTTGTACATCCCAAGCACAGATTCATCTTCTCAAATAATACATCCACTTCATATCTCCTCTATTTGCCCTTCTTTTTAAAGCTAATATATCTTCTTTAATTAGCTCTATATAGATCATATCTCTCTCTCCATTCATACCTTCCATCAAGTATCTTTGTAACTAAAATTGCACTTAACACCTAATTAATTTAATTAATTAATTAATTAATTAACTTCTATTTTTCATCATTATATAAACCTTTTCTATCCCCTCTTCACACATCAACCCACTTTGACATTTGCAATTATTACTTAATTATATTTATTAACTGTTGTTCTTCTTTTTCTATCTCTACAAAAAATGAACCTCCAATCTTTCTTCTCATTTTCACTTCTCCTAATTCTCTTCCTCCATTCCACCAATACCCTCGCTCAATCACCAGCAACAGCTCCGGTTCAACCACCTCCGCTTGCCCCGGTACAACCACCGCCAGCACCACCAGTACAAGCACCATCAGCACCGGTAACAAAATCACCAGGCCCCACAGATGTAGTAAAAATCCTTGAAAAAGCCGGTCACTTCACCATCTTAGTCCGGCTACTAAAATCGACCCAAGAGGATTCAGAATTACTTTCGGAGCTAAACAATACAAATAATGGAGTAACAATTTTTGCTCCAAACGACAATGCGTTTTCAAATCTCAAAGCAGGCACTTTAAATTCTCTGTCCGACAGTCAAAAAGCTGAGCTACTGAAATTTCATATAATTCCTACATTTATATCATTATCTCAGTTTCAGACAGTAAGTAATCCTGTAAGAACACAAGCAGGGACAGGTGGACGGCTGGATCTTAATGTTACTACAGTTGGTAGTTTTGTTAATATAACTACAGGACTTACTAATGCAAGTGTTTTAGGAACTGTGTATACAGATAATCAGCTAGCAATTTATCAGGTTGATAGGGTTTTACTTCCTTTGGATGTATTTACCCCGAAGCCTCCTGCTCCAGCTCCGGCGCCGGCAACCGAAAAGTCTGGTGGCAAGAAAGATCCTGATTTGGAGAGTCCCACCGGTAATGTTAATCCTAAGGATAAAGATACTATTTCTAGTGCAGAAAATTTTACTGGGCATAACAATTTGGGTTTTCTTGCAGTATTTGTTTTATTAGGAACCGTTCTTGGGTGGTTTTGATTTTCTTTTTGAGTTTTTTTTTGAATAATTTCTGCGGATTTTTGGAGACCGTTGGATGGTGATTGGTGGGTGTGATTTTGAATAATTTGTTCTTTTTCTACCATCTATACAAGTGTATATTCATGGAAGATCATCATGCACAGACCGCATAAAGTGAACGTTTGATCACGAAGGAGAAGATGAAGGAAATATTATCGAGTTTTATCATCATTAATTTGTTTTGATAATTATTTGAATTGTGTTTGGTATAATTGTTATTCTAATTATCTGAATAAAAAATTAGCCTTTCTTTTCTTTTACGGAAAATAGCACAATACACCTTTTGTTTATCAGAGCAAACAAGAATTTTATTTGAGAATTAAATAGAAATAAACATATGTTCAGGAAAAACTCAACTAACCATATTATTACATTTAAGCCATCGAGTTTTCTCCGGTACATCCTATCATCTCCTGAAAAGTTAAATAAAACCTGAATTCATACTCAATAGATGACTGAAAATACAAGAACGAATAGCAGCAGTCCCTTTTCATGAGAAGAGAAAAGAAACTACTGATGAATAAAAAAAAAAGATACAATATTACAACCTTGCCAAAAAAGGATTGTAGTTGTTATCCTTTCTTTGTCAAAGAATTTGCAAATGAGTTTCTTCTCCTCTGTATATGATGAAATTGAATCGGAGATAAAATATTAATTAAGACATCAAATCTGTTAAATTTTTGCCACAATTTATATGGTTTTTTATTTCTATTGATAACCTAAGGGATAGCATTCCTTGAATCAGACTCAATAATCAAAGGACAACATTTATATTGTGATTCATAGAATAATTCTATTGCATATTCAGCCTTGTTTGAGTCCATAACACTCACAAATCTGCCTTGTTTGAGTCCATAACACTCACAAATCTAAATAGCACAATACACCTACTTGAGTCCATGCAACGCAATTCTCAAACTTCGGCTAAAAATCTCAAGACCAACCTTTAGCCCACCCAACTTTCATTAAAAGTGAACGACAGATTTTAAATAATACCTCGTCCATTGTATTCCACGAGATAACAGTGATGATGTTGAAAAGCTTTTTCGTCATCAATATGTATTATGGACAATTAATAATTTTTTTTATCAGCAAATATAAATTTATTATTATTAAAAAATAGCTAAAAAGTAGAAAAAAAGAATAACACATTTAATTGTCAGTTGAAATATTTAATTATGATATCAACAAATATACATTTTAAGGCCATCGATGTTCTTCTCCCCGATACACTCCTATCATCTCCCTGAAAAAAGTTAATAAAACCTGAAATTCCATACTCAATAGATGACTGAATAACAAGAACGAATAGACAGCAAGCTTCCCCTTTTCATGAGAAGAGAAAAGAAACTACTGATGAATAAAAAAAAAGATACAATATTACAACTTGCCAAAAAGGATTGTAGTTGTTTTTAATCCTTTCCTTTGTCAAAGAAATTTGCAAAATGAGTTTCTCCCTCTGTAAATATTGAATGAAATTGATATCTGGAGATAAAATATTAATTAAAGACATCAAATGCTGTTAAATTTTGGCCATCAAAAAAAAAAAAAAAAAACAAAAAGAAAACCAACAAAGTCAATTTCTATATGGTTTTTTTATTTCTATTGATAACCTAGAGGGATAGCATTTCCCTTGAATCCAGACTGCAATGATCAAAGGATAACAAAAAAATTTAATATGGTAGATTCATAGAATTATATCTCCTATTGCATATCTCAGCTCTGTTTGAGTCCATAACACTCACAATCCTCGCCCTTGTTTGAGTCCAATACTACCTCACAAATCTATCGCACAATAACACCTACTTGAGTCCATTGCAACGCAGATTCTCAACCCTTCGGCTAAAAATCTCAAGACCAACCTTTTAGCCCACCCAAACTTTCATTTATTAAAGATGAACGATCAGATTTTAAAATTAGATCCCATTCGTCCATTGTATTCCTCCACGAGATAAAGTCGATGATGTTGTTGAAAGCTTTTTTCGTCATCTTCAATATGAAGTATTATGGACAATTAATATTTTTTTATCAGCAAATATAAATTTATTATCTCATTTAAAAAAATAGCTAAAAAGTAGAAAAAAAAGAAATAACACAGTATTAATTCCGTCAGATTGATTAATATTTACATTATGCATTTCAAAATACCTCTATAGATATCACTAATATATATATATATTTATTATTTCATATATAGTACATAGTATATATATTTATAGTATTATTTATATACTAATGAATATTAGTCGACTACCTACTGATACCTTATCCGTCTAAAAGCTTTAAAATATCCACAGTTACTTAGATCATTGGAGCAAATTTAAAACATTGTATTTTTACGTTAAATTTTTATATAAAAGCTTTAAATATCACGTTAAGATATTGGAGCAAATTAAAACATTGTATTTTTACGTTAAATTTTAAAATTATATATAAAATATATATCTGTTTTTTCTCTTATAGGAAATCAAGAAAATTGAGAATCGCGTTGTACCAAATCAAAAATTAACAATTATATTGTCTTTAAATAACATTATTTTAGTTGCTATAAGTTTGGCTTAGCTTGGAACTAAGCATGATGTCCGGGATTGATAACATTTAGATAAACTTGTTCAGACAAAGATTGGATCAAGTTGATGAGTCGGTGAATTCATAGGTTCAGAGTTATTTTTTTTATTTTTATTATTTTTTTTTAAAGTTAACATAGCAAGCAACCAAAGGTTCCCATAAACTTCTTATTTCTCGCAATACTATTTCGAGGGATTAAATTGTTGTCTTCCAATTATGCCCCTCCGTTTATATTCTTATGCTTTTAGTATGTATGTCTATTACTCTAAATATTAGCTACAATATTTCTCTTCATATTATTTTTTATTCAACGGAACCCGACGAGAGATTTACTACCTATACTTGCACATACAAAAATATATTGGTTAAGGATTGAAGTTTATAGTCTTGAATGACCAGTTCCATTCTTCCATTTTCCTAATAATTAGCAACCATTAGTTAATTATTTGACCCTTTCTCCAATTCTAATTAACAAGACTCTTAAGAAAATAAGCCTAATTATAGCAAAATTCTTAATATAAATAAATCCCTATCTCTTTCATCATCAATCAACAAAAATAAAAATAAAAATTCATTTCAAGAAGAGAGTAAAAAAATAAAAAAGAAGAATGGCTCTACCTAAGGGACTGATTGTCTTTGCCTTTTGCATGCTCATGTTGAGCACAACTATGATAATGACAACAACAGCAGAGGAACCGACAGAAATTGCAGATACAGACAGCAGCACCTTTGGACAGGATGATAGCAGCACCTTCGGCACAAATGTCAAAGGAGCAGGCTGCTCATGTTGAGCACAACTATGATAATGACAACAACAGCAGAGGAACCGACAGAAATTGCAGATACAGACAGCAGCACCTTTGGACAGGATGATAGCAGCACCTTCGGCACAAATGTCAAAGGAGCAGGCTCCAAGAGGTTGTTTAAATAATAATAAAAGAATTCATCATTAAGCTATAATTTATGCGGGTAATAAGAATTTCCAATAGATTGAAGTCATGTCTGATTCTCTATGAATGAGAATGCAAATATGCATTGTAATAACTCCTCAAATAGGATTTCTTTAGAATCCTATGAAAAGTTTTGTATTTGAATAAATTTTGAAGTTACTCTTATTTTACTTCAGCGTTATTATAAGTTTCCTATGAAAAATGAATCTCCAATCTTTCTTCTCATTCTCACTTCTCATAACTCTCTGCCTCCACTCCACAAATACCCTAGCTCAATCACCAGCAACCGCTCCAGTTCAACCACCTTATTGTTTGATGACGAAGGAGAAGATGAATGAGATATCATTGAATTTTTTAATTTTATCATCATTGGTTTATTTTGTTTAATTTTGATAATTATTTGAATTGTGTTTTGTATAATTGTTATTCTAATTATCTGAATAAAAAATTAGCCTTTCTCTCTTCTTTTACGGAAAATAGCACAATACACCTACTTGAGTCCATGCAAACGCAAATCTTAAGCTTGGGCTAAAAATCTCAAGACCAACCATTTAGCCCACCCAACTTTCATTAAAAGCGGATGACAGATTTTAGTTCATGCCTCCCATTGCATTCCACGAGATAACAGTGATGATGTTCAAAAGCTTTTACGTGATCAATATGTATTATATGAACAATTAATAATTGGCAGTCAGATTTTAACAAAAAAACAAAATTACCAGTTGAAATATTTAATTGTGGGATGAATACATATATATGGTGATCCCCGAAGAGTCTTGAAATATTTAATTGTTGGGATTTGAATACGGATCACTATAATAATATCTATATATAATAACACCGCCTATGCATACTACCCTAAGTATAATAAATAATTATATATTATATAATATACTACCCGAAAATAACTGGGTAAAATATTATTATTTTAGTCCGGGTTTAAGTTTTACTAATTAAACCAACTAATCCGCAAGTCTTTGACAAATATCCTAAGCTCAGCTCCTCTCAGCGTTTTAACTCGGTCTAATCTCCACAACACGCGCCCTTCCTCTCGTAACGAAAAAAAGGCTTTCGTTTTTTTTCCCAGTATAATCTGCACAAGACCATAAACCAGAACTAAAACACCCCCCCGGTCTTACTATTCGCCGGTTTGCACCGATAAGGACCCATAAAAGGAACAATTATTAATCTAGGGTCCCGCAGGTTTTGACATGGAATTTTATACTAACTAATCCCAAGTTTTGCACAAATCATTAACTAGTCCCTCGTGGATTAACTTCCGTCTAAATTGAAATTGTCCCTTCCCCCTCAAGGCGATTATGTTGAGGCCTCGCGATCCGAGAAGTTAGTTTTTATCTTCGGCCTCTCAGAGTTGAGAGACTAAAAGACTAGAAAAATCCCATCCATAGCTTTGAACGTGGAAACCAGGTAAGAAGCGATAAGGGGAGGGCGAATGTTATACCACACTACAAAAGACTATAATAATATTTTCTCCCTAAAAAGACCAAATATTTCTTAATATAACAAGTATTTTAGACCAAATTAGATAAATATTTTAGAACAAACTATTTTCTCAAATCTGACAAGTATTATGGAACAAAGACAGTATTAAAAAAAGGATAAAAAAATCAATTTGATGTTCTAATTAAATATTATTAAATTTAACTGAATCATGAAAGTAAATACCTCTTCAAAAAAGTAAATACCTCATTTTTCTTTTTACCCCAACTTATCATCATAGTTTCTTTTTTAGACAAAAAGTAATAAACATAATTTTCTATTTTATTCATATTTAATATGCAAATTTTATCAAGAAACATTACTATTATCATTGATAAATTATCATTGATAAAATCTAAAAAAAAAAACAAAGTATTCCATCTATTCATAAATACTTTTAATATTTTTATGGTAATTAAGTAAGTAAATTTATTCTTATAAATTATAACAAAATATTAATTAATTTTATTACGTAACCTTAAGTAATAAGAGAAGGTGATGTTATATGATTTGAAAAATTATAAAAATAATTATTAAATTTAATATAAATAAGGATAAATTGAAAAAAAAAATTTAATTACTTCATTAATATTTCCTAAAAAAAAAAGATTTAATTTGCGGAGAAAACACCGGCTCTAAAAAATAATAGTTATTTATAGAATAAAAAAAGTAATTATTACTGGCCACCTTATAATTATTATAATTTCATAACTTTGAATATTATTAATATTTAAATGCAAGGTTATCTGTGCAAAGATAAAACTAGGTATACTCATTATGGCATGGAAGGAACAAAAGGGAAACAACTAGGTAATAATATTTGCGGAGAAAACACCGGCTCTAAAACAATAGTTATTTATAGATAAAAAAAAGTAATTATTATTGCCACTTATATTATTATAATTTCATAATTTTGAACATGAATATTAATATTTAATACAAGGTTATCTATGCAAAAGATAAACTAGGTATATCATTATGGCATTGAAGGAACAAAAGGGAAACAAACTAGGTATATCATTATCGCTTCATACTGGTCCACGTCAGCTAAGGAAGGGTGTTTTAGTCTTTTAGTCTTAATTAATGGAAAAAAAACTAACTTTTCGGACGGAAGAATCTTTTAATTAGACGGAGTTAAACCTGAGGGACTAGTTAGATATTTGCGCAAAACGTGAGATTAGTTGGATAATTATGTAAAACCTGAGGGACTAAATAAAACCTGAGGGACTAAATAATAATTTACCCTATATATATATATAGCGTTAAATAACACGTTTAAGATATTGGAGCAAATTAAAGTATTGTATTTACATTAAATTTTAAAATTATATATAAAATATATATCTATTTTTTATCTTATACGGAATCAAGAATCAACGCCTTATACCAAATCAAATATTAACAATAATGTTCTCTTTAAAGAACATTATTTTAGCTTCTATGAGTTTGGCTTAGCTTGGAACTGGATAACATTTAGATAAACTGGTTTTGACAAAGATTGGATCAAATAAGATGTTGATGAGCTGGTGTATTCCGACGTTCAGAATAGTTCTGCAAGGACTTTTAAATAACTATAAATACAAGTGCAGGAAAAAAATTTATAATTTGGTATTTTTAATACCTAAGTTAACAAATTCATATTGTCTTTTTCTTCTTGATGGGATATCAACAGATTCATTAATCATGCCTCAGATTCTTGGGTGTAAAGAAGATGAGTTTGGTTTTTTGTTTTATAAACAAATTATATTTATTTTTAGTTGTTATAAATAAAGAAAAATTTAACATTAAGACACTATTTCCATATCAATGAGTTTTCAATATACCTGATCTATTTTATATATGTTAAGTGAAAAATTTGAACAACCTTCAACAAATAAATATGCAAGAGACTATTTATGGGCCAACAAGTTCTCAAATACTAAATGAAAATACTTGAAAGACCTCAACAAACAAAAAAAAAAAAGAGAGATTAAGAGATTAAGATTTGGTAAATTATCCTAAACAAAATAAAATACAGTTTGGATTTTCTAATTATGCACGTAACAACTCCCATAGACAATTGTTAGCTTCACGTATGTTAGTTTAGCCTATACAGGATTAATTCTCAAATCATTATTTTGAGTCTTAACCAAAATTATGCGAAACATTTTATTATTGAATTTTATTTTAATAAAATTATTTTTAAATTACTCAAAATAGCCTGGTTTAGTAGTTGGTGTGCAATAATTCCTACAGTCAGTCATAAAATTTGGAGGTCTGTATTTTGGAAATATTTTAAGATAAAAGTGCTTTTCAGCCTAAAAGGTCTTCAGTTGTAAGACGAGTAGCAAGAGGATCCTCTTGCTAACCACGAAAAAAAAAAAAAAAAAAAAAAAAAAAAAAGTAGCAAGAGGGATCACTCTTGCTAAAACCACGAAAAAAAAAAAAAAAAAAAAAAAAAAAAAACTAATAAACTATAGAAGTTAGGAGATCATTGTGGCTTGAACATTACTAATATAATATATATGTCTTTCTATTGATTAAACAGCCATTTTCTGTGGATTGGGTTGTCCCTAATCATGAAAGTGAAGTGAAAAAAAAAAAAAAAAAAAAAAAAAAAAACTATAAACTATAGAAGTTAGGAGATCATTGTGGCTTGAACATTACTATATATATATATGTCTTTCTATTGATAAACAGCCATTTTCTGTGGATTGGGTTGTCCCTAATCATGAAAAGAAGTGAATCGTTCTTGGTTAAAATGTATAAAAGTTTCTTTCTTTAATACAGACAAAACATTAACTCATTTCACAGATTTGATTTATATTTATAAAAACCACATTTAGCAAGATCTGTTTCATATACTATGCATCAAATATATATCTGTCCACATTAACCAAATTCGAAATATACTCTTCACCTTTATGAAAAAAATTTAAAAGCAAACCATAAACTAATTAATTTAACAACTGAGTTGCTCCACACCTAAATATCATTATCCCTCCTTTATTATAAAACCTCCTCTTATTACCTTCTTCTTACCCAACAAATACTTGTGCAATTTCTACTATTTCTACTGCTACTTCTATTACTAGTTCTACTAATTAAACTACAAAGCAAATATGAAGCAACAATCTGTCTTCTCATTTTCATTTTTCCTCCTCTTCCTCCATTGCACAAAAACCCTATCCCAATCTCTGGCTACGGCTCCAACACCTCTGGTGGCCCCAGTACAAGCTCCGCCTCCACTTCCTCCACCACCTCCACCTGTGGCACAGGTACCAATATTACCAGGCCCTATCGATGTGGCGAAAATCCTCCAAAGGGCAGGGCACTATTCGATCTTTGTTCGCCTGTTGAAAGAGACGGATTCAGAGTATGAGCTAAAGGTAGAGCTTAATCATACGCACAATGGAATAACAATCTTTGCTCCAACTGATAGTGCATTTTCAGGGCTCAAAACCGGAACCCTAAATGATTTAAACGACGGAGGAAAAGTAAAGTTGGTTAAATTTCATATAGCTCCTATATATATCTCAAATATTACTCAGTTTGAAACAGTTAGTAACCCTATAAAGACACAAGCAGGAAAAGGAGGCAGATTTTCACTAAATGTTACTACAACAGGAAATATTGTTAATATAACTACTGGGGTTACGAATACGACTATTTCAGGTATTGTTTATAACGATAACTACCAGCTTGCCATTTATCAGATTGACCAGGTTTTGCAGCCTATGGATCTTTTTGCTCCTAATAAGTTACCTCCTACACCTGCTTCTGCTTCTGCTCCTGCTCCTTTGGTTGTAGCACCGCCGCCGGAGAAGCCTAAGAACATTACTATTCCTGCCGTAGAGGCTCCTGATGTTCCTATTGATGATGTTTCTAGGGCAGTAAGTTTTTGTTTGCATGGTTACAATGTTGTGATTCTTGCAGTCAGCACTACTATAGTGGCCGCAATGTTTTAAGGGATTTATTAGGTACATTATGGGGGTTGGGGTTCCTTTATGATTTCGATAATGGGTATTTGTATTTTGATTCTTTATGAATCGATCCTATGAGTGCTTATGAATAACAATTATCTTCTTTTTTTTTTTTTTCCACCATTTACCGGTATAATTCGGTTTTGTTGCATCCTTTAGTAGTGAATTATCGCCATTGGCGTTCTTTAAGTTAGGAATCTAACTTGTTCTTATTTTATTTTCCACGGAACGCTGAGAAATTCATTATACCATAAAAATTTATAAAATATGTATTTATTAATTTATCGATTAACAACAGTCACAGTAACTAATCGTTGCTAATACACCGTAATTACTGGCCAATAACTTCTAGTTATTGCATTTTACCATCACTAATCATCTCTGACTATGAAAATTTATACTTTTATATATTTCTCTCGTATTAAACAATAATTTTTATTATTAAAAATATTTTTATGGGCTTATAAAATTTTAATTTTAAATATTTTAAACTAATTTTAATATTACAGCCGTATAATGAAAATTGAAAAATAAGTTATTTAGAAACTTTCGACAATATTTTTTTAAAGATAAATTATTTTCTGAAAATAATTACAATTTTCATTTTTATGATATTTTCAAATAAAGAACATATAAATAATTTCGGTGTGAAATGTAATGGTGAGACCCCTATTTATCAAGGCATTACTGAGAGCATTTCTGATGCAACTATAGACTGTGGCTTGTGTGTCTTAATAAATAGAAGTTGTAAATGATGATATGACTGGATGTGTATTTGTAGATGCTAGATTTTAAAAATGACTCTCTAATGCGCAAAGAAAAAATCAGTTTCAACGCAAGGAGAAGTTTGAGTGTAAATAAAGGAGAAGACATAAAGAAAAATAAAAAAATAAGAAAAATATGAATAAATAGAAAAAAGAATAAAAAGCTGAGTCACTCTGTTTAACGGATTATTCCGAAAATAGAGAGTTTGATAGACATTGTCTCTTTTTTTTTCTTTTAAATATCAGACTCAAAGACAAAATAGACAATAACATTGTAAAATGTTTTTATTTTTAACTTTCAATTTTTCAAATATAGCAAATAAATTAAAGCAGTCTATAATTGCATTAGAGATATTCTAAGCTGGGTTCTCTCATGCACATGTGCCGCGCTTCTAATGGAGCCTACATCCCACCTTGCGGAAGTCGTGGTTTTGTTGGCGTATGGAATTACCTTACCTCATCGCAAGCAGCCATAAAATAATATTACCTCTCATTAATTTTTGACATTTTTTTATTTTATTTATATGATGCTTTTAGATAATCAAAATAATAGTTTTTTTTTTTTTTTGATAACCGGGGATTTTTATTAATCAAAGGGAGGCAAAAGTCCAGAAAGTTACAGCCATAGCTTCAGGAGTTTTAAAATAAAAAAGCTAATAAACATACAGTAGCATAGTGACAAAGAAAACATAGTCACCATGACCCATCATAACAACTTGATGCGCCAAAAATGCTGCTCCGTTAACGAATGAACAGGAGAGAAAAGTAGTGTAACTGAGCTATAAAATTTTTGCCAGGAAATCATTGTTTAGCAATACAACTTATTTAGCCATTGAATCTGCAAAAGAATTTGCACTTCTAGGAATGAGCCGAAAGGAGAGGTTTGAAAATTTGAGGATAAGAGTCTGGATTTGATGAAACTCATCCCACATCTGCCATGCGGAGAAGAGCAACCAGTAATCCAAGAGATAGTGTTTGAGGAGTCTGACTCTATAAAAATTCTTTTGTCTGTTAGATTTTCACTAATAGAAATCTTTAGTGCTTGAAGAACAGCAAGAACCTCTGCCAAATTGGAGTCTTGTAAACCAGTGGGGCAAGAAAACAAGAAGAGAACCAGCCCCAGGGAGTTTCGAAGAACCCCACTATACCTGCCAATCCTGGTTTACCACGAGAGGCAATGTCAACATTCCACTTCAAGGAATCATAATCAGGAGGGCACCATTGAACAGTCGGTTTGATAGATTTAGCTTTATTCCAATAGCTGATTGTACTTCTTGAGGCAATGACTTGACTAAGAGTATAAAGAAAATTCGGATAAGCTGCTTTAGTCCAGATGAAAGCCCAATAAAGCACAATATCAAAACGCTTGTTTTCCTTCAACACTGAATTATTGAAAATCAGTTCATTTCGCTCCTTCCAAATGGTCCAAATGATAGAAAAAAAATAATAGTATTAATTATTTTATTTAAATTTTACTCTTATTTAGATATTTCAACTAAATTTTTTCTATCTTAATTGTAGAAATTAATAAGAAGTCAATAATCTTTATTTTTTTCTAGAAGTGAGATGATTCAGTCATTTTTTTAATTTCTGTAAAAAGTTAAAAATATTAAAAATTAATGGAACGGAAGTATTAATAAATAAATATTATCTTCAAACAATACATTAGCCTGTGAAAAAAGATAAAATCAAGTAATGTTATTATTATTATTTATTTATTTTTTTGAACAAACAAGTAATGTTAAGTTGGTGATTGGGAGTTGGTATTGTCTTATTATTATGATAAGTATCTTTCTGGTTTATAATTGTAACTTGTAATATTAGGTTAATAATATATCTTAAATATTTGTAGAGTTTTTCTTTAATCTTGATTATGGTGAAGTTGCAAGATTAACAATAGTGATATGTTGTTTTTAGTATATATCTAAACCAAAGTTCAAGAATGTTCATTAGACAGAGTTGATCTCTATAGTATAGCACTTCTCTTTCGAGTTTTAAGGCAACAAGGATATAAGATATCTTGCAGTAAGTGTTTAATTATGCTAAAATTTTAATTATTATGTGTATGAGTAGGAGTGGCCAAAATCCGATTTTTGGAACTAGAACCGTCGGTTCGGAACCGGTTGGAACTGATACTGAAATTGGATAGAATCAAAACTACAACCAGGGGGTTGCGGTCCGGTTCTTATTTTAAGTCTTTTAGAACTGTGAACCAGCAGTTCGAGAATCAAGCAGTACCGAAGGTTTTGATAATCAGTTAGAACCGACGGTTCTAATGGTTCAAACCGTCAGCGGTTTCAAAAAACTTGTAATTTTGATTTACAGCGGCTAGAACCGGCGGTTCCACCATTAATCCTCATAATAACTATGAACAATTAGTTTTAAGGGTATTTGTGCAATTACTCCGTTATTTTCATTCATCCTTACACCAAATTATTTTTCTCTACTCTCCAATCTCTCTAAGCTCCCCAATAATATTATCCAAATTATTGTCAAATAATTTCTCCAATCTCTAATTATTCTCCTTGAAATATAACCAAAATCAATAGTTTTAAAATGGAAATTGTGGGTCTAGAATGGTACAATTATTTGTGATAAATAATGCACCTTGCTTCTTTTAGAGGTTATGTTTAATGACATATAGGTATTTATAATTAGCGAAAGTAATTCAGAATAGTATTTAAAACATTTAAAAATATAATTAATATGAAAAGATTTTGCAAAGTTTAATTGCAGAAATCAAAAGGATGGTTAAGAAGATGAATGCATGCATGGGTTTAATAATTTGTTGAGAATGACAAAGGGTCGATTTCGATTATGACTGCTATACTATAAGCAAATATGCACTTTCAATTCTTCAGCTAAAACGTCACAGAAGACTGTACAGTGACAAAGCTATCCTTCCAATTACAGATTTTCTTTATTTTCCGACAAAATCTTTCTATTATTTGTTGGATACCTTAAATTTGACCCTATTTTTCCATCTTTAGAAGCCAATTGCTTGGCATAGCTGCTGCCTGCTAGTATTATATCTCTCTCCATTGATACCCTCTACCTTGTCAGGTTAGATAAGGAGATGACAAAGCTACTCTAACTTAAAACTTCCATATTCCATCCGCCTTGGCATAGTGATAGTGATACTAAACACAACTAATTTAACCTAATTAATCCCAAAAATCCAATATATTACTTCATTATCTCAAATTTACAACTATAAAAACCCATCTATATCACCTCTTCAAATATCAAACAATAGCATTCCAATTTCACTGTTTCCAAGCAATTCAATTCAAGCTATATACTACCTAAATCAAATACCAAGAGATTAAGAAGATGCAACAATCACTCTTCTCATTTTCATTTCTATTTCTCTTTCTCCACTTCACAAAAACCCTAACCCAGTCACCAGCTGCAGCTCCAGTGCAACCACCACCAGCGGCACCACCGCTCCAGGCACCCCCATCACAACCGCCATCTGGGGTTCAAGTACCTGTAACACGTGGACCTCTAGATGTGGTTAAAGTCCTCGGGAAGGCCAGCCACTTCACGGTCTTCATTCGCCTATTAAAAGCAACTCAAGTGGATACAGAGTTATTTTTGCAGCTCAATAACACAAACAATGGCGCAACAATCTTTGCACCAACAGATGGTGCATTTTCAGGGATTCAAGTAGGGACCCTGAACTCCTTAACCGATGGAGACAAAATTGAGTTGGTGAAGTTTCATATAGTACCTACATTTATATCAACTTCACAGTTTCAAACTGTAAGTAACCCTGTACGGACACTAGCGGGAACTGGTAAACGGTTTGCTCTTAACGTGACAACTGCAGGGAATTTTGTTAACATAACAACAGGACTCACAAATACAACAATTTCTGGCACTGTATATTCCGATAATCGGCTTGCAATTTATCAGGTTGATAGAGTATTGCTTCCTCTCGATGTGTTTACTCCTAAGCCTCCTGCTCCTGCTCCAGCGCCAGCATTGGCACCGGAAAACCCCAAAAAGACGGCTCCTTTTGTTGAGAGTCCTAACTTTAACAATCCTAAGGATGTTTCAGGTTCAGTGAGTTTATTATTTTTGGATAATTTGTTGGTTTTTTCCACCGTTCTTATAGTTTCTGCAATGCTTCAGTTTTGATAGGTATATATCGGTGTTGGGAGCCTTGTACTTTTTTTTTTTTTTGTTATATGATTTCGGCCTTATTACTCTTTATTGTCGGTGAGTGATTTTGAATAATTCATATATCTATTTTTCTCAAATATATATGTACAAATAAAAGTGTAATTCATTAAAATTTCTTCTATAATATAAATACAGTGCGAGTTCTTTGTTAGCACAAATTCATTTACATATTTTTCAGAGGTAATAAAGATTATTCTTTTTTTTTTTTTTTTTTTTTTTTTAATTCTTTCTATATATATAAATACAGTGGCGAGTTCTTTGTTAGCACAAATTATTTACATATTTTTCAGAGGTAAATAAAGATTATTTCTTTTTTTTTTTTTTTTTTTTTTTTAATAAACTTTTTTGTTTCATTACTGATGTTCTTCCAAATCAGGTTTTTTTTTTTTTTTTTTTTTTTTTTTTTTTTTTTTTTTTTTTTTTTTTTTTACTTAGTAATTCTCCGGCCTAACTCCAGGTGTTTATTGAAGGCCTTTTGAACTCTTGTTATTTTTTTTTTTTTTTTTTTTTTTTTTTTTTTTTTTTTTTTTTTTTTTTTACTTAGTATTCTCCGGCTAACTCCAGGTGTATTGAAGGCCTTTTGACTCTTGTTATACATTGGAATTGATTAAATTTTTTTGTGATATTAATCAATAAAAATCAATATTTTCCGATATAAAAAATATTTGTTTATAATAATAAAAATTAAAATTCAAACACAAATGAATACGACAGGTACCGTTGGTAAGGACTCCCCATCCTTATTAACTAGAATTCATTTACATTTAAATTTTTATTACATTGGAGAGTACTATTGTCTATTTTTATATATGTTGTCTTTCTGAAGTTGTTTTATTTAAAGCTATCAGTAGTTATTATTCAAAAGAAATAATATTTTTATATATGTTGCCTTTTAAAATAATAAACGGATTTATCACAAATTAAAATTTTTTTAACCTTTTACTTTATAAGACAGGAAGTACAATAATTAACCTAATAATAATTTGTGTGTGTTTTCAAACTTTTTCTTTTTATATTAATTGGGAGAGACATTCAACTATTATTATGTGTGTGATTTTTTGGCTTTGGGTACGAAGACTTTGTATTTAGTTTATTTAAACTATTTATTCTCGTCTGAAGAGAAGAAATAGTTGTCTTTTATGAACTTGTGCTGTTTTGATTTTAGGTTTTTTTTTATCTAATATTTTCAGATTAGGTTGAGTTTGTTTGAGGTAAGCCTATGGGCTCGCGAATAAATACCTGAAAATGTAAAGTTTTTTTTTCTGAATTTATAAAAATTAATAAAATAATTAAATTGCCTATAAAAAAAAATTGGGAGAGAGATTCTTGAGTGATTGTTGGTCCATTTATATGAATAAAGTAATCTCCATTTTCAGGCGTTTAGGGTGTATTTTTACCTCTTTAGCATGATGCATTTAGAATTATTTATTTTAGTTTTAATATTTTCAAAGCATTTCATCTCTTCACTTTTATCTGTTAGTTTTGACATGATAATTAAGAAAATAATAAAATCACTTAAATTATAATAAAATAGTTTTTAATTTGACTAAATTATTCCTTATCTCACCTAATCACTTCAATCTCAGTCATTTTCTCTGTTGATGAATAATAAAAAGATGTTGTAATGAGTGAGATAATTGGGCTAGACAGCCAGAGAACTATCCATCCTTAAAAAGACATCTATGTATAATACCAACACATATTTATTTGTTTGTAATAATTATCAAAAGCAAATTGCAAAATACATGAAAAACACAAAATTTTCGATTTTATATTACACATTTCACAAAATACATTAAAGCCCTCAAAGGCAAAATGAAACAAAAAATAATAAACAACAGAAGAAGGAAAAACCCCTCAAAATTATTCACAAACTTTAAAAAACAAAAAAAAAAAATGAAATAAAAAAAAAAAGAAAGAAAGAAACAATTGTGATTGAGAAGGAACATGGAAGAAATAATGGCAATTATTCAAAGCACACTCACCCTGTCGATCACCACCACCACCTTTCATCCCAACTCAGAAAAATCATACACCATTGAAGAACTCAAAATGCTCATCCGAATTCTTTTATTTTCGTCACAAAAATATTGCACTCGCCATGCCAATTACTCCTAAAATCACCAAACTATCATGCACAATAAATTTCATTGCACCAGAAGTATTATCCTTAGGAACCACAGGACTTTCTGCAGCTGTACTATCTTCTTTCGTAGCCTTTGTTGGTGCCGGAGCCGGAGCAGGAGGCTTAGGTGCAAAAAGGTCGATAGGAAGCAAAACTTTATCAACTTGATAAATCGCAACTTTCCCATCTGTATAAACAATTGCTGACACATATGTTTTTGTAAGTCCTGTACTTACGTTTACTAAATTGTCACTAGTTGTCACATTGAGAGCGAGTCTACTGCTTGCTCCTGCTAGGGATTTTAAAGGGTTACTCACAGTTTGGAACTGTGAAGTTGATAAAAATCTTGGAATAATATGAAACTGCACCAACTCTCTCTTTTCTTGATCAGATAGAGAATTAAGAGTGCCTGATTTTATAATGCTTGAAAAAGCGGCATCATAGGGGGCGAAAATAGTCACGCCATCAGTCGATGCGTTTAGCTGAGAGAACAACTGAATATCTTCTTGGGTTGTTTTTATAAGACGAACAAAGAATGTAAAGTGACCGGCTTTTTGTAAAACTTTGACAACATTGAGAGGGCCTTTTGAGGGTTGTACTGGGACTAAAGCCGGTGCTGGTGCAGTCGCTGCAGGCGGTGTTGGTGGCGGAGGTGAGGGTTTTGCTTTAGCTGGTGGTTTTGTAGCTGGTGGTTTTGTAGCTGGGGCTGGAGCTGCAGCTGGGGATTGAGCTAAGGTTTTGGTGCAATAGAAGCATAGAAGAACAAGTGAAAATGAGAAGAGAGTTTGTTGCTTCATTTTTCCTCGTGTTTAATATAAAGCTACCAAGCTGTACTAAACTGTAAATGCAATTGTTAACAGATGTTTGAAAGTGTTTGATATGGAAAATGGAGATGAAGGAGGGTTTTATAGTGGTAGGGAATCAGGAAGATGGAGAAAGCAGGTGTAATGCAAAATTTTAATTGCAGAAACTTAAAAAAGGTGGGATATCAAAAAGAGAGAGAGAAATAAAAAGTTTGCTTCAAAAGGCAGGAAAATCTGAATCATAGGAGAGATTCATCAAGTGGGTGTATAAATGTTCAGAGGGGAAGCTAATAAAGATGTGAAAGATAATGGAGAAGGGGAGAATTTTATGTGATGGGTTAACTAAAGAAAGTGCAAGATTCACTTCAATGTCAACTCCTAATATCAACATCTAATCCATTAATAATGATTGGATTAATATTTTGTATCTTGAGTTAAAAATCCTCAACCAAATAAAATGACCCGCTTGTTAATAATATATGTAATTTTTGGCTAATGGGGAAAAAATTTAGGAAAAGGTTTTTTTTTTTTTTTTTCTTCTCATAATTCTTGTATTATTATATCAACAATCACATTTGGAACTAAACACATATGCACGGAGGGGCGAAAAATCTTAACTATGACAAGTCCAGAACCAAATTAGACGGTGCCAGATAATAGAGTCCGGTTACCGGTGATTTACATCAAATTAAAGAAAAACAATCACATTTGGCGGCTAAGACTTTGTTGTCTCATGCGATTTCCCGCTACCCATTATACATTTGTAATGATTTTAGGATTTTATTTTATTTGAAGTTTAAAAAAAAGGATTACATGAATGGGATTCATGTGATGTGAGAGAGAGATAAAGCCGTTACAACTCTATTGAGTTTCCTATGGCTCGCATGTTATTCTCCCAACTACATCAATTATCCATTACGTGAAAATGATTAAACAATTTGTCATAGAATGTTAGATAGGATGGCTAATGTATTTGTTTGGATCATATTATTGGACAAAGCTTCTCGGCAGTTTATTATTTAAGATTAATTTATCTTTAATTACTTTTATTTTTATTTATTTTTTTTTTAACAAAGGGGAGCAAAGGCTAAAAAAAAAAACTAATTAAACAATGCAATTATGGCTAAAAGCCATGCTGGTAATATCATAATGTCCAGCTAGAAAGAGTTCTAGAGGGAGAAAAGTTTTTTTTATCAGCGAAATTCTTAATCTTTTTAACTAAAATTACCAGCAAAAAAACTTATCAAACCTCAACAAAATTAAACCCAAATCAATAGGTTTTCCAGAACACCCAATCTTGACAGAAAAATGTCAAGTTAAAAAAAAAAAAACCTGGACTGAAATACATTAATACAAAAAACAATGATTGAAGGTAAATATTCTGGTGATATCATAATGTCCAGCCAGAGAGAGTTCTGGAGGGAGAAAATGCACTCCATAAGTGCCAACCATAAGCGTTAAAACCCAATTAGCCATCCAATTAGTATTAAAAATTAGATATGAGAAATTTTGATCCCCAAATCAGAACTGAGAGCTTTGATTAACCAAACTTGTGAAACCATTTGAAGGTGTAGATTGACTTCCTAACCACTCAACCACTTGCTTGTTGTCACACTCTATCTCCAGCTTAGTTAAACCCTGTACTCATTAACTAAATCAATACTGAGCAGCCATTAATACTTTTATTTAAAATAAATAACTAATATTTTGAACAAACTGTTCATATCCTATTACTCTTGTAATGAATAAAAGTTGTTTATACTAAATAACATTATGAATAAAATATTTTATTTTTTATTGAATGAAATTCTTCTATTTTACATTTTTTAAGATTTGTAATTTTTTACATAAAAATTTTATTTAATATTATCTTTGAAAAAAGTGAAGAATTTTGAACTGTTCAAGATAAAGTTCCCTTTTATTCCTTATTGTATCTCGGATTGGTTCTCTTTTTTCTTTATTGGTGTATTCTAGTATACGAATGATTCATTCATGATGGAGCTAATGTTTCCTTCTATTGGTATATGGGAAAATCCTCCGACTGATTTTTTTAAATTTAATTTTGATTGTTCGGCGAAAGGGAAGCCAGGAGCAGCTGGTGTTGGAGGAGTTCTTAGGACCTCACATGGTGTGGTTATCTGCATTTTTTATAAGTTAGTGGGTATTATAGACTCTAATGAGGCAGAATTTTTTTGTCATTCTTCATGCAATTGAAATTTTTGCTACATCCCTATTAAAACATCACCCACTTGTGATTGAATCTGATTCTAGGAATATAGTTGGATGGATTTTGCAAAAGAAAAAAACCTTAGTGTTGCTGGAAAAATTTTAACAAGTCATACTCTCCCGTTTCCTCTTTAACTCATGTTAGTTTCTGCCATATCAGGAGAAATAAGAATCATTTTGCTGATTCTCTTGCAAAGAAAGGAGTTGAGGCAGAAGATGTTTTCTTAGCTTATGGATTTAATTTTTGATTTGGATTTCTTTTTGTTTATGTACTCTCTTTTCCTATCTTAGGTTTTTTTACTTAACATTTTCATATTAGATTTGGGTGTATAAGGAAGACTAATAACTCGGGTTTAGTTGTCTGAAAATATTAAATTTTTCTTGATTTATATTAATAAAATAAATCAATTTACTGATAAAAAAAAATACAAAATTTAATGTCTACATATGACACTCCCCTGAGTCCTATAAATTTAAACAGACTTAATTTTCTTTTCCATTTATCTCATATTATAGGCGACTTTTCTTTTTAAAAGTACAATTAATTAATTCTCTAATTTACCTTATTTTATATATCTTGTTATTGACAATTTTTTCATTTGATTTTTTTTTAAAATGATATCTATCTAATATTAATATATGGATACATTAGGAAAATATAGGTAAAAAGGGGTGTCAAAACGAGTTAGACAAGTAGGGTTTGATACGGATTCGCCTAACACACGACGTGATTAGAGTCAATATGAACACGACTAGTTCAATAATCGTGTCAAATTTTTCAACAAGAACACGATGTGAAAATTAAGCAGATGACACAAACAAAACACGAAAATTAGGCACGTGATACGAAAACAACCCATGTAACCCGTCTAATATCATAAACAAGTTAAGTGGGTCTGTTCACCTGTATACGACTAGTTGTAACATGCCTAATATCAGATTAAGTGAAGATTCAATAACTAAAATTAAAAAAAAAAAATACACCAATAAGTTTAAGTAGGATTTTAGTTGCAATATTTATATATGACACTAATATTATCTCTTTACCCTTAAATAAACGGGTTACTCGCCTAACCCGCGTGTCAACCCGTGATACAATACGTTTATATTCGTTTCATAAATGGATAATTCGTTTATGACAAACCCGTTTATTTTACGTATTAAACGAATCGTGCTCACGTATCATGACCTATTTTAACACCCCTAGATAAAATTTATTGTTCAAATAATACTTAATCCGTGTAATAAGAGAAACAAGCATTTCACATCTGATGGACTTGATTTCATATTGCAACTAGATAATAGTATAATTGAAAAAAAAAAATTAATGCTCCTTGATATTTCAAAATCAATGATGGATTATTTTGGATAAAATAATTTAAAAAAAAAAAGCAATAGATCAAAGTGAACCGAAAGAATAAATATTGATTTAATTTGCACGTTTATTAAAATTGTATAAGTTTCATTCAAAGTATTTATGCATTAAAAAGGCAAGAACAAAATTTTAAAGAGTAGCTTAATGACAAAGAGCATTTAAGGTGTTGCAGGATCTACAAGGTTGTGAGTTCGGATCCTTCTAGCACAAATCGGCCAACTTCCATGTCTACAGGTGAAAAATGGCTACTGGCTATTATATTATTTTATGATGCATTTTTTTCAATAGCAATAAATAAAAGTAAGATCGTCACAATTGAAATCGCTTTCATATCATTTTTAATTATTCAATTTAGGTCATCTCGTTCACCCAATTAATATACACACATTCATTATATCAAAATCTGCACCTTTTATATCCTCTATCCTACTCATCAATCAGCCTCATACCCATTTTCTCAAAAGAAAAATAAAGTCATTGGTCATCCCCATATATATATAATATAGGAAAAGAATTATCTATATCCGGTATATGGGCGTACCTATATATCAAATCAATTCAAATGAGAGCAATTCTAACCATAGACAGAGAAAAAAATATTGAGATACATCTTTTCCGCACAGCAAAAATATGAAAGAATGCATAATAAGCATGAAAAAAAAAATGGATCTTTTATTTATTTTTTCTTTTTTGTTTAATACAGTGGCAAAAATTCAAACCATACTGCTATGATTAGAATTCAAAAAGATATCAAAACTGAAATTATTTCAAAAAACACTCATCACTTACACTTCAATAATCAACTCTCCAAAAATCAAATTACCAAACAAAAAAAAAAAAAAAAAGGAAATGAAAAAAAAAAATGGATCTTTTATTTTATTTTTTCTTTTTGTTAATACGTGGCAAAAATTCAAAAACCATACTGTATGATTAGAATTCAAAAAGATATCAAAACTGAAAAATTGATTTCAAAAAAACACTCATCACTTACCACTTCAATAATCAACTCTCCAAAAATCAAATTACCCAAACAAAAAAAAAAAAAAAAGGAAGAAAAGAAAAACGTTCCACCAATGATCATCAATGCATCGTCGATGCAAAACGACATTGCATGTAGCAATCCCAACTGAAAAAAAAAAAAAAAAAAAAAGGAAAGAAAAGAAAAACGTTCCACCATGATCATCAATGCATCGTCAGATGCAAAACGACATTGCAGTAGCAATACCAACTGCAACAATTTCCAACACTAAATAATCATTTACTATTAAACTTACTGCACCTGAAACATCCTTAGGATTATTAGAAGTGGGACTCTCCACAACTGGAGATGCCTGTTTAGGGTTTTCCGGTGCCAACGCGGGCGCCGGAGCAGGAGCTGGAGGTTTAGGAGTAAACACATCAAGAGGAAGCAGTACTCTATTAACCTGATAAATTGCAAGCCGATTATCAGTATATACAGTACCAGATATTGTTGTATTTGTGAGTCCTGTTGTTATGTTAACAAAATTCCCTGCAGTTGTCACATTTAGTGCAAAACGTTTACCGGTTCCGGCTAGTGTCCGTATAGGGTTACTTACAGTTTGAAACTGTGAAGTTGATATAAATGTAGGTATTATATGAAACTTCACCAACTCAATCTTCTCTCCATCGGTTAAGGAATTTAGGGTTCCTGCTTGAAGCCCAGAAAACGCCCCATCTGTCGGTGCAAAGATTGTTGCGCCATTGTCTGTGTTATTGAGCTGCAAAAATAACTCTGTATCCACTTGAGTTGCTTTTAATAGGCGAACGAATACCGTGAAGTGGCTCGCCTTTCCTAGGATTTTAACGACGTCCAGAGGGCCACGTGATACAGGTACTTGAACCCCAGATGGTGGTTGTGATGGGGGTGCCTGGAGTGATGGTGCCGGTGGTGGTGGTTGTATTGGAGCTGCAGCTGGTGACTGGGTTAGGGTTTTGGTGAAGTGGAGAAAGAGAAAGAGAAGTGAAAATGAGAAGAGAGATTGCTGCTTCATTTTCCCAATCAATGTTATTAAACTTTTAGGAAACTAATGAAGCTCGGTAACTCTCCTTCCCTGAAAGAAAAGTGTTTGATGTGTAAAGAGGGGTTTATAGAGGGTTTTATATAGTGTTGGAGAGACAATTAATGTATTATTAGGTTTTTAATTAATTAGTTATAAAATCTTAATTAATTTCCATTATCTTAATTATCATTATTAGCAGATTTGGAAAAGGAAAGGCAATCTATAACTGCAATATTGGCTGCAACTAATTATTAGCTTCAAAAGCAGGAGAAATACGAAATAGAAAAGAAATATTAATGGTGGGTTTTAATTTATTCATCCAGAAAAAAAAAAATATGTAGTGCAGAAATGGTATTTTGTATTGATCAAATAGAGAAGATAGCTCCATCAGTGATTAGCGTCTTCGTGTGACATTTTAGCTGAATTGTGCATATATTGTCTGTTTCAGTAGTCATAATCAAATTTCAATTAATTTCACAAATATAAATTTAATTATAAGGGGAAAAAGAATGATAAGTACTGTCCTTGTCCATTCACAACAAATCTCAATTATATTGTTATTGCAAATACTATTACCTATGATCATAGTTTTTTTTTTTTTTTTTTTTTAAACTAAAATTTTTTTTTTTTTAAATTTTTTTTTTTTTTTTTTTTTAAACTAAAAGTATCCGAATCCTATTACTAAAAACCACTTAATCCAGTTTAAAGCTCAATCACAGTTAAGGCTCTTCGCCCTTTTTCAAGAAATTTTCCCACGTACCCATCCTATGTTTCCAATTAAGTCACAACCCATAGATACCTATCATCATAGTCTATTAGAGCTGTGCAACTAAATTTTTTAAAAAATTTTGGAGGACAAAAATAAAATAAAAATGGTTATAAGTATATATATACGACCTGATGATATATTTAGTTTTGAATCTCTTTCTTTTAATATTCAAATTAAAAATATAAATAAAATTTATAGTTAAAACTATTAGAAGTTGAAAGGTATAGGTAAAAGGGTAGAGGTGAATTGAGAAGAGGTAAGAATCTATGAGGTGAAAACCTATGATCTGGGCTTACTTGGGCAAGGTAAATCCATATCACTCATTTTAACTTCATAGATTCTAATCTCTTACCTAATTCACCTCTACCCTACTTTATGGGTTGAGTTCTTACCTATCAAAAGAAAATTAAAGAAAATTTAGCTAGTTAGTAAAATTAATAATAGGCTTCAATCCTCTTTTGTGTATCATTTGAACTCCTTTTTAATTGGATAGGGAAAGGTTTCTCTTTATGGAGGAAAAACGTTTCCTTCTCGTAGCGGAAAACATCCCCTTCTCTTCTTCAATTGTCCAACATACTTTCTCTTTTATTTTTTTCGTAAATTGTAATATCCAAAAACAAAAAGTTCGTTTTGCTAATCTTGGCCCACAATATGCATTTGAGTGCTCGTTTATGTGCATCTAGACCCAACTCTTCATAAGCATAATAGCAAGTAGCTGAGGTTTTTAATTGGATAGGGAAAGGTTTCTCTTTATGGAGGAAAAACGTTTCCTTCTCGTAGCGGAAAACATCCCCTTCTCTTCTTCAATTGTCCAACATACTTTCTCTTTTATTTTTTTCGTAAATTGTAATATCCAAAAACAAAAAGTTCGTTTTGCTAATCTTGGCCCACAATATGCATTTGAGTGCTCGTTTATGTGCATCTAGACCCAACTCTTCATAAGCATAATAGCAAGTAGCTGAGGTTTTTAATTGGATAGGGAAAGGTTTCTCTTTATGGAGGAAAAACGTTTCCTTCTCGTAGCGGAAAACATCCCCTTCTCTTCTTCAATTGTCCAACATACTTTCTCTTTTATTTTTTTCGTAAATTGTAATATCCAAAAACAAAAAGTTCGTTTTGCTAATCTTGGCCCACAATATGCATTTGAGTGCTCGTTTATGTGCATCTAGACCCAACTCTTCATAAGCATAATAGCAAGTAGCTGAGGTTTTTAATTGGATAGGGAAAGGTTTCTCTTTATGGAGGAAAAACGTTTCCTTCTCGTAGCGGAAAACATCCCCTTCTCTTCTTCAATTGTCCAACATACTTTCTCTTTTATTTTTTTCGTAAATTGTAATATCCAAAAACAAAAAGTTCGTTTTGCTAATCTTGGCCCACAATATGCATTTGAGTGCTCGTTTATGTGCATCTAGACCCAACTCTTCATAAGCATAATAGCAAGTAGCTGAGGTGCCATTCTTTCTAGATATGAAAAAAAAAATTAAACTGTAATTAGTATACCTTGTGAGTGTTAATTAAGTAGCAACAAACCTAAAGAAAATTGTGAGATCCTAATTGGCTTGAGGATTAGTTCGCTCCATAAAAAAAAATTATTTATGAGAATATATTGAATTATTATGTCAGCTGAAATTGTGCTTTTTTTTTTTTTTTAAAGCTGAAAAGTCACACATGCAAGGCTCTGAATTAAAGATCCTGAGTATTTGACACAGACAAGCCCATTTCAACAATCATTCACATGTTTTATTGTTTTTGGCCACACACCTTCTTGATATATATCCCCCTCAATCTTTTTCCTGCTTTCCCAAGCAAACTAGTGCTCCTGCAACCACATTATATCTCTCTCTATTGATATACTTCACCTTTTGAAGTAAGACAATGTACTGGCAATCCTTTTTTTTTTTTTTTTCTCTTTAATTTCTTTTCTTTTCTTTTTGGCTAAATACATAAATTCACATTTTAATTTTGCAATTTCAGCCTTGTGACATCTAAACTTTGTGAATGACTTATCGTGCACTTGAACTTACAAATTTTAGTAACATTGTGCACCTTCCATACTAATAGTAATAATTTTTAGGATTTTTAACTTTCATATACAAAATATTAATTTGATTTGTAGTTAATATAACTTTTGAAATAATAATTTTCACATCTTTCGACTAGGTAATAAGTATTTAATTAATTTATCTAAATTTGTAAATTGAAGTGTTCAATAAAATAATTCTACAAGTTGAATTATTTAATAAGTATAATTTTATAAGTTGAAATGTGTAATAAATTAAAATAAAATAAGTTAAAGATATCATAAGATTAAAATGATAAAATTCGAGGGTGAATTGATATATTCACTTTTTTTCTATGCTCTTAGGTTTTATTTTGTAAGGTGTGAAAACATGAGGGTATATTTTTCAGACATTAATTTCTTATTACATAAATTTTATCTTATTATTTTGATTTACTTATAATGTTACCAAATTCACATCCGAAACATGGGATAAGGTACCAAGCACCAACAATCAATTTAGTGTAACTAAATATTGCACTAACACCTAATTTCATATTGTCAACCCACCATCATGTATAAAACCCTCCTTAACCCCAATTCACATTTCATTCATCAAGCACTTGGCGTACGATATTCTTGCATTAAATTTTCAAACTTTTTAACACAAGGAAAAAAAAAATGCAACACTCAATTTTCTCATTTTCAGTCTTGCTCCTTTTCCTCCATTGCATAAACACATTCTCACAATCTCCAACCCCATCACCGGTAGCCACTCCGGCACAGTCACCGGCAGCAACACGCCTCCACCACCCAAACTCCCCACCCCCACCACCATCACCTGGACCCACAGACGTGATCCAAGTCCTCCTAAAAGCTAACCACTTCCTCACCTTTGTCCGTCTTATAAAGGCTACTCATGTTGATTACCAATTAACCTCACAACTTAATAGCTCAACTGATGGAATGACAATTTTTGCTCCTACTGATGCAGCTTTTTCAAATCTTAAATCAAGTGCATTAGGGTCTCTAAACGACAAACAAAAAGCGTCGTTCGTTCAATTTCATATATTACCAAGGTATCTCAATATTTCAGACTTCCAAACTTTGAGTAACCCAGTAGAAACCCTAGCAGGATCTGTTGATAAATATCCGCTGACTATTTCAACTTCTGATAGTTCAGTTAATATAAGTACGGGAATTACAAAAACAAGCATATCTAATATTGTCTATACGGATAAACAAGTTGCCATTTTTGAAGTTGACAAGGTTTTACAACCTAAATATCTTTTTCATCCGGCCGCCGCTGCTCCTGCTGCGCCGTCCCCGACGGAAAAAACAGCAGAGAGTCATGAAGGAACAGAAAACGATAGTTCTGGTGCAATCGGGTCTGTTGTGGATTATAATGGAGTGGTGGTTCTTGAAGCTGGTATTTTTGCTTCTTCACTGTTTTATATTATGCGACACTAATTAAGATTTTGAGTCTTGCTTAATTTAATTTAATTATGATTTTGCTGGATCGATGGTGATGATCAAAGAGGTGAGTACATGCTTTTTAATAATCTTCTTTATGTATAATTTCCGGTTTGTGATTATAAGATTTTTCTTTTTGAGATTTTTACAATTTTATACAATGCATTAGGATCCACAATTTGTTATTTCATTGATTGAAATTGCCTCTCAAAGATGAAATTGAAATGTGAGTTCTTAAATTTAATTTCATTACAAAAATTGTTACCGGCGAAAGTAACTAATTGCATTCTAAATTAGTTTTATCTGTAAAATCAAGGATTTGAAATCTAAAATGACTATGTTACAAGGAATTTACTTAAATATTATTTTCGATCTTAGCGTGAAGATATATATACAATTTAAAAAAAATTATCACTCTTTATCATTGTTAATTATTATTATTTTGTACCTCTTTTTTCAGTAAAAAAAAATCATATTTTCTCTAATTATATTATTTTTCTAATTTTAGATTTTGAGATGGGCGTGAAAGGTCATAGGATACTGTTTTTTTTTTTCTTTTTTAAATCCTCCATAGGATACTGTTTGAGCAGTATCTAATTGAGATTGTTGAAGAATTTGAAATTTCTTGTAGGCATTTTGGCATTTTCTTCTTTGTCCATTTCGTAAATTTTATTGTAGAGGAAAAGAAAATCTGGCCTGACAAATCATCACATGTGAAAGTAAGCTGCCACCTTTATAATCAGTGGATGCTTCCTAATATTAATGAGACAGTCAAGTGTGATCTTAAGCAAAATTTTTAATTTTACCCTCTCTATCGCAGTATTTCTACACTAACCAATGGTAAATAATTCATCATTAGTTCTATCATGCATATTTGTTCTACCTAATTTTTTAAAAAAGGACATTATCAAGATTGCAATCATAATTTGCAACATAGATGTAATTTTTTATTGAAAAATTTTCAGATTGTTATAATTTTGAATTACTGAGACTATTGAAGACAGTGTTATTAAATTCAGCTCGAAAGGATTGAAATTACCAGTTCACTAGTTTAACCGGTGAATCAATAATTTAATTAGTAAGTCATAAAAATATTAATAATATAAATTAATTAAATAATTATATTTTAAAATAACTTATAACACTAATTGTATGGAATCTCTTGTCTACATGGATGGTCTCATGCACCAATCCAATTAAAAAAAGCTTTTTTTTTAAATAAATGTTATGGTTGTCTTTTTTTTAATATATGATTAGAAATATCCTTTTTTTTTTTTAACCAAATCATTGTTTGTAATTGGTTTGTTATATAGTTGAACCCATACATTGAGGGTAGGTAAGTTTTTTTCATAATTATAATAGTCAATAAATCGAACAGCCTGGTCGAATTGGTCTAGATTGACCAATTAGACCCAATCAGTTTATTCTGGCTCGCTTTAATTTCTTAATTAGTTTAAAGGCAAAATCAATCCAGTTTAAAATTCAGGCTCCGTTTATTTTCATAAAATAACTTGCAGGAAAATATTTTTCATAATTTTCCGTTATTTGGGGTGCTCAGGAAAATAAGTCAATTGAAAATATTTTTCAGGTTAAAGGAAAATTAAGTCATTTTTTAAGGAAAATAAATTTTTATTTTCGAGAGAGTAAAACATTTTCTAGACGTTGGCAAATCTTATAAATCCATATTTTTTAATTTATTAATTATTATAGTCACTATAACCAGTCACGATTTATCACTGACCACCACCACCGGCCACCAACATCAATCGCCAGCTGCTTTCATAATTTTTTTTTATTCATAATTTAACAATAAAATTTTTAAATTATAAATTTTAATTTTATTAATTATTATAGTCAACTATAACGAAGTCACGATTTATCACTGACCAACCCACCACCGGCCACCAACATCAATCGCCAGCCTGCTTAATTCATAATTTTTTTTTTATTCATAATTTAACAATAAAATTTTAAATTATAAAAATTTCTATTATAAATTATAAAATTTCTATTATTATTAATTTTTTATGGTCTTATGAGATAAAGACTTTAATATTTTTAACTAATTTTCAGTATTACAACCAAACAATAGAAAATAAGTAATTTAGAAAATATTTTTCAGCAAATTATTTTAGGGAAATAAACATAGCCTCAGTTTAACCCATTTTTCGAATGAATCTAACGGCCCAATCAAGTCCAGATTTAATAACAACGATTAAAAGTTTTATCAAAATTGAAACTGATTATGACCATAAATTATAATAATTATAAAAACCATAGTAAAATGTTTATTTAAAAAATTAATTTTCCTACTTATCAATCAAAAAATGAATTAACTACAATTACAAAATATAGAAATTGTTGAGTAATTAGCTCCCACACATATTCGTATACATACGTGTGTACAAGTGTAGCAACGTTGAGATTACTTCCACAGGAGCACAAGTGGGACAGACAGTAGGAACGTTGAAGAATTTTTCAGATAACAACTTTTAGCATTTCTGCAAAAGGATAGTAAGAATGAATACGCTATTACAAGTTTTAGCATTTGTAGTAAGCTTTATATGTCAAAAGCTATATTTTTTTAAATCCTTCCCTCTTTGTTCCTGCTACTCTAAGCAAACTAGTCGCTGCTATATCTCTCTCTCTCCATTGATATTCCCCCTCAACTTTTTCACCTATTGAAAATTAAAACCCTAACCACCATTTTCTTACTGTATTATTTATTTATTTTAGTGATAAAATGATACTATGAATCAATTTGAGGTGAATTCCTCCCAATAGCTGTGACTCAGAACTTTCGAATTCCTAATTTTGGAGGTAAAAAAAAAAAAAAAAAAAAAAAAAAAAAAAAAAAAATTTTAATCACATAAAAAAAAAAAAAAAAAAAAAAAAAAAAATTTAATCACATACAACCAAGTGAATTCTTACAGTTTGCTAGTTGCAATATTCTACCTAACTCAGCCTCCTTCCCGTTAATAAAAACCGCTCTTTGTGGCTCAAGACATCCACAGTCGACAAAAATGAAGCAAAGTTATATCTTATTTGTATCATTCTTTTTCTTCTTCTTTGTCCATTTCACTAAAACCCTATCTCAGTCTCCTGCTCCGGCTCCGGCACCACCAAAAGGCCCAACTAATGTAATCAAGATTCTAAAAAAAGCCGGCGAGTTTAAGGTACTTATTCGTCTTCTAAAATCCACACAACTCGATAGCAACTTAAACTCTCAATTGGGCAACACTAACAATGGCTTAACAATTTTGGCGCCAAGCGACAGTGCATTTGCAAGTCTCAAGAAACGCACTGTTAGCTCCTTAACACATCAAGAAACGGTAGAGTTGGTGCAGTTTCATATTATTCCAATGTTTATTTCGTCTTCTCAGTTTGATACTGTCACCAACCCTTTAAAGACTCATGCCGGATCAGGAAATCGGTTTCAACTTAACGTTACAACAAATGGCAATTCTGTTAATATAACTACGGGACTTACTAATACAACTATATCTGATACTATTTATACAGATGATCATCTTGCTATTTACAAGGTTGATAAGGTCTTGCTTCCTTTGGATATTTTCACACCTAAACCTCAGACTCCGGCTCCGGCACCGGCGACCAAAAAGATTGATTCATTGAGTGATGATGATGGTGACGATGATGATGGGAAGGTTGGTAAGGATTCTTCTCGTGCAGTATGTTTTGTTTTGGATTATAATTTGGTGTTATTTGGAGTAATTGGTTTATGTTGGGTATGGAGTCATCTACTCAATGGTGTATGATTTTTGTTATCTTGAAATGGACGGTGGTGATGTTATGTGATGTGACGAAATGAAGAGACATGGTGAGTGATTTTGAAATTTGTATCATTGATTAATTAATTAATTGTCAAGCTCTTGTGGTTAAGGTTTAATTTTGAGAGTTCTTGTTCTTTTTTTTTTTTTTTTTTTTTTTTTTTGGAGAGTTTTTTTTTTTTTTTTTTTTTTTTTTTTTGTTAATTTAACTTTAATTTAATTTAAGTATATGATATGAAAAATATTATTTTCTGTACGATTATAAAAAAAGCATAGTCATTGATATTTTGTCTTGTTTCAAGTGTTGTTGACATTATTTCTCACAAATGCCAGTCAGTTGATGCATGAGATGTGAACAACTTACTGCTTTTGCCAATTCAGTGGGGAGCAGAAGTAGACTTGTGACCTCAATAATGTGAAGATCCACATAATTTAAAAAAAAAGAATTATATATAATAATATTTAATTTGAATCTTTTAGCTAATTAATCTAATCTGAAATTACTATTTATTTAAGTGGTAATAAAAATATTTTTTTTTAAAAAAAAAAATTTATTTGATTTCGAGGAATTCAACACACACACACACGTGTATATATATATATATATATATAATGAGATTTGCAACTAAATTTAAGATGCAAAAGTCAAAAATTAAGACCTCGAATAATTTTTAAAAAGAAAAAATAATTAATTTGTCTCTGAGGTTTGACCAAACTAACTAAGTCACTCAATAGTTCGGTAATATTATTTAATAGATCTCAAGATTTACCTCCGTCAAACCATTTGGTCCTTCTATCCAATTTCTCTAGATTTTTCCATTAAAACCTTTCAAAAAGATTAAAATATCCAAAAACTTAAGATAGATAAATAATTAATTCGTCCTTGAAGTTTGACCAAATTAATTAAGTCATCACTGCAGTTTAATAATATTAATTAATGATTCTCAAGATTTACGAATGTCAAACCATTTGGTCATTTCGTCCATTTTTTCTAAAATTTTCCATTAAGACCTTCAAAAACAGACTAAAATACTTAGACATTTAAGAAGAATAAGACTAAACTAACTTAGGTTAAAATTTCCATTTGTCGTGGAGGGAAAACGTAGTGTAAGGGTATACATTGATTATTTGATATTCACCAAAAAAAAATTTCATCAACATAATGTATCACTTTACTGTCTTGAATCACCAATAAAAATGTGAAAAGAAATATATACATCGAATTAATTTCAATAAAAATAATAAGCATTTAATTTTAGGTATCAATATTCAGGAGAACAAATTATTTTATATATTCCATTACAAACTACAACTAATGAAATGAAAGTAGAACCATAGGAATAGTAAGAATATTTTAGAAAATATAAAAAAATTCACCATTTTTGCAGTTTTTGCAGAATTTCTGTTGTAAATTTGATAAGACTTAACTGTCATTCCATTATAAAGCAAATAACCTAGGTTAGTTTAGTTTTTTTTCTTCTTTAAGTGTAATGATATTTTAGAATTTTTTTTAAGGTTTTAATAGAAATGTCAGGAGAAAATAAATAGAATGATTAAATGGTTTGATGGAAGTAAACTTCAGGGATCATTAATTAATATTGTTAAACTGCATGAATGACTTAATTAGTTTGGTCGAATCTCAGGGACGAATTAATTATTTACCCTTTTTAAGTTTTTGGGTATTTTAGTCTTTTGAAAAGGCTTTAACGGAAAAATTTGGAGAAAATGGACAGAAAAACTAAATAGTTTGACGGAAATAAATCTCGGAGACTATTAATTAATATTGCCATATTGCTGACTGACTTAGTTAATTTGGTTAATTAATTATTTTCCCTTTTTAAAAAATAGTTTGGGGCCAGTCCCCGTCTTCCCTCCGCGGCTGTGCAAACGCTGCCATCCTTGAGTGTTTCTTTATGCAGTGGCGGAGGTAGAGATGGAGGGGAGGCTTCCTACGACAAAATAATTTTTAAAAATTGCTCTATAATTTTTTTTTTGAAAGAAATTGCCTATATATTTCTGTATATTTTTTTATTTTTTTCTTTAACTTTTTTTTTTTTGAAAAGAATTTTTTTTTTTTTTTCTTTAACTTTGAAAATTTTTTTAACCCCTTAATTTCGAAGTTAATGTCTAGGCTCGCGACCGTTTACATATAATATTTCAATTTGATTAATTTTAATTTCTGAAATTAAATTATTTACTTATTAATTGAATATTTAAGATTCGAGATTCTATCTCACAATTTAATGTAGCAGTAATCATTTATATGTGTGGGGAGGAAAATGAGAGAAGAATGATGGGATTTTCTAAAATGTTTTTAAGTGAAACTTATTATATTCTACAATATCCTTAGTTAATGGTCAATTAAAATATTATAATTTAAAATGTAAATAATATTAGTTAATTACAATAGTTGAAAATTGATTTATCTAAATAAATTAAATTGAAATGCTCAGTTATTTTAATTAATTTAATTAATATTATTTATCTAAAATAATCAAAATAATATAATTAACCAATTAATTTAATTAATATGCTATATTTAAATATAATAACTATGATTAATAAATATATTAAAGATGGTTAAAAATTAATACTAATTTTAATGTTAATTAATATTTAGGGATATATATATATATTTGATTCCAGATTTTTTACCTAATATTTTCAAGTGAAGTTAAGTTATTTAGGGCGAGCCTATTGGCTCGGGTCAGATTTAAACACCTGAAAATATTAAGTTTGAATTATAAAAATTAATAAAATAATTATACTGCCTATATGTATATGTACTTGAAGAGTTTTATTAATTTTACAATTTTAATTAAAAATTAAATATTTTAAAAATTAATTTACCTATATATAATAACATATATAAAATAACACACATACTCACATACATAGAAGAAGGGGAAAACAATGGAATTTCCTAAATTATGGTTAGTAAAATTTTTAATATCCTACAACATCTTTAAATATGACTAATTAAAAGATTTTGATTTAAACATAAGAAAATAATATTTGAATAATTAAAATCAATAATTTATGATTTGTACAATAATAAATATTCTATTAATGTTTAAAAACTATTACTACTACTAATATTTTAATATTAATAAATATTTAAAAATAAACCTAATCATGTATATATATCTATAAGTTAATTTGAAAAAAGTTATATTGATATTATGATTCTATTTAAAAATGGAACTAAATTGTATATAAACTACCAACAAAGTGTTGGTTGACTTGGTAAGTGATCTTAACCCTCAAAAGGGGAAAAAAAAATACAAATTTGATACTTGTAAAGCGCACTTTATTGGAAGAGCCAAAAACTTTTACGCTCTACGGCCCGAGAGAAATTACACCTTCCGGTTATAAAAAAAGAAAAAGAAAAAAAATTGCATATAAACTAATGCTTTGACTATGATCACTAATTGGATATTTTATGCATACAAACTAATATGGAATCATGTTTTAATATTATAAGAAAAATTATTGTCAATATTTAATATTAAAAAATAAGTAATACAATGTGAAATGCATGTCATAAAAAAAGATAGCATATATAAATAAAGATGATGTAACAAATATTTTTTTATAATGGTTTGATAATTAGGCCATTGAATAATCTTGGATTTTGAGTGATTAATGCATAAAACCAAACGATTATTTGGTTTTAAGTAGAGGATTAGAAAAGAAAAGAAATAATGAATATATTTTTTTAATCGCTCGTGGGACTTGTTTAGACTCAATTTATGAGTCTATTTATGGACTAAATTAATAAAAAAAAAAAATATTTTAAAAAATTATTCTCACTTTACTCTTTTTTTTCAACGAATGGTCAAAAATACTACAATTTCAATGAAAATTTATTGATTTAGTCCAAACATGAATTTATGAATCGAATTTAAATAAGTCAATTCCTAATATGAAATGATTTGGCGATATTTGAAGCGTTGGCTCTCCGTTTTTGTTCAATATGGGTCTCTAAAAATCTGCTCTCTCCAAGTTGTGTCTACACTGCCAATTATTATCTAGAGCTAATATTGCTGTTAGATGGTATAGGAAATAAGCTAATGGAGGAGCTCATTCCCTTGCTCGGAGTTTCTTTCACCATGCTCATTTTAAAGTTTGGAAGGCTATCCCAGACTATTGTTATCCTTTTACGATTTTTAACGCAATGTTTTTCAAAAACAAAAATACGGAAATGAGTTAGATGATCCATTATTAGCTAAACTACTTTATTTTCTTATATAAAACATTTTCAAGAAAAGAATATATAATTAAATTTCCAAAAAAAAATTGTTCACATACGTAAATCCTCGTAACAAAAGTATGAATTGACCAGAAATATTATTGTTTAAACAGATTGGTCGGTTGCTTTATGAGAAATATGAAGTGGAAAAGAAAATGCAAAAGCTGTCATTCGCTTGGAATAAGACATTTTAAAGTAGGATGATGCTTTCATCGGTTATCTTGTAATTTCATTCAAATTATTTGAAGTTTCTGAAAACAATAAATAGTTATAGAAACTGAAAATTCAATTTGAAGGCAAGAAAATGTCATTTTCTAAAAAACATTTTCTCAAGCTTTTTTTATCAGCAAAATTAATTAATTAATTCTATTATTAAAAATTAACAAAAATTTAACAAAGACAAGCAATTTACCCAAGTCATCAAACTTACCTAATACACTCAAGTCCGAACTTGAAAATATTATATGACAAGACCTAACAAAATCTCGTGATACATGAGTTAAAACTCCACAAGAAAATATGTTAATCTTTTTCGGGGGCAGTCAAAAATAAAAGCAGGACATACTAACACAATTAAAACACCAAAGAGAATCTATAAACAAGCTAGGATTTAATATATCTACTCCTTTTTATGAGACTGAAAATAGTAACCAAGCAGAACATACTAACATGCTACTCATTTGCAAGCAATCTGCAAATGAGTTTTTCTCTTTCTATGAGACTGAAAATAACTTGAACCAAGTAAGAAACGAGAAGATCTAGCATATTGAAGCATTCTCATGACTTCAAAGGACATTTTTTCTTTGTTTAGTATCCAAGATAAAGCAATTTTTCAATATGATTCAACTAGGCATAGCCATCGGTTTATTTTGAACTGAAACCGAACTGAAAATGAACCGTACTGCAGATGAAATGGAATCAGATTGTAACCGTCGGTTTAAAGTTTTGAACCGGAACCAGCGGTTTATGGGCCGGTTAAGGTTCATGTGAATGTTAAAATCTGAACCTGAACCGGTCCAGTCGGTTCCGGCCCGATTTGAACCAAAAAATTTTTTATTTTTATTTTCAAAATGATAATCACTTAGCTTATTTTGTACATCTTTAAAAGTCTCAATAATATTTTACTACATGATAATACTTTACTTAAGATTTTTTTTTAAAAAAATACACTTCACTTTAAAAGTTAAAAATCTAAAAAGAAAAATGGTAAAAAAAGAAAGAAACATTTAGTCTAAAGTTATATTGTTCTTAACTCTTTTTTTTTTCCTTTTAAATTGTTTACTAAATTTAAAATTACATTCTTTTGAAGCATTTTTCAAAATTTTCTTACAATTGATTTAAATTGTTTATTTGATTATTTTATAAAATCAATTGATTTTATTCTAAAATTTATTTAAAATAAGATTTATCAATATTTTTTAAACTCATATTAATATTTCAAAAGAAAGATGTAACATTAGAACCAATTTTTTAAATATATATATATATATATATAATTTTAGTCTAAAGTTATATTGCTTCTTAACTCTTTTTTTTCCTTTTTTAAATTGCTTTACTAAATTTAAAATTACATTTCTTTTGAAGCATTTTTCAAAATTTTCTTAACAATTGATTTAAATTGTTTATTTGCATTTATTTTATAAAAATCAATTGCATTTTACTAAAATTTATTTAAAATAGATTTATCCAATACTTTTTTAAAACCTCATATTTAAAATAATTTTCAAAAAGAAAGATGTACCTGCTAAAACATTAGAACCAAATTTTTTTCAAAAATATATATATCATATATATATATATATTGCTGAAAATCGTCCGATTGTATATATATATATATATATTGCTGAAAATCGTGATTGGAACCGTTGATTCGTCGGAACTGTACTGGAACCGGCAGTTCAAGAGCCGGTCCAATTTCAACATTTTAAAATTTTTGAACCGGTCATGACTAGATTCAACCACCAAAGGAAAGAGTTTGAAATCTGATAAAGAAAAAAGCTCTATAGCTTTAAGATTGCCAACAACTTTGCCTCATGAGAGTCTATAATTTCAATAGAATTATAAAACACACAGATCACATAATTAACTCTTTAAACACCTCTTATACCAGCGTCTCTCAGCTTTCCCTTGACGGAGCCATGGACAATGAATTTGAGGACATTACCCAAAGGTTTATCCCAATTATCTAAACAAAATAACTTTTCGAAACTGAATCTCTTTTCAATTCACCAACACAAATCAAGAAAGGAAAGGTTATCCAATCGCTTAAACAGCTGGAAATTTGGATTTAAAAAGTTCAAAACTTCTTAATCTTATTGAGTCAATAACTGAGTCAGTTGCTAATTATGTGTTGTTCGGTTGGTCTTCCTTCTTTTCCTAAAAGATGTAGGAGTGAAAGATATTAGGTTCGAGTCTTATCTATCACATAAGTTATTATCAAATGTTATTAAAAAGATAGGGTTGGCCCCTGAGATATTTCATATAATATTATTCTGGCACACGAGACCATTTATTTTAACGAAACCATCCCAAATGAAAATGCTTTCTTATTGCCATCCTAAATCAACGAAAGAAGAAGGAAGAACTCACCACTTCATTCTGGGCAACCAAATAATTCTAATCATGGTTTAGAAAAAAAAAAAAAAAAAGGGCAACCAAAATAATTCTATCAATGGTTTTAGAAAAAAAATTAAAAAAAAAAAAAAAAAAGAAAACATCATGTAAATTGCCACCAAGTGAAACGCCCAATGATATAAGTTCAGTGTTCTTTCAATACGATCAAATCCCTTGAATGAAGCTAATGATTATTATTTTTTATATAAAAAATTTATAGTAATATGCTAATCAGTATTTCAAATATGTAATATGCTAATTTGATTAAACAGAAATTAAGTGCTGAAAAATTAATATTTGAATTTGAAATATATAATGAAAAATTTAAGTGGTGAAAATTTTAAATTACAAAATTATCTAAGATTATATTATATTGATTTGTTGTATTTGATACAAATTGAATTTCAATTTAATTGAGACTTTCCAGATAAACCTTACAAAAGACTTAAAGTTTTAATTTATTCACCCGTTACTTATCCCACATAAGCAAAAGTCGAATTTTATTAAAAGAATTTAAAATATATATATATAGGCTTAGCATAAAAACAAAATAAAATAAAAAGGGGAATAGGCAGATCAAATTATAATAGGAACCATTATCTCTCATGAAAGGCATCGACTACAAAATGAGGAGTCAAGTTACCAAAATTGCCACTGAAAATATTTGCACATATCACATATTTTAATAGTATATGTTTCTTTATACATGTCCTCTTCTCCATAGCGAATCTTCCTATAATAAATTTTAAATAAAGATGACTGCAACCATATGTAATTTACGATATTGTCCCAAAATTATTATCTTCTACTTTATATTATAATAATGATCAACCATAAGTAATGTAATTTTCTTCCTTTCTAATTAGTACTTATCAATATGAAAACATTGTTTTTTCGTACAACCAAATAAATTTTATTACTAAAATCAATCAATAAATTAATATGTCAATTTTATTTTTTTAAACACATTTGCGTATACATTTTCATATTTGCGTCGAGGGTGCTATTAAAGTAAAACCCTCTTAACAGTTGGATTTAAAGCTTTAAATTCTAGACCTTGCAAACATCAACTATATACTAGTAAGTTTATTCTATTGTGCTCCTGCGATATCTATAAAACATGAAATGTTTTTTTTTTTTTTTTTGTTATTATATTTATTTATTTTCGAACTGCTATAATAAGTAGAAGCAATTTAGGGTTTTGAATTAGTAGTACTAAATTTTATATGGCACTCATTGAAGAAGCCAAGTTTTTTTGTGCATGGAAAAGGCATAAGCTTGTACTAATATTCCAAAAGCTATACATTCTATTTTCAGCATTATTCGCCCATCACTAGCTATAATTGATATTACTTATTAATTATAATTCAGACATAATCATTGATTTTAAATTATTGAGACAATATCAATATGAATTGTGCAATTACAATAATATCAATTTGTTGCGTGAACGAAAATGTTCTTTATTTCTAATTTCGTTGGGGGTACGTAAGACATTCCATAAAGACAAAATTAAGTCGTCATAATTACTTGCACAATTTTACTAGACACTACAATCCTTTTATAATTTACTGATAAAAAAAAAAAAACCAATAATAGAGTTCAATTCGATTCCGACAAGCAGTTTGACATAAATATCCATCTTTAAAATTTTAATTGGATTGATGATTGTTTGAGATAATTTAAATTTCAATTACAAAGTTATAAACAATACATATGATATTGAATTTAAATATTTCAATAAATTTAAAATATTAACTTTTCAAACGGAATAAATATTTTTTTTTAATACATGGGAGGTTCTATGAATTGAAATAAAATTATGAGCTACACAAAAAGATAGTTCGTCCTTTTGAATACCATTCACCAAATTGGTGATAATTTATGCAGTAGAGAGGATTCAAATTTGAAACTTTTTACTTCTACATATTTCATAAGATACGAGAAAATAAAATTAAGAGGTCAAATAAAAAATCACATTATTATTATTATTATTATTTATTATTGTTGTGGTTATTATCTTTTTGGATATAAAGGAGGAGAGAACCCATATAACTAGCAATCTCTAACTATCATTGGCAAAGTCACACCTTAAATATCTATATAGCTAAGAAGATCATGAACCACAGATGAAGGGTCATGGAAAATTACGTTATTTGTTAATTAAAAATTAAAAAGATTGGAGCTAGGGCAGCATCCCCTAGTTTCACTCTTATGTGTGTAAAATGATTTCATTGGACAACCTCTATAAAGGCATAATGAACTCGTTATTGGAGTTATAAATTATTAAAAAAAAATTTGAAGAGTTTCACTATTTTAAAATGAGAATAATCATATGAATAACATTATTAATTTTTAGAGATAATTATAAATTTAGTGTCTGATTTTTTTTAATTTTTCTATTTTAGTGTATGATTAGAAAATATTTGCAATTAAATATGTGGATTAATAATTTTGGTATACTTAATTAATTTTAAGTTCATTTAACCGAAATTTCTCACTACAAAATCAAAATCATTTATTTTACTCAAGTATTACCTTGCATTTTATTTATTATTCTCTTTTTTTAATATTAAATTGAAAGAAAAAATAGAAGAAATTTTTTGAGACTTTTTATTAGAGAGGAAAAATATAAGATGACAAAAAAATTAAAAAAAATGAAAAAAGAGAGATGAATTAAATGAATGTTTATTTATTTATTTCTTTTCATATTAACCACAAATATAATCAATCACGGACTTAGAATGAAATCTAATCGAACCTAATCTATCCACTAATTAAGGGGTTAAGAGTTCCGAACGAATATTTATTCAATTCATTAGAATATAAAGTTCGATATGATTTAAAGGAGAAAAGTTTAAAACCATTTATTAGAACATGCACTCTTTGGTAATAGATGTTTATTTTGATACCATTTATTGAATAAAATAGTTTATTTTTAATTTTCTAGAATAATAATTTGGCTAAATACATGTGCTTGCAACTTTTTTTTTAATAGTTTAGATGTCTAATTGCAAATTTTTTTTCCTATGTAAATACTAAAACAAAAAAAAATTAAAATTTTATTTTATTTTGATTCTGGCTCCATTAATATCTAATCCTATTAGAGTAAAATTCATGTTACAGTTACTACTCTTCTTTTCATCGGAAAAAAAAAAAATCAGCTTTGATCAATCATAAAGAAGCAATAATGCTAAAAATGAACCCTCATATATATTCTTTGTAATATATAGACAAAATCCAGAAAGTTGAGTGATCGTTTAATGTGAACAGATGCATGAAACTTTTTATGTAGTCCCTGATTTGAAAATTGTCACAGCCATAACAGTAAGCCTTAGCTTGGCTGTGACCAATTGTTTATCAAAGTCTACCTACCTGTAATTTTAAAAAAAAAAAAGAAAGAAAGAAAGAAAAAAAAAAAAAGAAGAAGAAGAAGATTACATGCATGGAGGGTCCCAACACCCTTCCTCCCCCTCTTTGATTGATTGCCATATCTGTCTCTTTCTCTTAAGTCTGTTCCAACACGAAGTGGTCCCCACGTCCCTGACCACTCACTCACTAGTCACGAGTCTTTAACTCGAACGGGTTCACACAGTTTCTTCCATAGTTGCAGTCTCCAACCTTCCATTTATGTTTTTCTTTCACCTAATATTATTCTACTGCTTAATATTCTCAGTGTATATTACTATAACAATAACAATAACAAAAACTAAATTAACTAGCTAACTATATATCTAGCTAGCTAGCCGGCTATCTTGCATGATAATTCAGGTAAAACACAAACAAAATGTTATCATTACCTTCTTTTTCTGGATCAAATTCATTAAACTCTGTGATGATGCCCAGAATTATATTGGCTCAAATCCATAGTTGAAGTTATTGAGCCAAACTTAGCTAGCTCTTGTTGCAAAAATGGTCTTGTTGTCGTTTCACCTCCTACACCAAGAAAGTCTCTAGTTAAACTTCCCTCTAATACTTCACTCGATGAGCTCCTATGGCTTTTTGTTCCATTTGCTTGTATCATTAACAACGACCCATCTTTTATAAATGGAGAATTCGCCAATACGTTCAAGTTGTCAACTTGATTACTATCTTGTTGTTTGCCACTTACGTACTTGAGAGTTTCGCTATTACTGAAGTTGGACATGTTTGAGAGAGAAAACTCATTGCTTGGACTAGTAAACGTTGGATTGCTTACTGTTGATCCCATTTGAGCTGCTTTTTGCAATAATGCAGTAGCTGACATATGAGCTATTGTCGACACTGATGAGCTTCTCTGTTGAGCACTTGAATAGAAAGTAGCTGTTGATTCAGAAAAGTCTCCTTTGTTTATCCCTTGTTCCTCTTTTAGTCCTCGTGCCAATGTCGATACAGAAAGAGCATTACTGCAACCTGCAAATGATGCTTCTTGATATTTATTGAGCCACTGCGCTTGTGTTTGAACCAATTCTGGCAAGCAAGTTGAATTTGGCGCCAAGAAAGCATTAGAATTACTCGGGACTCCAATTGGGTTGAATTGGGGAATATTAGCGTTTTCTAACCATGTTCCTAGTCTTGGTTTATGCCCGTCAACTCCCATATCAACACCAACTATCTCTGATCGAAATTCTGGTCTATATAACGACGAAAACTGATTGTTACTATTAGTAGCCTCATTGACTATATTGCTTCTGAAGTTTGCATTCATTGCTGCTGAAACTGAAGTGAATCTTGCACTTTCTTCTGCTAAAGCATCACAAAAAGCTCTGTGCGTAATAAAGCTATCCTTCCTGATAGAAAAAAGAAAAGCACATTTCAAAAAAATTTTTTTAATACTTATAAATATAATTAAATTAAATGTGCTAGCTCCTTTTGGTCTGAACTTATGAATTCCAATGTGCATATATATATATATAAAATCACCAATTAAAGTCTACCTTTGTTAGTACTGAATTCTTGAAAAAAGAAAAAAAAGAAATAATTATATCAAGTTAAAGACTCTTTTACGCACACCGAACAAAGAAAAATCAAGAAAATTTTGAAAACATACCTGGAGAAGAGAGTGCCACAGTCACATCTGTACTCTCTAGTGCCACAGATCTTGCTATGAGCTTTCCAATCTGATTGAACTGCATATTTCTTTGAACATTTCTCGCATTTCCATTTCTTTTCTCCATGTTTTCTGCTAAAGTGTTTCTTTATTCCCGTTAAGTCTCCTAGGGCTCTTGAAGGATCGTGGTGTACACAGCTCTTTTCAGGGCAAATATATACCTTCTTTCTAATAACCTCTTTGTTTGATCTTTGCTTCAGTTTCCATGGAAGATTATGGCCTCTCCTATGAAGCTGAAGATTTTGGTCTCTTTGAAAACCTTTGTTGCAGATTTCACAAATGAATCTGTTTGTTGCCATTAGAGATTTTGGGGATAAGGCAATAACTTCTGCATCTGGATCTGGTCAAAACAAATAAATAAAACCCCATAATTAGAGAAAATAACTTGAAAGAATTAAGATTTCAAGAAATACAAAGAAATTAATAAGCTTGCCTGGTGTTCCTGGTAAATTTCTCTTCCTCTTGACTGGATTCGAAGTAGGGTTAGGGTTAGGGTTTGAAGTAGTTGATTCTTGAAGAAACCCTCCAACGGTAGAGGAAGGAATAGCAAACCCATCATCAGACATCATTTGAATTTAGCAAAGAAATGGAGAGTATAAGTGGGTTTGTGTCCTAAAACTAGCTAAAAGAGAAGAAGAAGAACAAAACTAAAGGAGTACAGAGAAAGAGAGAGAGGTATAGAGCAGTACAGAACAAAATACAAAACCAAGAAAATAAAAAAAAATAAAAAAAAGGTTTATCTGTGTGTGTGTATATATATATATATATATATTGATCAGTACAGATATATATCAGGTAAAAAGATCTCTCTAAAAATTTGTTTTCCCCTGAATTGATCCCCTTTTAAAAGAAAGAATTCCAATTTAGACTTGTCTCCAATTCGATAAATTGCACCCCTTACCTTAGTTTAAACTCTTGTTTTTGCTTTGCTTGAAGCAAAGACAAATGCACAAAACAAAAAGACACTGCTAACTGTAGAAGATAGAATATTTTTCTCTCTCTTTCTTTTCTCTCTCTCTCTCTCCTTATCTTACACGGCTCCTCTTCAAGTCAGTCAGCCATGGACTCCACTGGACCACCACGTACGTATTTATAAAACTAGTTAAACAACATAATAATAATAATAATAAGGGTAATTAACTATTTAGTCCCTGATTTTTGTTGAACTCGAAATCATGTACCTAGTATTTGACAAAATCATTGATTAATACATGAAGTTTAGCCTCATAAAATTATTTAATTTTTTTATGATTGAATACATAAATTCACCCTTGAACTTTGTTACTTTAACCTTGTGACACCCTCAATTTTTATTTTGACCTATCAAATACTTCAACTTATAAAATTACACATATTAAACGCTTCAATTTTCAAATTTATTTTATTGAATACTTTAACTTGCAAAATTAGATCAATTAAATACTCATACTTTAACTTGCAAAATTAGATCAATTAAATACTCATTAAAAGTTAAAATCTATGAAAATGATTGTTTCAAAAAGTCATGCTAACTACATGTCTAGTCGATATTTTGCATATAAAAGCCAAAAACCTAAAAGTTATTGATATTAGTGTCAAAAATGTGTAATATTACTAAAATTTACAAGTTCAAATGCACAATAGATCATCTGCAAAGTTTAGAGTGACACGAAGTCAAAGTTGCAAAGTTCAGGGGTAGGAGTGAATTTATGTATTCAACTATTTTTTTTATCCAAAATTGTCATTTTTCTACTAAATAAAGGACTAAATAGTAATTCAATAGTAAACATGAAAGATTAAATAATAATGTTATATTAAATTTAATAAACCAAGTAGTCAAATGTTATAGAATATTTAATAGCAAAAATAGCATTTTTTTTTTAAATAAATTGGAAAAACTATTTAGCCCTTTTTAAAAAGAATTAAATATTGTAATTACCCTAATAATAATAATAATAGTAATTTTCTCTTTTAAAATAATAATCTATATTAATAATTTGAAATATCATAAATAGTGTTTTTTTTAATTAAAAAATTATTTTTTCATTAAAGTCCTTCAAATTTATTTCTTTGATTTTCATACCATATTTCAGTTTCTTAAAATGATACCTTTAAAAAATAAATATTTCATTCAAAGTATCTTATTAATCTCTCCTTTAAAATTAAAGTTGAGAGGGAAAGAGTGATAATTATTAATACATGTAATTAAATATTTATATATGATAGGCATGCTATAGTTTAATTTCAAATTAAAATCAACAAATCGAACAAAACTCAAAACTTAAGTTAATATTCGACGATAAAATCAATATCAAAAACAAGTATTTACAATTTGATTCTTGTTCTCTATTTTTTGAAATAGAAACTAGTGATTCTGGTTTAATATCGTAAAAAAAATAAAAAATTATGATATTAAAGACAATCAATGAAGATCTCAATTTATTTTTTGAACATAATATTTTCAAATATATTTTAATAGTATTCTTGTTAAACACATTTATAATTATTACTTGTCTTTATCCACACTACAATACTAAAAACTTCTTTTTAAAAAAAGAAAAAAAAAAAGGCTAGGGGTATTTTGTTGGTGGAATCTGATTGGAAAGTGGTTGAAAAAGTTAGATTCAATGTTTAATTTCAATTCTAGATTAAAGTTACAATATAATATTTTAATCTGTCTTAATAGTTTGAGAGTTTAGAAAATATGTGTATAATAATGTTAAATTAAAAGAAATATATATAATATAGGAAAAGAAAAAGGCAAAGATGGAATGAAAGTGGATTTGAAAAGGGGATAGGGAAAGAGCATGTCATGTGTTGGAGAGAGAGAGAGAAAGAAAAGGGAATTGCCTTTACAGCCAGCAAGAAGAGGAAAGAGGTTAAAATGATTATGCTATAATTGTTGTGGAGATTCTAGTGTTCGCCGTCCGTGAGCGATGAGTGGCTCACAGAGAGGGACCCACACCTAACATATAGACAAGAGAAGACTGCTTCTTTTGTCCACCTCTTTCTCCTTTCTCTTGGAATTCGTTCCCGCCCCTCTCTTCCTGCCTGCTGGCGACTCGCTCATCCACTACTCTCCATTTACACTGCAGAATCTTTTTCTTTTCTTTTTTTCTTCAAAAAAATAAATTTTTTTTTTACTTAATTTCATTTTTCTTATTTATTGTTTCCTTAATTTCAAAATTATAATTTAATTTACCAATTGAGGATTTTACATTTTTACTAAAATACAATTTTCAAATAAATTTTACTTATAAAAACAAGATTTAAATGTAATTAATTTGCACTGATAAGAAAAACAAGATTTAAATGTAATTAATTCGTACTTATAAGAATATTTCACCTAAATACCGCTCTCCATTTGAATAATTCATAATTGTGATTATGGGATAACTTTTGCATATTTACTCCATATACCCTCAGATGTTTTATGTATTCTTGCTAAAAAAATTGGGGCATTTTTCTTTAAAATGATAATACTTTTTAATTTATGGTTCAGCTTCAAAATTACTATTTAAATCATAATATGAATAATGCACATATAAAATATATGCAAGTTTGAAAATTCAAATTTGGACAGTGTGGTGACTGAGCAAAGTAGCTATCAGAATTTGATGAGTCCTTCTCCTCCTTTCAATAATGCAATTAAATTATAATATATATTCCAACACCTTTATATAATTATTTATTATTATTATGACAATAGAAAAGCAAATCTCAAAAGAAACTAAATATAATATTTAAAAGAAGATTCACTGACATCATATAGAATCAGACCAGAAACAATAACGAATATTTAAAAGATAACCAACTCAGTTATTAATCTCACGAAAAAGATAAGAAGTCGTATACTCTCGTTCTCTCTATCAAGAGTAAAAAAATTTATCTACATTTGCATTTCTATTAGGGGAAGAAAATTAAGAAATTGGAAAATGAATTTTTAAGTTACTGTTAAGATAAGTGAATAAATAGGAATTTGATGATATTAAAATGTTAAATCAAATAAAGAAGTGGGGGCATGTTTGTCATGTTTGTCAAAAAAAATGCTAAATCTATCATTATTCATAACCCCAATATTCAACACCTAGACCTTCATGTATAATTACTTGAAAAAGACATATATATCCATCCATCAACATTTCTTAATCAATCTCCCGAACTTTTATAAACTTGTAAATTCCATCGTACACTTGAAGGTAATTAAAACCTTTCTAAACAAAAAAAAAAACAAAAAAAAAAAAAAACTGAAGTAATGTAAAACTTCTAAAAAAAAAAAAAAAAAAAAAAAAAAAAGTCTACGTACCAACTAGAAAGAAAAATATTAAATAATTAATCAAATCGAAATAAAGTTTTATTTTATGATACGTTGAATTTTCTTAATCAAATTAAGAAACACAAATTCCAAGAGTTCACATTAGGTAAATAGTAATTCTCTTGGGTTTGTGGAATTCCAAAATAATTCATTTCTCTACAGAAGCGAATATATGCTTTTTATTTATTTATACAATTTTTTTTATTCAAAAATGAAAATTGGTACTATCAATCACATGTCTGTTTGGTACGTAGCATTTAAATAAATATTTCACACGAAAAAAGAATAACTGTCGTTCTTCTTACGTCACAAGTACGCAATATATATATATATATATATATAATTATATATAGCGTATATATATATATATATATATATAGCCACCAGACAAAAACAAAATACACCCACCCTACATTGTATATACTTCAGTGTAGAAAATCTATTGGGCTTCCATTTATTTCAGAAAATCTATTTTTAAATAATAATATTTTTTTTTTCCATTACTTTATTGATTAATAAAATCATTCAAATATCAATAAGGCGTGATTCCTGGTTTTCTGTGGGACAACTCGAACTATTAATTACTTAGAATTAAACAATCAAGTTTACCCTTTCAAAAAAAAAAAAAAAATCAAGTTTATTTTTATCCTATTCTTATTTAATTAATTAAAGACTTGGTCTTAGTCCAATGTTGAAATTTGGCTCCTATATGCGAATTTTTTTTTTTTTTCTAGTTTGGTATATATATAGAGAGACAGTGGCCCCACTCCCAACTTTTTTTTTTAGAATTTATTTATAAAATAATAAAAAAATTTCAATTTTATCTCTTAAAATAATATACTTTCTTAATTTCAATCTCTTAATTAATTTTTTTTTTCGCTTTCCAAATCTTCAGTCCTCATTCCATTGGTCCATATTCTTTTTAATGTATCGTTCTATGAAATGCATGCAGATCCATAATTAATTAATAACATAAAATAGAATATAATTAGATGCCCCAACTTCTGTCTTGAAGAAAAAAATAATAAATTTTTGTAATATAATTTGAATGATATAATTGCTTTAGGAATGAATTTTAAATTTGAATATCTATATTTTCATAAAAAGCATATCGAAGCACATTTTTTTTGCCAAGACATTGAGAAACTTGCAATTCCTTAAGTCATTGGAATTAGCTTTTTTTTTTTTTTTTTTTTTTTTTTTTTTTTTTTTTTGTTTTTTTTTTTTTTTTTTTTTTTTTTTTTTGAAGTCAGAGTATAGAGCAGCTCATCTATTCCCTATGAATTTGGTTATTTACAATTTAGTTTTGTCCTTTTTTGTAAAAAAATGTAGTAAAACCCCAAAAAAAAAAAAAAAATTTTGAAACAAAGGAAACCAGTTGGCTGTCCTACACTTTTTCTTTTTTTTTTTTTTTTTTTTCTAATTTTGTTTTCATTCCATCATGTTGGACAAAAAGAGCCCATTTCTTTTCATAGTAGGGACTAACTCCCCCACATGGGCCGGCTACTCTAAAGTAATGGGCCTAGACTTTGCACCCATTTGTTTTCTATTAAATTATTAATTGGTTGTATATGTGATATTGTACATATAAAATTCTCTCCTTTGGCTTGGATTTGGCTAGTTTAACTTTAGGATACATTTTTAGAAAAAAAAAAAAATCTTTAAGCTTTTGTTCTTTTTTATTTTATTTTTTAAACATAAAAATTATTATTAAATATAGTTATTTTTTTATTATATAAATAAACTAACTTGTCTGCTCCATCTTTCTTAGATAATATTTTTATTTATGGTTTAAGCAATTTATAAAAACAGCATTTTCATTAAAAAAATTATATATTTCTTCTAATACATAAAAATAAGAAAAAAAAATATTCCAAACTTATTAGATGTTTAATATATGATTTAAAAATATAATTGTCCATTTGTATTTTTAAATTGCAATTGTTTTTAGAGATAACACTGTATAGTTCTTGGCATTGAAATTTTATATTTTATTTCCAAAAAGATGGTTTAGTTTTCAGCCATGTCACTCTCACATACACAACAACAAAACCCATTTAACGTTGATCCAAATGAGAAAAACAAAACCATACTTAGGATTCTAATTTCTACGTTCCAAAAACATCGATTTAAACTATGTTTTTAACTCTAATATATCTATATGTATGTAGCTAGTTTTAGGGCCTATGACTTAAGACCAAAATACAAATATCTTCTGTCTCCATCCCTAATAGACTTTGAAACTTTGGTATCATCTTTTTTTTCTAATGAAAAATCTTCACTAACGCAGTTACCTTCTCATTCAGTCATTCCTCTAGTAATTTTCTTTTTTGAAGAAATAAATCTGTACTCTTCTTGTAGTGAACTGATACTATAAAATTAAACCAAATGTATATTTTATATGCTTTTATTCTTTTATTATTTGATCATGTTTGTGGTATATATCATTAGATCAAAGATTCTATCCATCAAGTTCAGTATCAGTTCACTGCACTCGTCAAGTTTGCATCAATTGATTGTAACAATAATTTTGAAAATGCATATATATAAACGAGTGAGTATGAGGAATAAAATTCTAAAATGGATACGGGAATGATAGCTCAAAGTTGATGAATACACCCCCGCTTTCATCCGTAGTGGAGTGTTTTGCATGCATGATACAGGGGCCTCTAGCTGTCTTAATTGCCAGTTGCAACGTGTGTGTGTACATATATATTATAGAACAATATCCAAAAAATAAATAATTGTAGAGAAATGGTTACAGAGTAAAGCACAGAAATCGTCATCAAGGGAAGTTGAAAGGCGTCTTATTCCCCATTATTTTAAATTATTTGCATTGCATTATTCTCATTATGGGAAATTGACAAGGAGTAAATTTTTATTATCATATGGTATATATTATGAACACTCATGTGCTAAATATCCCGTAGACCTTGGGCTGCGATACAAACTAAATTCATGCTCTGCAAAAACTGCCAATGACAGGATCTTTTTACGTAATCTTCTACCAAATTTCAGGATTATGATACAAATATTAACCATAGCTAATTTTTCTGCTTATATATAACTGTGGTGTTGACCAACGGTTAATGTCGTAATCAAAATTTACTTAGTGCTGATTCAACAATTTTAGAGCCATCTACATATAATAATCTCCTTCGTCAGAAACTGATAGGGTTACTGACAAATTTGAGAACCAATAGTTGGTAAATGGCAAGGGAAAACATATGAAATATGTATATCATCTACACGTACACTGTTTTGGCATTTGGGAATACCTCTAACTTAAGGACATGAAAGGTAATTAATACTACCTTCAAAGTGTCCATTTTGTGTTATGGAAGGTAGCAAATGAATAGGAATTCGACCGACCAAGTAATGTCCAAAAATGTAGCTTTCTAGTATGTTTCGTTAAACATAATATTAATACGTAAATTTATTTGGCTCGTTCCTGTCTATTATCTTAATTGCTGTCCTTAACTGCATGAAATTGGACCATATAATCCCTCGCAGCTGTTCTCTTATAATTTACAGCCGCTGCATGAAAGTCTATTAGCTTAGACTTTCTTTGCCTGTTGATAATAACGCAACTTATTGATTCGCTGAATCTCCATCCGAAGAGGAGACACAGAACAAATTAAAGCTAGTAATTCTTAATTTATTATCAATGGAAAGAGAGCACAGTTCTAATTTCAAATTTCCTCCAGGTTTTAGGTTTCATCCATCCGACGAAGAGCTAATTATTCATTACTTAATTAACAAAGTATCTTCCCGTCCGCTTCCGGCTTCAATCATTGCCGAAATCGATCTCTATAAGTGCAATCCATGGGAGCTACCTAGTCTGTCTTCTTCTTCTATTTTTCAAGATTCATTTTTTTTTTTTTTTTTTTTTTTGATTCGCCCTGAATACTACCCCATCCACGAAGAGGAGAGAAACACGAAACAAAACTCCAAGCCCTAGTATTCTTAAATTTATTATCAATGAAAGAGAAGCACAGTTTACTAATCTCAAAATTTCCATCCAGAGTTGTTAGAGATTGTCATCCATCCGACGCAAAGAGCTAATTATCATTACTTAATTAACAAAGCTATCTTCCCGTCCGCTTCCGGCTTCAAGGATCATTGCCGAAAGTCGATCTTCTATAAGTGCAAATGCCATGGGAAAAGACTAACCTAGTCTGTCTCACACCTTTCTTTCTATTTTCAAGATTTCATTTTTCTTTATTTTTTATGTTTGAGATAACCGCTTACATATGATTTCCTTTGGCAAAAAATAAACCTCATTTGTTTCTATCAAATTAAAAAAAAAAAGAATTTCCATAGTTTTAGTTGTCAAAATAATCCGTAAATTATTTTCTGGAATTTACAGTATATTTGAAAAAATCTTTTTTATTATTTTTCAATTTATAAATCTATAAAGATGATTTAACTTTGTGATATTTGATATAATTGTTTAAAATGCAGAGAAGGCTTGTATGGGCGAAGTATGAATGGTAATTTTTCATAGTCCAAAGAGAGAGGAAATATCGCCAATATCAGCAGCCCAGCGAGGACCCAGCTGTACCGAAGCAGGCTGAGACTTACCAAGAAATCTCTTGCGCGCCTAAAGGGAATACCACTTAGGAGACTAACTAGATAGGTACCAATAGTCAAACTTCTTCAGAATCAACCCGAACATTCCCGGTGAATCAAAAGCTCTAGTTTATTATCGTCAGGAAGGGCTCCTAAAAGGAAAATCAAGACAGATTTGATCAAAAGTGAAAAATTAAATATGAGTATAGACTACTCGACGCAAAAAAAATAACGCAACGAACAAACCCCTACCAATAACATCGAAAAAGAATCCATGAAGTAGGTAGACGATCGAGAAATTTAAAAATCGCTACACTTATTTTCTGATAAAAAGTTAAATATTTTAAATACTTTTTAAGTTGTCAAAAACCTTTAATTAATTATTTACTATCTGAACACACTAAACATTACTACAAGGCAAACCTCAAACACTTATAATGTTATAGTAGCTTCCTAAGCGTAAAAAAGCTAAATTAATCAAACAGACATAAAAATGCCCAAATACTCAAACCCAACTGACGGCTACCAAAACAAACAGGATATACCTTACTAGGAGATAAAAGATCTCAGTATAAAAAAACAATATATAATACACACAACAGAACAGATAACAAGTAAAGAAATCACTCACGGCAAATAGATAAAATCCTAAAGTAATATTTTCTTAGTCGATATGATTCTCGAGTTATATGGAATTACTCGAAATGATATTTACTTTATACGGTTCATAAACCCCACCCTTAATTTTTTTTTTTTTTTTTTTTTTGAGTACCCTTACATATATTCCTTGGCAAAAATAACTCATTGTTCTATCAAATAAAAAAAAAAGAATTTCCATAGTTTAGTTGTAATATCGGAAATTATTTTCTGGAATTTACAGTATATTGAAAAATCTTTTTTTATTTATTTTCAATTTATAAATCTATAAGAATGATTAAACTTGTGATATTTTGTTTTGTTAAAAATGCAGAGAAGGCTTTGTATGGGGAAGATGAATGGTATTTTTTCAGTCCAAGAGAGAGGAAATATCCAAACGGAGCGAGGCCCAATAGAGCAGCTGGATCAGGTTATTGGAAGGCCACTGGCACTGATAGGCCTATAGTCACTTCTTCAGGATCAAAGAACATTGGTGTCAAAAAAGCTCTAGTTTTTTACTCAGGAAGGGCTCCTAAAGGAATCAAGACAGATTGGATCATGAATGAGTATAGACTACTCGACGCAGCAACGACAAACCCCTCCAAATCGAAAGGATCCATGAGGGTAAGTCGGATGTCACTTATTTTCTGATAAAAGTTAATAGTTTTTAAATATCTTTTAAAGTTGTCAAAACCTTTAATAATATTACTTCTGAACTAACATTTTATAAAAGGTTAATCCATATAATGTTTAGTTGCTTTTAGCGTAAAAGCTATTCAAACAGCTAAATGCTACTCAAACAACTGACGGCTACCAAAACAACTAACCTTACTTAGAGAAAAGTCCAGTATAAACAAATAACCAAACAGGACAGATACAGTAAAGAAATCATAGGCAAATAGATAAATCCAATATTTTTCTTGTTTCGATATGATTCTCGAGTATATGAATACGAATGATTTTCTTTTATCTTCATAACCAATCCTTTTAGTTACAATCAATACTTAATTGAGGCCTTGAACGAATTTATTTCTACACAAGAACAGAACATTTTGCAGAAGTCTTTACTAATGATATTCAAGAATGGTTGAGAATTAGTGGGATATGAAAGTTTTACCAGGATGTTGGGTAGTCAACCTAGTTCAAACAAATGAAACCTAAAGAAACAACTATATTAAGGTGGCAAGATAAATCTGCAATCTAGTGGTATAAGAATTATACCTTAAAGTTTCATTCTTCCCCTTTCTGCATCTCTGCTTCATACCTCTGCATATTTTACTCGAACCTATTTGGTAAAAAAGATTATCCTGTTTTTACAGTTAGATGACTGGGTACTATGTCGAGTTCGACACAAAGGCAGCATGTCCAAGATCACATATGAAGTTCAAGACAGTTACAGCAAGGACCTGGTTTGGTACTTTCCAAAGATGGAGGAATCATGTTGCATAAATGCAAATTACAACTCAGACATGATCACCGACTGTTTGAACAAGGACTGTCAACTACTAGCTTCCATACTTGCCGGGCAAACTTTACCTCCTATTGAAACCATTTCAGGTGTTAGCAACCAAGGGAGCAACAAGGATAACGGTTTCACTTCAACTTATGAAGATAATAGTGATAAGTTGAATTCGCCAGTGACAGTTTCTTCGTTCAGTAATCTTAGCCCACTTAAAAGGAAACCTAATGAGGAAGTTAGGTGTGACAATCTCATTTCAGTGGATAAAAACCTAGACAGTGGCGATAAAGTTGACGATCTTCTACATAGAGACATGCTATCCAGCAATAATTTGAACTACTACAGCCATAACCAGTCTCAGTACAGCTTCTACAACCCTAACATGTTTGATCCAATCAGTGGCTTTCTTGAGCTTAATGAGTTCGCCTTCATCGGTAAACACATTCAATAATGAACATTTTGCAGGAGACTTCTTGCAAAAAGTCTGATTGTACGGCAAAACATGTATATATGCTGCAAAGGAGGATAAGTTTCCAGGGGAATGGGCAGTAGATCAACCAAAGAAGCAGCGATGTAATCTTCTCATAATTAAATATCTAGTTCCATAACTTGCAATGATGATAACAATAAACGTTCATGCATTTCTATATGATATGCAGTCAAGAAGATAATAAAAGCCAATGGCAGGCAGAATAGGTGTGATGTATTAAGAAGCAAACTTCATAGTGATGACAACAACAAACGTTTGTGCATTTTTGTATGATACGCTGTCAAGAATACAATAAAGCCAGTGACAGACAAATTAGGTGTAATGTATTATAGAAGCAAACTTGAACTGGATCCATATGCTTAAAGCTTCAACAATTATTTCAAACTATTAATACAGAACACCAAATGCGAAATAATTTCCTGAGGACAGTAATAAATGAAAATATATTTGTGATAACAAGAGAGTACACAAGAGCCCTCGAATGATGAAATTGCTATACCAGACGACGTTATCATCAAGCATGCAGCAGATCAAGGCCTTGAAATCCATTCACTGCAATATACTGAAAGAAACAGTGTCGGAATTTATTAGACAAGTTCCCAGACAGAAAAAAGCAGTCAAAAAACAAAGAATTCAGTATGCAATTAAGCAATAGTCTGGTTTTCAACAGCAGATCCTAACGAAAACTAAAAGCGCACCATCTCTTTAAATTCATCATAACGATAAGATGGATATTTGTTACATGTATGGATAAATCAAACAACCTTCGTCATGTAAGTGCATTATATAACTAAACTTAGAAATCTTAGTCTTTATATTTTAAAAAGAACAAAAGTAGAAAGAAAAAACATGGCTATTGCAGAATGACAGTTTGCACTAGTTACATCTCTTTGATACTTGGTTTTTGTAGCCTTGTTTTACAAATGAATTCCAGGCTGCATTTATGCAGAACATAACATAACCAACATTTATCTTTCCATCAAAAGCTTAACCAAAACACATTAAGAAAACAACAAACAACCCATTCCATAATCAAGTCAGGAAATTGAAATTGCAAGAAAATACTCAAGATAAATGCCTCTAAAAATATTGTCCAATTATGAAAAAATCAAAATAGATAAGGTACTTACTTGTATAAATAGGAACCAATTCCAAGTATTACACAAAGCAGAACAATGTCAATGCAGAAGTTTCTACTGGACCTCAACTGAAAGTAGAGGAAAACAATGAAGGAGAAGAAATTTTTATTTTATTAGAACCATGTCCAGTGTGTTCAAATAAAAGAAAGGTGGTGGCACTTCCAAGTCTGCATAATAGGAAATCTATAATAGGAATATTCATATTCATAGCAATTACCTGGACAATTGTTTGCTTAAGTCTAACATTTGTATTTTTAAGATCTGAAGTTGCTTTATCCACCTACAAGAGTAGCAAAACATAACCATTTAACAGGCCCTTTGTATATTATTTTGGCTTCATTATCTAACTGAAAATACAAGAGTATCATGAAGAATAATGCTCACCTTTGCATCAATTTCATCAATTAAAGGTACTTGCCTATCCAATTCCTGAGCATATTAAAACAAAGGACAAATTGAGTATCTTATTCCTTTCCCTTCTTCAGTAAAACCATCAAAAAAACTGAATTCTACATGTAACAAACCTCATTCATATCATGAGCCAAATCTTTTAGTGTGTCCAATCCTTCTGATATAACATCAAGGCCTTGGTCCTGTGCAAATGAGAAGGCAAAATAACAGATGATAAAGTGTGGAATCCTAATCAATAAATCAGCCTAAAATGTTTCAACTATAGATTAAATATCATAGTAACCAAATTAATCGGGAATCTTACATGCCTGTTTTAACTTCCGCATTTCATACTCCTGTCTAAATTGACTTGATTCTTCAGTTTGTTGGAAAAATCCATCATTAAGGTAATCATCTGCTTGTTGCCAGTAGGGTAACCAACAACTTATGTTAAGCTCACATCCAAAAGAAATACACAATAAGGGGCGCTAGCAATATTATTACCCGACGAATCGAACTTAATATTTTTATTAGGTGCTGATCCTCCCCATCCTCCAGTTTGTTTGCTTGCCGCTGCTGCAATCCCATCTGGTATGGCTTGAATCCTCTCTGGCAGTGCAAGGACCAGGTCAGGCCGGATGGCTTGGTCTTCTTTTGAAAGTCCTTTGACCTGTGATTACACAACATTCTAATTAAACCAAGTTCAATCATGACATTGCAAAGGACACCTAAAGGAAACAGGATTCAGGCAAGATAATAAATGTGAAGAAGAAAACAAAATGTTACGAGGAGAGAGTGTGGAAATTTTGCATAATATACATATATACATAATAAAGAGAGAGAGTGAAAACTTTCATGGACTACATGCACATCAAACAGAAAATTAAAAGTTATGCTCAATGCCCGTAGTCTTGCATCTGAAAGTTCTGATTATGCATTCTGATTATATCTACAATCCATGTCACAAATTTGTTCTCTATAGATAAATAACAAACCATTAAATTAATTTCAAAATCTGAAGTAAACATTTTTTTTTCTCTCTCTCTGTTTCTTAACCATCATCATCTAGCCAGATATGGCCTTAAAACTTATACCCAACCTCTCAGTCCCGTCACCACATCAGCTGAAGCCCAAGATTGAGCTTTCAGCACATTCATCGTTTTAGTTTCTATTACATGGTAGCAATGAACTCATGCTTGAGCATCATAAAAAAGGAATGGATACAAAAAGACAATCAATGCCATGCTGCCTCCATCATAGTGTGAGGAGTCTTAATACTAGTGTCATAATTAACAGCACAAGATAAAGGTTTTAGAATAGCATTGTGGTAAGCATGTTTGCATGTATGCGAGCCCCACAAAATGGCTTATAAAAAGTTAAATGCAGCTCTTTAGCAGGACATTATTTTATTATTAAATATAAGCAGCAGACAACCTCACTTACAAAATGTAAAAGGTGGCAACACAGAGTATTTCCAAGTAACATGTACTAACCTCAGGATTTAAGAATTAAGTCTTGGTAAAACATATGAATCAAAAGAACATAGCTACACCCTTGCAGTAATTTATCAAGCTGGAGAGGGTAAAGCAAGCTCGGTCATTGTAGTAAAGAACCCTCAAAGCTGACAAGTATTCTCTTATGAAATGTTTTTATTATAAAGTTTCAAAAGAGATCTTCAATTTTCCAAGAAGAATTTATGTCTAATTTCTACCGCTCTTTCACTCTCATGTTTTTTATAAACATAATTTTGCTTCTTTGAGTTGAAATTCTTTCTTGAAAGCTTCTGCTCACAATGTCCACTGCTTAGGATTTGCTGCCTGTTATTTCATGTTAATGAAACACAGACTAGGTGGATAACAATATCCAGTTAATTTAGTTTGCAAGGATTTATGAGACCAAAGTTCTTGCGTCCTTTCTGTTTTCATTTATTTCGAATGGTTTCATTTATCTTTTTCAACAACTGTTGGAGGAAAGTCTTGTATTACTAGTCCCTTCAAGAGTCCTTAATGTTAACATATTTCTTCAGATCTGATGTTTAGTCCAACTTACTTCCCCAATCTAAGTCCATAGTCATCGTTATCAATTAGCAATTGTAAAAACACAATAGAGGTTGGAAAGTCCACTTTATTTTATCAAAATCTTGAGTGTGCAAGCTGGCCAAGGTAAAAATATAAGTCTGTTTCCAGAAGTATATCATACATCTAATAATCTAAACACCTTATTGCTGTATTATTATGCAATACAAGTATATGACAACAACCATATGGCGATAAATCTGCTGTCACATTCCCAATACCCTAAATAATACATGAATATCCATATTTATTTAACTTTCTCATCCCAAACCTAAATTTATTTTTGGACACACATTTCAAAACGCTGAGGTATATATTTAGCATATGTAAGTAAATGCAATGTAATGTAATGACGTAGCGCTCGTAGTTAATCATTCCTTATTCTATTGAAATTCTTGATCCAAACTGCATTATGTCAATTGCATACTAAAAAATTACAGACATGGAAAAGAAAAAAAAGGAGAAAAGTGAATTCACCTTCTTGTGAGCCAATTTTTTCAGCTTTGGGAGTTCTTCCATCAATTTAGCCTTAGTCCTACGAACCTCTGCATTCATTGCAGCCGCAGAAGCCCTGTTCTGCTCTATTGCAGCCAGCTCAGATTTCTGCAGAAAATAATAAAATCCAAATATAGAACCTTATTTCTCTTCTTTAATCGGCTTGAAAATGCGAAGAACTAACATTCCTTGTTTTAATTTTCTTTATGTTATTATTATCTTGTTTTTTCCATTTCTCGCCTCCTAAGATCAAAATATCAGCTCCTTTGATGAATAATTTTTTTAAAAGAAATAACTGTCAACTGAAGAGTACGAGCTTCTGATTTTATTTTCCATAATTTCTTCGCAAAGCACAAACAATTAATAAAAATGAGGGAATGGAATCAAACATTGAGAGCAGCTTCAATGTCGGCCTCAACCGAGGCGTAGAGGCTAGCAAAGGCGTCATCGCCATAGGCATTGAGCTCTCGCTGCTTATCGATGTCGTACTTGTCGTATTTCTTGCAAATTTCATCGACTCTGAACAAAATATCTATCACGCTCATCTTGATTCCTCCTCCTTTTGATTGATGATGGAAAGAAATGGAATAGAGAGAAAATGAGAGAAAGAGAGGATCTGGATTCTCTCTCTAGTTTTGGCATGGTTTTTTCTTTCTGGCCTCTGAAGTCTCTGTATCCTTCTTTTGGCCGCTGTTGGCGTGGGCAAACGAGGCGTTGAGCGTAGAAAGCGGTTTTGGGAGAAATTGAAGACGAGAGGAGAGAAGAAATACTCAAACGACACCGCTGTTTTTGGCGGGCACATGATATCAGGGCCCGCAATTTGCCACGTCACTGTTGTGGATTTTATTTTTTACGCGATCATTCTACGACAGCAGCCTTAGCTGTCGTTTATCATTAAAAAGAACACACGACATTGCATCCTAATCATACCACAGCAAACATTGTTCTTTTTAAAGAAAAAGTCAAAAAGTCTGTTTGATTGATCCGAAAGAAAATGAAAAAGAAAAATACACATAGGAGGAAGCCTTTATTTAGACTGTTTATATGGTGTCCATTTCTTAATAGTGACTTTTACGTGATATGGAGTTTCTTTAATATGCTATCAACTATAATATACACGCCCATTTTTTTTTATTATTATCTCATTGCGAATTTTGACCGTTATTTAAATCAAATTTATTTATTAAAAATCATGTTATTTATTTAAATTAAGTCCGTTCATGAAAAATGTTATTTTAATTTCTAATAACTAATTTAAAATATAATGATTAAATTTGATCTTTGATTGCCAAGAAAATATTTTAATCAAAACGGAGTAATTTAATGAAATCTTCCTTTTTCTCAGCTTGATTGGTGCTTTAGCTCAGATAATTGGATCTAAAGCCAAATGATGAGTCAAGAATTATCATGGAAGCAAACAAATAAAACAACAATCCATCAAGGTTTCAACAACACAACTACTATTTGTACATAGCCTGATACAAGGGAAGGGCTTAAGAGAAACAAAGAAGTTTAAGTTACAAATCAAGGATCCGAATCATCGGTTGGATTCGGGTTGGGAATATGGTTTCGGATAGTATAGATTATGCTCCAGGAGTTACACTAGTACGATAAAGCTTGCCAAACACGTGCAGAGCGGTGACGAAGCCGATGAAGCAGAGACTCATAACGAGAACGACGGTAGGGGAGATCTTGAGGCCTGGAGCATCATCGGTGTAAAACCGAAGCATATTACTGCTGCCACTTCCGATAGCTCCGGCGTTGGATGCAGAAGCGGAAACGGAAGATCCAAAACGGCGTCGACGCATACCAGCTGTTGCAGCAGCAGAGCCGCGAGGAGCCGTGCCGCCAGGACGGGAGGTGGTTGAGGTGGTTGTTTGAGACTGAGAAGAACCTCTGCCCATGGTTAAACTTCAACCAACGAAAGAAGGGAAGAAATTGGTGAAATTTTAGAAGCTGGATTAGGTAGAGAGCGGAGAGTATTGGGAGTCGTGACTTGTAAGTGTAAAAGGGGAAGAAGACGGGTAGGTTCGTAAATATAGGGAAATGAAAAGGCATTTTGACCGAGAGACATTATTATATTTATCCTTATTATTATTTGGATAGGATAACCATGGGTGGGTCTGGAAAATTCGCGCTTTAGCTAGTTGTTTTAGTTACACTTTAACTAGTGACCTCGACTTTGATTTCATTTGGATTTCTAGGAGCATTTGAAATTAATATAAGGGCTCCGTTCCATTATGTTTATATAATTTAATAAATATAAATATTAAAAATTTAGTCAATAAAAATTATTTTATTATTTTATTATTTTTATTTTATTAAAATAATAATAAAAGTCATTAATTTAATAAAAAATTATAAAGATTATTATGAAAAAAATAATCATTTACATGTATAAATTTAAAAATTTTATAAATATTTTGAAATATTTGAAAAATGAATAATAAGCAAATAAAATGGAATAAAAGAATATTATTTTCTATACTTTTTTCGAATAAAAAATATAAATTTTTAAGTGTTAATATAAAATTTGAGTACTTTTTTATTTTAATTGTATGTATATTCAAATAAATTGTAAAATAACTAAAATTTGAGAAAACTTGTGATATGTTTATATTGAATATTGTGACTGGGCTTTATTTACCGTTCAAAAAATTTTCACTTAATTTTATCTTATGATGAATTATTATGTAAAAGAAATTAAAATATTTAATAGAAATTAAAATATTTAATTATTATCAAACTTTTTTTAGTACAAATTTTCAAACTATAGTTTATTAAATCAAAAGATATTGCAAAATTAAATGTACATAGGATGATGGGCCTAGTCCAAATGCTGAAAGGCCCATATATTTAAAGTAAATCGAATAACTTAAATTAACCCGAATTTTGTTATTTTAAATTTTTGACACCTTTAATTTTTACTTTAATTCTGTGGTACCTTCAATTTTCACTTTAATCCATCGACCATTTCAATTTATAAAATTACACATATTAAATATTTTAATTTTTAAATTTATTTTATTGAATACTTCGGCTTGTAAAATTAAAACAATTAAACACTTATTAAAAAGTTAAAATTTATGAAAATTATTATTTCAAAGATCATGCTAATGACATATCAAGTTAATATTTTACTAATAAAAGCTAAAATCTCTAAAAAAATTTTAATATTAATATCGTACAAGTTCAGTGAATAATAGATTATTCATAAATTTTAGGATGCTAAAAAATTAAAATTATAAAATTCAAACTGAATTTATATATTCAACCTAAATCGAATCTAGTACGGTACAGGCATAAATGTGGATGTACAAAATAAATGGACTTTGGATAAATTTGTCATCCAACGGGCCGCTTTTGTGTTTTTAAGAGTAATTGCCAGCGTTCTGGAAGCACACAAGGCGAATGGGTGATCCTTTATAAATTAAACAAGCAAATGTTACCCGAGCTTCGCTGCGGTTTTTGCAAGCGTTAAAAAATAGACAAATTGAAATTATCTTCCTCTATTAAAAATAGACTGTCTTTCAAATGTATCTTGTTCTAGCCTTCCCACTATAGATGGATCTCCAAAGACCTTCTCTGAGGGAAAAAACTCTTTCGAACTCATGTATAAACTTCTCCGTTGTTTATGCTTAAGAAATCAAAAATTGCTCAGTCTACCAGTTTAGAAAGGGCCATTTTTACCTAAGAAAGCATAGGACATAGACAATTAACCATGTTTAATCTATGCCCTGATACTTAAAAAAAAAAAAAAAAAAAAAAAAAAAACTGATACTACAAAAAAAAAAAAAAAAAAAAAAAATAAAAAAAAAAAAAAAAAAAAAAAAAAATCTATGCCCTGATATATACAATGAAGAGATAAACATTACAAGTAGCTACTGCATAGTAGGCCTAATCAGATGCAAAGGGTCGGGAATTTTCTTAACATTAAAAATTAAAAGGAAAATACAGGTTAGTTCCTAAAGATGCAAAATAACTAAACAGATAGGTTACTTAGTTTTAAAGAGATCCATGAAAAAGGAAACTTCATGTATATCCATAATCCAATGCAAAATTTCAATAATAGCAAGCAGACAATTACCGTACATGTTATATATTGATTCATGCCAAACAAAAAGACAATTACAGATAGGTTAGTTCCTATTATCTTTTTCTTTCCCGGAAAATTTTCTGGATAGGATTCATGCCAAACAAAAAGATAAGAAATTGATTTCCCTCTTTTCAAAATTCATTGCGAAAAGAAGAAGAGGCCGAATAATGTAACCTGAATGAGTATTTTTTAAGTATCTAACAGAACAAACAACACTAATAGCAATTAAGAAGAAAATAAAGGCAAATAAAAAGGAAAATTACATTGAAGTATCATCTGGAAAGGTACATGAAGAAGATGAGAGTGAAGTCAGTCGGTAGAGAAAAAACATCTGACACGGAAAGAGAAGAAGTCTCAAGAGAAAATAAGGGCATATTAGGAATAACATTAAAATGAAATGGTTAAAGGGGGCATAACACTGTTCCATGAACAGCGAATTTAGGTTTCATTTTAGTATATATATAATATTATTAAAAATATTATTTGTTGGTGTTGATGGATATTTTGTAGTGCAATAATTTTCAATTGGGTCGATAATACATGAACACTGAGCTTTTAAGAAAAAGTTATTACTATCGTGGTGGATATTTTAAGTCAAAAATATTTATGTCTTTACAAGTAAGTTTGATTGAACAAATATCAATAAGTTGAGAACCAAGATTTTTGAATTCTAAAACGTTATTGGTCAGGTTTCTAAATACTTACCACACCTTAAAAAAATTAACTTGAATTTTGAATACAATCATAAACAATTTCAAAATGAAAATATTTTAAATAGATTATTCAACAAATAGAATTATTAATAACTCAGATCGTGTAATGAGTTAATTTAGATTTCCCATATATTTATATAAACTCTAAAAATTGCGGGTAATTTAAATGGTTTATTCTATGGAATCACCTCGGACGATGACTCAAAAAGCTTTTTTTTTTTTTTAAATATATATATTTAGGTATTACATAGTTAACTTTCTTTTACAATAATTAAATATTTAAAATTCTGTACGATTTTTTTTTTATAATTTTAAATCAAACTCAAATTTTACTCTACACTTAGAACATAATTTTATCATTTTAAATTTTAGATTGATGAAAGTTATAAACAGTGTATGCATTAAGCAATAATATTTAAATCAGAACTTGATTTCTAATTATTAATTTAACATGCATGAAGTTCAGAGAAAAAAAATGAGTTGGATGGTTATATTAAGCTTGCCAAATGAAATCGAGATTCAAGAACAAACAAAACGCCAAATGAAGTAGTCTGAGTCTCAGACACGCATCATCAATTTGTCATTACTTCCACATTTAGAAATTCCTAAATTTGAAATTCCCAATACAACAATGATTCTGCATCTTTTTTCGAGATAACTAAATAGCCTTTTTTTTTTTTTTTTTTTGATAGCTAGCCTTTTTTTGTTTTTTTTTTTTGATAGCATTAATAATAATAATAATATATTAATATTATTATTGATCAGGTTTCATAATTCATCATACGATAAACTCCAATATAAAGTAACTATATATGAAGTGACGGTTTTTTTTTTTTTTTTTGATAGCATTAATAATAATAATAATATATTAATATATTATGGAATCAGGTTTCATAATTCATCATACGATAACTCCAAGATAAGTAACTATATATGAAGTGAGGCTTATTGAGAAAGGCTTATTATTAAAAAAACAAGTAACTTTAAACTTAATAATAGAATTTATAAATGTAAGTATGTAACCAAAACAGTGATTCAAATGGTAAGGTTTAACAGATTAGATGTCGAACAGTGAAAAAGCACTACAGGAAGTTGCAGTCACAAACCTGGAAAAGAAATGAAAAACAGACTTGAAGCATAAACCATGTACAATTTCAGAAAGACCAAACCATACATTAACAATGATCCGCACTCTCTCTTCTTTAAGGTGAAAAAAAAAAAAAGAACAAAGAGGTGACCGAACTAACAACCATACAAAGCTAGCTCCCAAGTCAGTGACAATTATTCTCTGGGTTAATTAGCAGTAACAGGACGAACAGGAGGGCCGTGAATGGCACAAAGACGACGAGTGGTTCGTTCTTTAGGATCACCTATAAGCTGATCACCATCACAAACGTAATATCGAGCTATACTAACAAACACAAGAATCGCACCCAAACACAAAACGGCGTAGCACTGGCGACCAAGCCTTCCTAACAAACCTTCTCCTATCTCCATCTCTGAATTTCCGATTTTTGTAAATCTTATGTCAAAGAAAGTAAAAGGGTTTGTAATATATATGAAGAAGATAGGCTGTGGGTTTTGGAAAACGAGAAACAAGGGGCAGAGAAATTAAAAAGATGACGGCCGCTTGTAGGAAAGTTGCAAAACAAGGGGAGGTTTTTACTTTATAAGGCAGTCGTTGTCGTTTTGTTGATTCTTGGAGGCAGAAAGTGATGGATCGCTTAGCTAATCGCTCTTTATTTGTTGCAGTGTGAGTGTGACACTTGGATCCATAAAATGGGAATTGTTTGCTTCTCATTTTTATTTTATTTGGTGGATTCTTTTCTTATCTTTAATCTGGGCTCTCAAAATTTTCTGATTCTGGTCTAGTGGGTTAATTCAGGCTTAATAGTGCTTCACAGCCTATTTCTATATTCTTTTTTAAAATAAGACTATTGCTATATTATTTGGTTGGGAAGTTAATTTCATTTAATAATCAAAGTGATTCATTTAATAAGCAAAGAATTACACACATGCATTTGGGTGAGTAGAATTCAAGCACGGTAGCTTCGTTCCCACTAGCTAGTGCAGATGCAAATGCTCTTTGCTCTGCGTCTCCTTGCTCTTCAGGAGTGAAGACCTTCTTTTGGGACTTTATGCTGTTACTTTGGCTGGTTCCGGCATCCAATTAGATGGGATTAAATGTATGAATCAAAGAATCTGAGGATTTGGAGATTGAATTAAAGAAACTGAAAGCAATTGATCCAAGAGCATGCAAAGATTTGAACAGCCAAGGAGTCTCAAAGCTGCAACCATTAGAAGTTTTAGGATGATGTTCAATATCCCATGGCCATTTCAAGCAAAATAAAGGTTGTTTAGGAGCAGGATAAATCTTTCATCTGCAATTTATACTAAAAAAAAGAATAAAGTTGTTACACTTTTTAAAGAATCTTAATAAAGTTGGTACACTTTTTAAAGAATCTTTCTCCCGTTGGTTTAATCCATAATCGATCCGGTCTAACCAAATAATGTCCATAAATTGAACTATGAGCGCTATCAGTATCAATTCAAAGTTTCAAATGGAAACCAGAGGAGCAAAAATGGAGGACGTAGGACACTTGACTCTTGAAGTAGCTAGAGGAACGAATCTGATTTCGAAGCTCATAGCTGTGCACGATAGTGAAAGGCGTAAGGCTCAACAAGGTTCTCGAGAACATCGCAATAAAATAAGCAAGTCTGAGTTTCTGAAGAGAACGGCTCGCTCGGAAATAAGGAGCGCCGACCAGCTGCTTGATGATTGCCAAATAGTCAATGACCAGAACCTAGCGACTTTAGACGAAGCACGGCAGCGAATTGACCGATTATCAGGTAATATTCCTGGATCTAGGGCTTGTTTGGTGAATTCTTTGTCGGAGATGAAAATGTTAGCGGAAATTTCTAAGGAGTGGAATCAGGCAGAAAACCTCAGATACTTATTGGAGGAGTCGCTAGCTTTGTGATTATGTGGATAGCAAGGAGAAATGGATTTGAATATTTTTTCTAGTTTGGATAAAAATATGCGAAGTCTTAAGTATGGATTAGGTTTTGAATTTCTCTTACAACTTACGAGTCTGTCTCTTAGTTTGTTGATACTCATATTTAGAACGCAAAAAAATAGGTTTGAATTTCTTAATTGTTTTCTTCTTACAACCTTCTGTTTGAAATTTTACTTCGGAGTCGGATGTCTTAAGAGTAGCGGAGTCTGATGTCTGAGTACAGGAGCTTGGAGCTTCGTCGGTGATTGAATTGTTGCTTACATTGCAGTTTATGGCCTATGTGTCAAGTGGAGTTGTTGGAAAATGAAATAAAACTTGCGTAAATTTCTTGTCTCTTGTTTCTCTTCTATTTCTGTCTTCCGTATTCAATTTCTGTTTTCCGTAATGTCAAAAGACCATGAATTAGAAAGAAAGAAAGAAAAAACAGAAAAGGAGAAAGAAATAATTTTATTTGTTTATTTATTTTTATTAAGTAAAACAATAAAATAATAAAGGATCTCAACTTGCGCCTTCATCTCACTGTAATTGGAATTGAACTGTTTGCATTCAACTCGCGCCTTCATATATTCTTCTGAGCTTTATATATTATACATGTATTAGTTACCTCTGACCACAATCGTTAAGTATTGGCTGATGATTCTTGGGCAATTTTCTTCTTCTTGATTGAAAAAATCAGATTTTGAAAGTCTTTCAAAACCAAATCCATGATTCTCACGATTTACTCAGTAGGAGCCGAAATAATTCGAGGGGAAACGTTATAGAGGAGAGATTAAGTCGTTTTATAGTTGCCTTGGCCTTTGCTTTAGCCGGAAATGGAGCAAACATCATCAGAGAGCTCATTGCTACAGTAGACGAAGTCTTCTTTCGTCGATTACTCTCTCACCAAGCTCAAATCACGCCATTCAAGACCCAAACGAGTTTCCTTGCAAAGAGATGATGAGTTTGGAGTCCTCGCTCGCCGGATTTGGCTATGAAATGGTCGGAAAACGATAAGAAGAAGAAGAGAAGAGGCTGTCGGTCGGGGGAAGGAGAAGGATACTAGAAATTGATTTTCCGTCTCCTACTCTCAGGATCCGCGCGTAAATTCGTCGGAATTTAATAAAACGGCCATCATTTTAAGCGTGTCGTCCAACCACATATTGTCGGGTTTGAGGACATCTTTAAATGGGCCTTCAAGTAAACGTTAATATTGAATTGGGTTAGGACATAACAGAATATGGGTTTCTCTCTCATTCAGCCCAAAATTCTATCACTCTGTCATTCCCAACTAACGGACGTCCTCCCTCCGAACTAACCCCCAGAAAGGCTTTCTCTTCTTTGCTTATAAGCTACTAGCATGCTATTATATTTCGAATTAATTAATTCTTTTGGATAATACTTTTTTTTTCCCACCTGCTTTATACGTTATTTGTACTCCTTAAATTTTACTTATTGCACGTAAATGTAATTTAATATTTATATATAATTTTCTATTAATTTTTTGTTATAAATTATAACATTATGAATAGTTTAGTAAAAATTCAAGAGCATTAATAAAGTAAAAAAATATTTTATGAAATAATAAAACTTTTCAAGATAGATAGTTAGTATAATAATTAATATATTAATCATTATTTTAGAGTCTCGTTTATAATTTTGCTATTTTATTTTTTATTTTTTTGCTAAATTTTGTGAGCATATAATGAATTTTATGGTTATCTTTTTGAAAAAAAAATTCTTTTAATGTGTTATATGATTTGCTAATATAGCATATTATATCATTAATTTTATATTTTATATATATTTCTAGTCAATTTTCTCTTCTACTTTATATTAAGCAATAAATCTTATAATATATTTCTTAATAAATATCATTAATTATATTTCTTCTTTATTAAATAATTATTATCAAATTAAAGATTTAATAGATGTAATAATAAAATATACTATTATATTCTTTCCTCTCGCAAAATAGAAATATTTTATATTTTCAACATATTTAATAAGGACCTTATGTAGTATAATTTAATCAATCAAAATCAAATTACTTTTATTCTTTCGACTAGTAAAATAAAAATTATTAAAAATTCAATATTCTTAGCATATTCTTACCAACATATTTAATATGGCTTCAAATCAGCATGGAATCACATGACATGCTAAATTTATGAGATTAGCCTCTAAAAAATTGGGGATTTGAGTTATAGGAAATTTGGAATTGCTTAAATTTTTTACTGCATGTAAGTCCTTGACACATGCAAAGGTCACACGCATATATGTGCAAAATCTTGTTGTGTATTTCTTGGGCCTTGGCCCATGAGGTACAATTCAATTTAGCCTCGTCTGTAACCCACTCGTAAAAAATTGCGGACTTGCTATCCATTGCTGCTCCTGTCTGTAGGACTCAAGGAATATGGTAATTGTGATTGTTTTAAGGAAAGTGAAACTTAAAGAGTTAATTATATAATTTCCTTATATAAATTTTTGAAAGGAATATCTATTAGTATCTTTATTATTTATCATAATTTAGGATTCTTTCAATTATGAAGGTACTGTATTAATTAGTTTAATGGCTTAGCCCTGTAAATAGAGTCACTAGTGCGCTGGCTCTGTTGTTGTGTGGATCATCTAGTCCTACAGGCTCGTGTTGTATCTTGTTCATCGTATCGTGATTATTGTTCATGTTTTATTTGTTTAGTTATTTATTTATTTTTTCATTGTTCATTATGCGTCGTGATGATCATGGTTATTTGTTTTGCTGTTGCTGTTTTTTTTTTTTTTTTTTTTTTTTTTTTTTTTTTTCCATTATGCGTCGTTGATGATCATGGTTTATTGTTTTGCTGTTGCTGTGTTTTTTTTTTTTTTTTTTTTTTTTTTTTTTTTCTTTTCCCTAGTTCCAACTGATTCCAAACAAGGAGTCGATGGAGATTCAATCTGACTTCGGAGGAGATCGAGTCTAACTTTACAAATATGAAAAACTGCAAGAACAAATGTGAGCCTGTAACCTCGAGGTTGGCTTTTGGGGTCTCCAATTTCCATTTATGTCTATCAAGGTTAAGGAAATCATTCTTTATCAAAAAGGTAGTGTACATTGAAAATGCAGGAAAGAAAAAGGAATGTTTCGTTATGCTATTGTTGCGTTTTTATGTGGGAAAAAAACTTAAATCATATTGCTGAGTAATTGGTTGAAATCTATACAGTTTCAACATTCCATGGGGAATCTGCTAATTGAACTAATATTCTTCTTTCATTGTTCTAAACAATCTAGCAAAATGACCTCAAAATGTGCCGCATGGATGAGTTGCAGATGATATTCTTCTCTGCATCCTATCTTCCTTGACAATGAAAGATGCAGCTAAATATTCTTCTCTGCATCCTATCTTCCTTGACAATGAAAGATGCAGCTAAGGCCGGTCTTGTTTCAAGAAGGTGGAGGAACTTTGACATAAAAAATAAGCGTGGATATGATGGTTTTACGCAATACATGGTGAGTAAACTCCGCAAGAAGATTCCTGAATTTGTAAACTGGGTGGATAGAGTCTTGAGGCGACTTGTGAGATTGATTGGTGGATTTCTTTTGCTTTGGAAAGAAGAGTTAAGATCCTTGAGCTTGACTTTTCTAATGGTGTTCGAGAATATAATGTGTCGTAAGACCTCCACACTTTTCCATCCTCAAAATTTACAGAGGGCAATGTGCAGTCTGTGAAGCATCTGGCTTTAAGTGCATTCATTGTGCGTTATCCAGGTTTTGAAAGTTTTAGATCTCTCATTAGCCTCTCATTGCACAGTGTGGATCTTACTGATGTCGTAGTTTGTAACTTCCTGGTGAATTGTAATCTCCTTGAGAACTTACTCTTTCGCAGTTGCTGGAATTCGGTGAATTCGAAAGTTGTTGAATCTGACCTACGGTTGAAGCAGTTGGAGATGTATAATTGTCGTTTGAAAAGTATAGAAATTTCTGCAAAGCATCTAGTAGCTTTTAAATATTATGGACCTAAGACAAACTTTTCTCTTAATAGCATCCCACGTCTCAATGAGATGTGGTTTGGCATCTGGTGTGAAACAATAACATGTGCTCTCAGTAATTAATCGAGCATCTTTGCCAATCTCGAGATCCTTTTCTTGCACTGCAAAAGTACATGGGTAAGTTAAATCAACATTTAAAATATTTTCATTTCCATCTTGTTTTCCAGTTCTAATTTTGGATGTTATTGCTGTCTATTTGGTTTTACAGGCTAATATGAGTTCTGTGACATTTCCCAAATTACCTAATCTTAAGGTGCTAGTGTTGTCGGCTAATGTGATACACTGTGGTTGCAATGGATTCCCTTTTCCCCTAAAAGCTTGTCCATTCTTGCAGAAATTTGAATTGCATGTGAGTAGCTTCACATTGATTGAACCTATGAAAAATAAAAGCTGTTTGATGTTTGTTCTTCAGTCTGTTTGTTCATTTCATATGTTTTCTTGTCTGTATTTCAGTTAGTTTAGTATCATGGTAATGGTATGGATATATCATCGCGCGATGTAATGATGGCTGCAGAATTTCGGCATGAACACCATAAGGAAATTGAGCTAATTGGTTTTCAGGGAAACAAAGTTGACATGGAAACTTCTCTGTATCTTGTCAAAATTGCTGTTGCATTGGAGATGTTCACAAATGCAGTACAAGTAAAGTCTTTCAAGGAGTACAGTCCAAAGGTAAAGCAGAGACATGTAGGAGCAATGGAACTAGGAAGGAGGCGGATGGCAAGAGAACGCGCCCAGAAGCTTGAGACAGAGCTACCCCGCAACGCCAAACTTGTTATCCTTTGAGATGAGTGTCAAAATTTATCCAGTTATTTATCGTCCCGAGCTTGTTTAGCAGTTAATTAGTCATTATTTATATTATCTTTCATATCCTTTGAAATTTTCGTGATTAAACATTAAAATACATAACTTCAGTTTTAGTTGGAAAGGATGATCTTAATTTTGATTTTAATTTTTAGTTCAATTATAAAAATAAGCCATGAAGTAGCTGCAAACAACCAATGTCAATAGTCAACCAAAACACCATAGAAGTTTTAAGAACATAGATAGCATACGCTGACTGCATGATGGCAAATGTTTTAATAATTTTACTCAATAGCTGCAGCATTTCCAGCCTCCAAGAAAACAACAATCACCTTACATTTTCCATTTGCCGTGAATCTATTACATATTGCTAACTGAATCTTTGGTTTCCTATCACTACCACAACTTGTAAAATGAATCCCATGTTTTGATTCAAAAATAATAACAGTAATAATAATACAGTAAGCACTCAAAGATATCTCTACAGGCATCTTGGAACATCCCTCAGCATAAGAACTGGATGTTATAGCTAACATTATTCCCCAAATGTATCTTTGCATAAAATTGATCATCAATGCTGCAAACTCAACGCTAACAATGTGATATGATCGATGAAAGAAGTGATTTGAAAAATTTCACATTTAAAGTAACAGTCATTATTACTCAAGCATCATGCTCAAGTATGAACATCTAGAGCTGAAGTTTGCAGGCATACACATCTGCAATCTGCAGGTGGCCTAATAATAAAATAAGGTAAACACTGATACCGTGTTATAAAACGGACCAAGCTGAACTCAGTCTTTAAAAGCTAGCTCAAGAGGAGAGATTACTCAACTATCATATTTTGAATAAAGACTATCCAAATCAATACGGAACAAGAGCAGCTCTCATATTGCTTTTTCTATGTCATTTTTGCACCTTTTTCTTTAATAGAACTGCAACCATACTCAAGGGTTTCTTTGGAATTTCAGTTCATTTTTATTCTGCAATTGCAACTTTCTTCAAGCATTACTTATTCCAAAAATGCTTAAGAAACTGCAAATTGCAGTTTTAGTTTATTCTTTGCAAATATAGACAGCCAAATTTACAGTACTTGCTAGTTTCTAGACTATATATCCAAATCCAAGCACTCCTACGTACATAATATATTTACCTTTGAATTAGTTTAGATGAAGGAAATTGAATACATATTTCTTAATCAACTCACAGGTTTCATTCTTTAGCAAAATCATTGACTATCCAATTTTTCCCCAATTAATTGATTGATAACAAAAAAAAAAAAAAAGAAAAAAAAATTAAAAAAAAAAAAAGAAAAAAAAAAAAAAAAAAGAAAAAAAAATTCATTTTCCAACTTCTCCTTCCCATCAAAAGAGTCCCAAAATGCAGAGCTTGACCCTAAAATATGTATACATACATTGGGTTGATAACATGGAATTCAAATCTTTATCACCAAACAATAAATGAAATGAAAGTTAAAAAAGAAAATCACTTCTTCCCAAAATTAATATGGAAATTACAGTTTCATTATCAGACTAAGAATGTTTGTTTAGTCAATTAATTACTCAAACGAACTCAACGACTTGGCCAAAAGATTACAATAATTTCCAATATTTGCACTTTCTATTGTTTTTAATTCATTCCATTTTGGTATGGAAATTCTTTACAGTTGACAAAAATTCCTTATATTTCAAATTCAGGACATTATTCCCAAGTTTTCTTTTCCTCTTTTCACAAAAAAATTACGTACAGAAAACACATGGAACATGAAAAAAAAATTTTAATTGAAAATTTTGAGTCATAACATCTCTTTTCTACCACATTTTCCATAACAAAAAAATAAAATAAAATAAAAATTAGGAGAATTGGTGGGCACAACTATTTACAAAACAAGTTGAGATTGGTCCCTGAATGTTCATATCCACAGTAGAATTAATTCGATTTCTCGAAGCAACTTCAGCTCCAGAATTAGATATCCATGTATGCCCTTTTGCTTATATACTTGATCTTTTATCAAATGAGAATTCTTTTGGCGCAACATTAATTGCATGTTGAGTGTGAACCGGTTCTGAAATTGGTGTCGCTTGACTTGTACCTGCCTCGTTGTCGTCCCTATTATATTCCGTATAAGTTAAGTTAAGTTGATGTAGAGGATAATTACGATGATGCGACGATGAACCTTCGTCATGATTAGGATGGTGGGATGATGAACCTTCACCGTAATTAGGGTGAGAAGGAGACGGTGATTCTGTTTCCCAACCAAAATTAGATCGTCTAGGAGAATTTTGAAGACTATCAATTTCGTTCCGGTAATAACGGAGTAGATGCACCGGAGACATATTGTGAGACGGTGTGGCTGGTCTACTAGACAAGGGGGTAATTGATCCTTTCCTATGTTTAATGTGTTTCTTAGCTGTTTGATGCCAATTTCTTAGAGCTGCTGCTACTCTCTCATTAAATATGGTTGGTTTCATTGATGAACCCATCTGCCAATATCACAATTAAGACACTAATTAAGTAATAAATGTTTAATTAGTGTTATAGAAATATTACGTGAAATTGATTTTTTTCTTTCAGGGTACCTGTGTCACAAGGGCATAGAGAGGGAGAGTGACATAGCTGCAAAGGATTTGTATGAGAACCCTGAGAAATTAATGATTAATACTAATTAGTTATGTATATTAAGAAGATTAATTACCATTTATTAGTAAGTTAGAAGAGAAAAAATCAATCTTACCCCATTGAAATTCTGATGATTATGTCCTCCAAATGTTCATGGAAACATGATTTTAGCCCAAATTCTTTCTGAAAAAGTTATTAAACATCGTTTTGTTATATGAATATATTCATGGAAAAGTACTTATGGAATGAATTGTTATGAATTTCGAAATAAATAGTCTCATACCTAAAAGGTGTGTGAGGACACTCGTTAGAAAAATAAATATAAAAAATGTATTATTCTTTTAAAAAGTCCAATAACTTACCCAACTCCAAGCAAAAAAAGCGAGTTGAAAAGCATTCTACAATAAGAAAATAAAAAGGTAATTAGAATATAAATAATTGATTTACTACATTGATCCTCAAATAAACTACTTAATTAATAATATTAATGATGAAGATAATAATTATGTTTTTGAGATAATTATAATTATAGTTAAAGAATTTTATTTATTTGGAACTAATTATATAGTCAAAGAAGGTTAATTAAGTACCTGAAACAGAACAAAATTGATGAGGTAAAGAATAAGGCGTGGACGGTTGAACCAAAAGAGGTCATCACCAGGTTGCACCACAGGCACACCCTTTACTACTTCTCCTCTCTCTTGAATTCCAAGTGCCATTTTGGTTATGATCACCTGTAGCTTCGTCCCCACTAAGAGAATGATCTGCAGGTGGCGTTAGATCTGATCATCGGCCCAAAATAAAATAATTTTGTATTTGAATAATAAATTAAATTTATTATACTTACAATTAGTGGAATAAATGGAAGCCATAGATAAGAATACCAGCCTGTACGTATAAAATTTCAAAAGAACTTAGTCAAATGATTACATAATTGTTAAAATTGAAATTCATTTGAAATTTAACATAATTAAAACTTACGGTATTACACAAATTCGCTTCATTTAAAAACGGGGGAGCAAATAAATTTTACAAATAAAATTCAGCCAGCTCGTGAATTCTTGAATATATATATATATATGTTTTCTATTTTTAAATTTTTTTTTTTAATAAAACACAACTCATCCCATGACTCGACCCGCTCGTACGGAACAAATGAGATAATAAGTATATATATTTAATATCGTAAGGCAAACAACTCCGGCCACCCCTTAATTTTAAATTTTTTTAAAAAGATTTACTTTATAAAATATAAAAATTTTACCTTTTTCCTATAAAACAGTAATTTTTTTTTTGATATCACCTTTTTAAATTTTGAAAAAAATTTTTCTGGTTCCCATTCTTGAGGGTAAGTGCACGTATAAAAAAATCTGCCCTATGATCATCCTTAGATTTCAGGTCTAAAATGGATTAACATTTAAGATTTCGAAACTAAAAGGTAAAATTTTAGAAGTTGAGAACAAAAACCGTTTGTCAAAAAAAAAAAAAAATGCTATTTTAGAAGTTGAGAACAAAAACCGTTTTGTCAAAAAAAAAAAAAACGTGCAGCAAACTTTTTATAGTATCATACCATGAGGTATTAATTATAATAAATTTTAAAAAAAAAAAAAATGCAGCAAAACTTTTATAGTATCATACCATGAGTATTAATTATAATAAATTTTACAAAAAAAAAAAAGTATTTTTGCAAAAAAAATTAAATTAACCTACCATGAGTGTTGAAGAGTATGAATAGCACAGCGAAGAACCAGATTGGTGGGCTGCCAATTGAAATGAAAAACCTCAAATTTATATCATTAAAAATAGCAAAATTTAATGATAATAATAAAAAAAGAATAATGTAATTGAAGACTAACCTTATTCCCACTACAACCTTAAAATCCTCTTCCAATGACCTATTAATATATTTTTGGAAATCAAAATTGACGTGGCTTTGAGGTGCCAAATGTGCCTAGAGAACGAGAGAAAAGGAGGATTTTGAATAGTTAAACCTTATTATGTACATTAAAATCAAAGATGACAATTAAAATGGAAAAAGACATTTATAATTACCATGACAAAACCATGTCTTAAGGTCAAATAATCAACTTTAGGTACCGACCTCACAAACTGCCTAAAGAAACAAACCTGCATGGAAAATTAATGTTAAGTGAATTAATAACCGAAAAATAAACTAAATTATAGAAAATTAATTAAGTTTTTCCTTTCCGTTCCTTTCTTTTTCTTTTGTACCAAAATAGGGTATTTCGCAATAAATTATCACCAAGATACTAAAAGAAATAATAAATAATACCACAATTAGCCTTTAATAATTTTTATGTAATCGTACAAATACTCTATAATTTACTTTTTTTTATTTACTTTATGGTCCGTTTGTTTTGATAAAATAACTTGTAAGAAAATAATTTGCTGAAAAAAATTTTTTATGGAAAACATTTTTCTTGAAAAATATTTTTCAAATGACTTATTTTACGTTGTTTGGTTGTAATATTGAAAATTAGTTAAAAATATTAAAGTTTTTATTTCATAAAACCATAACAATATTAATAGTAATAGAAATTTTATAATTTGAAAATTTTATTGCTAAATATGAGAAGAATGCAAAAAAAAATAATAATAATAAATTATGAAATCCGCCGGCATCCGATGGTGGTAGCCAATGATGATGGTCGGTGGTAAATAGTGACCGTGGTGATAGTGAGTACGATAATTAATAAATTAAAAAAATATGGACTTATAAGGTTTGTCAATGTCCGGAAAATATTTTACTCCCTCAAAAATGAGAGGTTATTTTCATTAAAAAATGACTTAATTTTTCTTTGACTAAGAAAATATTTTTCGTTGACTTATTTTTCTGAACGCTCCAAACAACGAAAAATTGTGAAAAATATTTTCCTGCAAATTATTTTACGGAAACAAACTAAAACTTAATATAATGATAATATCGAGTCATTTTAAATGTATATATAACAGTATTTAAAAATCCTAACTACATAGTTTAATATTTTGTGTTAGAATATATTTTTTAGATTACCTCTGTCTTAACAATTTACTTATAGTATATTTATTTTTAATGATAGACCTGCTATTTCATAAAAATAATAATTATTTTATTTCTGATTTGCTTTTCAAAAAATTGAGCATGCCATAGTTAGTTAGAACCTAGAAGGATAAAGTGGTAATTGTGGATTGAAAAAGTCAAAGAGTGTCTCAGAAAGTTAAGGTGGATACCGGATAAAGCTAGAACAGAGAAATAGAGAATTGTTGTATTGCCTGCCACGCCGCACTTTCAACGGCGATGGTCATTTTCTAAATTAGCCTCTTCTGACCGTTTCCTTCTCTTTTTTCGTTGTTATTATTTTTCATTTTTTTAGAGTACCGGTCAGGACAAAGACCGTTACACGTTATCATCATCATCGTTATTATTATTTTCTATAGCACAAGGTATGCCCACCTGCTAATAAAAATAAAAAATGAATTTCTTCCGAAATGATTTTTTTTAAAAAACAAAACTAAGGCAATACTATTGCACATAGCACGTGGGTATATTTGAAATACATGTTAAAGTTTGTTTTCGCCAATAACTTTTTAAATAACTTTTAGCATTTTGACTAATTAAAATATTAAATTTTTATTTGGTAACATACCGGTTTGTAAAAAATTAACTCATGTAACGTTTAACTTTTAGCGGCTCATAAAAAGTTATTATACTAAAACGGCTAACAGTTATCAAAATAGGTAATTTTGCCGGAAAGACCCAAAGTATTATGATAAGTATAATTTACGTATTAGTTTTTTCAAATGACCAACATATATAATTAGCAATGAGCATAACATCAGGCAATAGAAATGTAATCGAGGAGGGAATTAAGGAAAATAGAGAAGTATTCTTACTATCCAAATAAGAACTGGTGTCTTGGTCCAGAAGCTCAAGTGCCTCCTCCCAAATGAGGTTTCTCTTGCAAATCTGAATCTTTCAGGATCTGTTGTGCAATATAAATATATTTGAGTAGGTTAGTTTTATATACATGCAAAACCAAAGATACATAGATTTGGTCTTCTGGGTTCATTCTATTTGGAGATATGGACCGACTTACCGTGTGAGAATTGATACTCAGCTGTTCTTGTTTCCTTCTCCCACACTTTCCATCTTTTCATCTATATTTCAGCAAATGACTCAAAAATAAATAATATATAAACATACATATTCACATTTGTAGAAAAAAAAAATTGTTGAGACTATTTTATAAGGTAACTTCAAAAGAGTTTCGGAGCTTGGGGGCTGGGTTTCCCTAAATCCTCATCCCTTGGCTCCCATTTATTATATTCTTATATAATGTGTAAAAATGATATAGTAATGTACCATGAATATATATATATTCTATATAATGTGTAAAAATGATATAGTAACTGTACATGAACTAATATAGTAATATATATATATATATTATTATATATATATATATATATAAAATACCTTAAGCTCTTATATATAAAATACCTTAGCTCTGCCCAAAGCCATTGTGAGGACACAGTAAAGCACATGAAAAACTGCTAACACGAAGATGAAAATGTGGAGTTGATGAATACCATCAGATGACACAAATGGCACTTTACCCTGCACACAAATAATAAATTTAACAAATATCAACTAAAATGCACATTATTTTTGCAGAAAATTCAATTTATATATATATTCTTGGTCAAGAAAATTCAAATTTGTTTTCAATCACCAAGAAAGTTGTGAGATAAAATAGGTGACAGCGACAGCAGAATTTGACAAGTCGTTTTGTACTTGAGAAGGAAAAATGAACTTTCCCGATGTCACACAATCAATTCAAACACAACTTCTACATTCTCACTTACTAGACTAATTTCCTTTCCACATTATGAAGTGTTCATGAAATTTCGGGAAACAACATAGCTTGTACGTACTTGTCTTCTATCCTTTTTTCTAATTAATATTTTCTCATTTTAGTTAATTCAGTTCCCATTAGAATTCAAACCGATTAGTGATTAAATAATTTATTTAATGCACTCACCTCCCCACATTCATTGGTTGATTCTCCCGCCAAGACACGCCGGAAACTTCCACCGGAATCTGATATCATACTAAGAAGTCTCCTTCGATTTCCTGCTTCATCAACTTTGTTTATTTCTTCTTCTTCCTTCTTGCTGCATGGATGCCATGTAGATCCCATTTTTTCCGATATGCATATATTCGATATCGGACCTTGCCCCACCGTTAGAAGCAATGATATAAACCCTAATAGCATAAGCTCTACACCAGAAGAAGAAGAAACAATTAATATGTGTAATTAATATAATTAAGAGTTTATATATAATGAAACTAGTGAAATTAATGGGTTTTTTTGGTTTAAATTACCTGATTTAATCTTTTCAAGTGCTTCGTAAAGAGCTCTTTTATGTTTCTTCTTTAGCCACTGCAAAAAGAAGTTGCAAGAATCAATTCCATTAAGTTTAAATAATCAGCGATTGATTATAAAAAGTATATAATTCAGTAATTAATTTAATTAATTATTTTACCTTTCCTATAAGATGAATAACATATTCAATGATTATTGAAATCAAAACCAAAACAAAACAAACTGTAGCAACTGCCCATGTTGGTGTTTGCTCCAAAGATCTTCCTCCACCACCTCCGGCCATGGCGGCTGCAAACCTCCGATCAGTATTTCTTAAAGAAAAGAACAAGAAAAAGAAGAACCCAATATATAGAAAGCCAAGAATTAGTGCAAGTTCACTTCAAAGATCAAGAAAGAAGTGAAGAAAATAACACAGAGAGAGGAGAAGAATAGTAAGAGATACAAATGTTTCAGAAATATATAGAAAAAAGAGGAAGCACAAAAATAATTCTTGAGACAATAAGAAAAAAGAAAATATGTTTTAAAAATATAATATATTCATAAAAAAAAAAAATAAAAATAAAAAAAAAAAGAAGAGCAAAAGTGGATGACTTTGACTTTGATAACGCGTAAGGGAAATAGATAGAGGATAGTACTTGGCTTGATCAAGAAATTCAAAGGCTTACGTGTATTTACCAATCAAAACAATTATATAATTTTTCGTCTACATTGCTGATGAAGTGATGATTTTTAAATCACCGTTCGTTACTAGCCCAAGTCAACCCATATTTTCCAATTAGCATTTCGTACCTTTTTTTTTTTTTTTTTTGCCAATTAGCATTTCGTACCTTTTTTTTTTTTTTTTTTTACAGGAGAATAATCAGTTTCAGGTTTCGCAAACCATCTTTTTTTTTTTTTTTTTACAGGAGAATAATCACGTTTCAGGTTCGCAACCATCCCATTTTCATAACTTAATTATCTTTATAAATTGAAGCATAATTTTATAGTAATAATTTACTGAATTTAAATATATCTTATTACTTAAATAAATTTTAATGGATATTTTTTAACGTTTATTATACTTATTTTAATAAAAATATTTTTATTGAAATAAACAATAATAATTACTATAATAAGATAATTTCCTCAATCACATCGCGCATCTTTATGGGAATTGCAAATTGGCTCAGTGTATGATATTAACAATTACTATTGCTACGTCGTATGAACAAACACTACAAATATAATTCACTCAAATGTATAATAATCTATTGGGTCAAACATTTTGTGCATATATACACAAAGCGAAAAAATATTTTTTAATGAATTTAAATGATATTCAAATTTATACATGGAAAGAATTATATTATTGCTTTTGTGAATTTGGTGTTTTGAAATTATGTTGATCAAAAAGGTGATAATTAGATAAGCATGACCTCCCTCAAGATTTCATTCACTCGTGGGGCTTGGTTTAAGTCGTACCGTACATTGGTAGTGCTTCTGACCAAAATTAGAAACTTAGCCATAGAAAGTTAGGGAAAATTAAGAAGAGATTAATAATTAATCTTTATTTTAATTATTTTGTTTTTCAACCACGATTAATTCAATTTCAAAGGTCAATGACTGTGTTAAAATTTTGACCATTTTAGCGTTCATATATATTTATAAATATATATAGTCACTTTTAATGTCATTTTTTGCATGGCATGCAGCCCAAGCTTACGTAAATAGATAGAATATTTGATTTGGTATCGTATGCATAAAATGATGGAGAGGGAGAGCTATTATATATATAATCATCATTGCTTATCTGTAATGTCTTATTATTCAAACACCCTCTAATTAAATATTTATATTTTCTGCTAAGGTTTTTTCTTAATCCAACGCATTCGTGATCAATTTGGAATTCTTAATCCGGTGTTTGATTACTGGAATTTTGCACAGTAATTTGGAAGAGGATTTCGTTGTTTTTGTTGACGTATTGTTTTGAAGATAATTAACTTCATTAGGAACAAATGCAAATTGACTATCCGAAATAACACGAGGCAAAACTCGTTCAAGCCTATTATTTAGGACCTTTTGAAAGAATTCAGGATAATATTTTAGTGGCTTGCCAAATTTTACATAACATGAAATGTAAGGCTAGGGGCCCGGGGATTAGGTGTGGCGGCCAATTGACATCACATAAGTTTATGATAGGGTTAATTGGAATTTCCTTCATAACATGATGAGTAAGTTCAGATTTAGTTCTAAATGGATTGGATGGATGACGGTTTGTGTTACCAAAGTTAAGAATTCTTACTTGTGTAATGGAGAGATTGTTGGGCCTATTATCCCTGAAATGGGTCTTCGACAAAGGGATCCTATCTCACCGTATTTGTTTATTATATGCTCTGAGAGATTATCCCTTATGTTTAAGGAGGCTAAAAGGAGCGATTGGATCCACAGGAACAGAGCTGGGATGAGATGCCCAAGGGTTTCACATTTGTTATTCAGACAAATCTTTTTTCTTTTTTGAAGATTCAATTTAATTGGAGAAGGAAATAGAGTTAAGAAGATTCTAGAAGACTATGAGAAAATCTCGGGACAAGTTGTTAATTATTTTAAATTTGGGATTATGTTTAGTCCTAATATGTCAAACATATGTAGAATCTCAGTTTCTAATATCCTAGAAGTTCACAATTCCTTGGGGGAGGGGAAATATCTAAGACTTCCTTCGTTGGTTGGAAGGAAGAAAAAGCAAATTTTTAGTTATTTGAGGGACAGACTGTGGACGCGAATTAATAGTTAAAATAATAAATTTTTGTCCATAGCCGAGAGAGAGATCCTTCTTAAATTTGGAGTACAGGCTCGTCCTTCTTATTGTATGAGTGTTTTCCTTAAAAATTATGAATTCCTACTGGTGAGGGTTTATATGAGAGAGTGGTAACGGTAATCATTGGTATTCTTGGGATAGGATGTACCAAAGTAAGAGGGATCGAGAAATGGGGTTTAGAGATTTATATTGTTTTAACGTTGCAATGCTAGGTAAGTAAGGGTGGAGATTATTATCTGAACCCATACTCTTTTATATCGTACGCTTAAAGCCAAATATTTTCTAGAAGGGAATTTTATGTCTGCAAAGGAGCAACCCCGGTTTTACATGGAAGATTATATTGTTTTCTAAGGGTATGTTGAAACAAGAGGTTAGATGGAGAGTAGGAAATTGGGAAGATATTTTGGTTACAAGGGATCCTTGGCTTCCTAAAACTGATACCTTTTATGTGGATGATGGGATTCATTTTATTGCGCCCGAGATGAGAGTGTTTGATCTTATGAAGGAAGATGGGAAGAATTGGGACTTTGAGAAAATTGTGGAGTTGTTTAGTGTAAGAGACATAAGAATAATTCTCAATATCCTATTAGGTATTAATAATGTGAGAGGATAAATTACTTTGGCATTGGGACAAGAAGGGAGAGTATAAGGTCAAATCAGGTTATTACATAGCTTTGAAATGGTTAGGGAAGGGAGGGGGGGGGATGAGAGCTTATAAGTGTGGGTCCCGTATATGTATGACACAACCCAAGAGGGGGGTGAATTGAGTTTTCTAAAAACAGATATAAATTTTAGAATTTCAAAGCAAAATATAGAATTCTAAGTGCAGTGGAAAAATATAGAACTTGTGAGAATAGATTATGGATTAGAATCACCACATAATGTTCTATTCACAAAGGATAGAAAGTCTGTGCAAAGTGCAGCTATTGATTAGAACTGTTTCACAATGACTTATTCAATATTAGAACTTCTTTATGAAGGAAAGCTATTGAAATTAGAACTTCCTCATAAAATTTAGAAAATCATATAAGACTCCAATATATAGAACTTCCTTTATGAAGGAAAGCTATTGAAATTAGAACTTCCTCATAAAATTTAGAAAATCAATATAAGACTGTGTGAGAGACAGTTATTGAATTTAGAACTTTGCGCTTCACAAAGCCTTAATCGAAGTATTCAGAACTACTTTATTGATGGAAAGCTATTGTAATATAGAACGTTCCCAATAAAGTTTAGAAATTAATTTAGAAGTTTAGAAAATTAATTAGAAACCCAAGCAATGAAATATACTATGAATAGAAGAACAGTTAGAACTTGGTATATTCACTTATCAGAACTCCAGAGTTCTAATATTCAGAGAAGATAAAACTTATTACAGTTTTAGAGCATCAAATTCATTTTCAACTTTAGTATTTCTAAAATGTAAACAGAAGTGTAATAAAAGCGGTACCAAGCTAACTTCAGAAATTAAAATATTAACATAGTGATTTATAGTGGTTCGGCACTAACTCGCCTACATCCACTCCCCAAGACTCATCTTGAGATCCTCAACTATGTTATCTCTTTTTCCTCAACTATGTTATCTCTTCTCAAGGGTAAGAGAAAAACCAATAGTTCAAGGCAATATATCAACACCTAGATCTACCCTTTTATCCCAATAGATTTTCCAAAGGTTCTAGTTAACCTCAACCCTTTTTGTTTTTGGCAAAGTACAGAAACTCAATTCAAGACATTAGAATCTCACACAGGGAGAAGGTCGCTTGATAACCTCTTTCACAATAGCTTCTAACCTAAGCTATTACACACAAATGTTTACCAAATAAAAGCCTGTCTACTATAGATTACACTATACAAATCTAAATAGATAGAAAGAATGCAACATATTAGCACAGGAAAACAAGTTTTATCAAATTAGAAATCGTTTAGAACACCAAAACTGTTTTTCAAAAAAGTAGTTGTAAAAATTCTTTTCCTCTTTAAAGATAAAAACCGGAAGTATAAAGATGAAAGAAAAATGAGGGGTAAGAAGTAAGTTTGGAAGAAAGAAAAAAATTTAAAAGAAACGTGAATCACTGAGAGAAATGCTCTTAAAAACAAAAATACTCTTACTTCACCCATAGCTCAAGACGTGGAAAGCTCCTAATTTAATGAGAGCAAAATCGTGTCTCTTGCCTTTTTTGAAGAGAATATAATATTTTCATTTTGAAAAATCAAGAATATCTTCTTTCCTTATTTTTAGAAGGAAATAAAACGATAAAAATTAGTTATCCAAAAAGTTTTTTATCTTATCCCTTTTTTTGGTTGGTAAAGAATAAAAACACGATTTTGCTTCTTAAACTAAAAGAATTTTTCGGCAGCATTTTGTTATGGAAAAAATATTTTTACGAATGATACTCTTACTAAACGAAAAGATTCTTCCTTCGTTTAGGTAAGAGGAATAAATTGAAGTACTTTAGATTTTTCAAAAGATATTTTCGAAAAGATAATGTAAATGATTATTTTTACCAAAAACAATTTAGAGACGTAATCCTCCTTTAGTTTTAGGAAAATTAAATAATTTCGATTTTAAAGGAAATATTTTTCGAATACAAATAAAAGAATTTATTTGAAAAAATCTAATTTCTGAAAAAATATTTGTTGAGAGAAAAATTAAAAAAATTTTGT